ACCGGTGTACTGATAAAGGAGCTCAGACACGAATCGCGACATTCTCCGATAAGAGCACGACGATTGTACAGGATATGCAGGACAAATACAGTAGATGGCAAGGTACTGAATTTACTACTGTCCACAACTCGCCAGGTGATCTAGTCTTTGTCCAGTATTTTGTCTATCCTAGTTTAGCTGTACGCAAGTAGCTCATGGAACCTGGACTCCGGAAAATTCCCCGACTCCCAGCAACAACCCAGTCATCTGTGCTTAGCTTTGCTCAATGCTACCTATAGAAAGAAGTGTAACTATTACCCTAGCGCAGCTTGATATCATCATCGTAATAATTGTAAATTAGTGATTATTGCGCCGGAGAAATGCCGACCGTAGAAACGAGCTTAGCCTGCGAGCCTGCACAACGACGAACTTTACTTGGTGGTAGTGCGTGATCACCCATGGAACGTGCAGGCGTTGGATGGCGAGGGCGGCTAGATCTGATGTGATTGACTGGTTTCCTCGTCATGCATTAGTGGTATTCAAGGTATTCGAGGGTTCGCGTACAGTATTTCCTAAGATACTGGAATTATACTATCGTTACTGGATTTCCAATACCTATCTTCATAGAGTATGGATACGGACATAAGCATGTTGCCATTTTGCCGGCCTTGCAGGTGGTCCATGTACCTAGCCATTTTGTACATCATCGAGCAGCAAGAGCTCCAACTCTACAGGGTGTCCAGTATAGCTCGTGGGAGATCGACTGTTAGGGTACTGTTGGACTGGGTTTAGCAAGAGATTATTCTTCGGTACCTTGCGTTGTTGTGCATGTCATTCGGATTATATCGACGAGTACTCAAAACGTCAGTCAGCACCCACCGTAGTATATACATCACATCGTTAGCGCTCGCTTCAATATCGAACCGCTTCAGCGCCTGGCAACACAGGTACAACCTCCATGTTGGAATTTGTCTGACCCGCGACGCCACGGACGAATCTAATCGTATATTCCAGCCAACGTACAGAGTACATCCTCACTCCTAGTAAGTAAATGAGGTAGCTAGCCGTCCCAACACCCTGATATTCCATTTCCGTCGTGCATTCGCCTCCTTCATGCATGTCATACCTCGGCCATCCCACTTACCTAAACCCACCCTCCAACCAAAACCCTCTACTGTACAACTAACAAAGCCAACGACCCATCCATCAATCTACACTGCCACAGCCGACGACCCCAGGAACCTCGCACAGACAAGTTACCTACAACGCACGAGCTGAACCACGAATAACAAGTTAACAACCTTCCGCAATTAAATCCACCCACCTCATCGCATCGCCACAGCCAGCCCCGAATCAATACAAGACAACCCACGCCATACGCATGCAAATCGCCCACGATCGCCCGCGTCCTAGCGCCAGCGCAAATTGTATGTAAAGGACCACCTGTAACCGCCAGGCCCCGTTATTGGCACACGTTTAGTAGCCCCACGTCAATGCTAATCTGAGGCCCCACGTTCTGCCACCGTACGGTACTGTATAGGCTGTTAGAAGTTAGAACCGACTGGCCCCTTGCCTGCATGGTCGCACCCGGCTCGGGTCCAGTACGGCGCCGGATGAGGGAGATTAGGACGAGGAAACTAAGGGAGGAAAAGAAATGGCGCATTGGCGATCGTAGACGCCCAGGGTTGATTCAAGGAGTAGAAGTGTTTTCGCTAAGCAGTTGACTAGCTTTTAGTGCTTTCCATTTTGTGGCGGTGGTTATTGATCTAGGACTTGTTGTTACGCTGTGCCCAGACGAGTCAAGATGTACAGGTACATAATTAGCTTGCTTGGAGCTGCAGCGCAGACCCCTGCGGGCGCATGTCCCTCGTACCTGTAATCTATCACTATGCACAATGTAGCTGGATCAGCCAACGGTATTAGATGTAGGTACCGACGAGTACATACCCTAGTGTCTGCACGTACATTCGCAGTCCCTCGTGCCGCAGAATCCAGCGGCTGTACATCCTACTGGCCTCCCCAAAGTACAATTCCTCTTTTACCAGATACTCCCACGATATTCTCCGTATAGATACTCCGTATGCATTATACATCCCATCCCATCCCACCTACCAGGGTCTGTGCCTTTCTTCCTCCATACTGCCGATTACCTAGAAGAGTCGCGGACGGGTACAGCTAAGGCAATGAGCTCTTATGCATTCGCAGCTAGGTACTGGAGCTCTCGACTGCCCCTCCCCCTCTCTGTGCTAACACTGGCTACACTGCCCCCCGGTTATCACTACGCCTCGGCTGATGGCCATCGGATAGGGCGGAATTAGTGGGGGTTTGCGTTCCGCGCTGGTGGCAATGTACTGCTAACGATGGTCACAGCTACTATTTCATGCTCTGTGTAAGTCATTGTGCAAGCCTGCCATGGGAAAAAGGATTAGATAGTAGCGGGAACAGAAATTTAGACATGAAGAACTCGTTCAAATATGCAAATCTATCTACTCTGCGCCCGCAAATGTAGACACACATAGACAAGGAAACCACAAGGACAACTATTTTGTTCATCGCCCTGCCATCAGGGTTCGTCGCAATGGCAGGGCCTCAACTCCAGAACTGATGTAGACGAGTCGCACGCCGCGATACTCGAATGGTATATGAGCAGGACATCACACATGAAAGACTTTTTTTCTATTTTAGTTGGATGGGTGCAAAGAAGGACCAGTGTCTTTCTCTAGACACTGATGGTCTTGAAGACACTGTTGAGAAAGAAGGAGTCAGTACTAAACACCATGCTATAAATCTTTCGCATTTCAAATACATACCTGAATCCGCTGCTACCCGTCGCCATCAGCGTGCCTGGCATCTGAGCTTGCCAGTGCACCTCCTTGACAGACTCCATATAGTGCACGAACAGCAGCTGGGGAGGAATATCGGCCATGCCCGCTTGTCGGCTCTCCTCATCGTCCAGCTCGACAGCCAGATCCCACAGGGTGACAGTGTTGTCAGCAGAGCCAACGGCCACAACACTGTCGTCCGACGGGTGCCACTCAATGCTGGTGATAGGCTCCTTGTGGAAGTCAAAGGAAGCAACAGGGGAGGCGCGAATGCGGCCGGCGTCGTTGGGCTTCCAGTGACGCAGATCCCAGACAGCCCACTGGCCATCATCAGCACCGGTCGCCAAAAGGTGGAAAGTCTGGTTCGACCAGCTCATAACGTTGACGTCGGTATTGGAGATATGCACGTCCACAGCTGGCTTGCGAGACTTGGATCGCACGTCCCAAACCTTGACACTACCATCGCTGCTAGCAGAGGCAAACACGTTCTTCTCATTTGGCGACCACTGCAGCTCCTCCACGGAGGACTGGTGGCCTGTGAAAGGCCGGGTGTCGGTCACCCAGCCACCGCCCTCGGTACGGGTGGTCACATAAATGAGACCGTCATTATCACCGGTCAATAGCTTACCAAGAGGCTGAAGTGGAGACCAGTCCAGAGCATAGCCTTCAGACTTGTGCATGCGGAGAGTAGAGAGAGGCTTAGAAGCGGAGGGAGGGAGGACAGTGCCAGGCACATCGAAGCTGGTAAGGTGAGCGGTCACGTCGTGAATGAGAACTTGCGAGTTCTCCAACATTGTCGCAGTCAGCGTTTGAGGAGGTTTCGAGTAATCTGCCGACTGGGAAGGAGTCTGATGACAACGAATTCGGTTGGTTGTTGAGCCGAGGGGAATCGACTTGTGCTCGAGAATGGGCTCGCCCATATCGTCATCCGAGTCGGACTCTTCGTCTGAGTCCTCGCCTTCCCGCTCCATCTTGCTGAGACCGCTCATCTTGAGCACCATCAGCTCATTATCCTTGGCCCGAGAGCCCTCGGCCTGGGTACCAGCAACAGCGTAGACGGTTGCGGGGAAGGTCTTTCGGTTATCGCCGAGCGTGTCGTGGACAATGTCGAAGGACAGACACGGCCAGGGTGTACTCAGAGTGTGAAGCATGTCGTAGGTCGAGGGATCAGGCGAGAGGGTTTCTCCAGGTGCCAATTTCGTCCGTCCAGGAATGAAAGTCTGCTTGTCAACGTCCATGGCCTCTATATTTCACGATCAAAATTAGTTATGCTGTCCATTCCCTGCGAAAAAAAAAAAAAAAAAAAGGCATTGAGTAAGCTAGACAAACCTCGTTCTTCCTCCTCACGCTCAGCGTCAGGGCGACCGTCCACACCGGCCTCGAGGATTTCATCTTCACTCTCAAACTCATCCTCGAATTCGTCTTCGAATTCCCCCACTTCGTCGGCGGGAGCGTCGACCATTGGGCGCTCGCCGGCCTTGAGCGCGGCCGACTGCTCGTCGGCAGCATCCGCAGCTCTCTTGGACATCGTGGACGAGGAAAAGAGCCACTGGCAGCGAGGGGGAAGTGTAGGAATGGGGGGGTAATTGGCGGCCGATAAGAACTTTTTTCAGTAAATTTTGGGCAAACCGCGGGAGAGACGCTAAGCCTATCGGGGACTAGCGCAGATCCCGCAGTTCCCGCAAGTCGAAGGCGAGCTGAACAACCGGACTGGACGGACCGGGTTGGACTCGTCTGGACTGGACCTGACTAGACCGACTGGCTGTGAATTCTGTCTGGACTCCTCTGCAAAGGTCGCGACGCTCATTCGTGTTTTTGCGTTTGCCAGCCCTCGTTCGTACCGTGGCTGGCCATCTCTCGCCCTCTCGCTTCCCCTCCTTCTCTCGTCGCAATCTCGCTACCCGTCTGAGCATTGTTTACGCCAGACCCAATCCTTTCGTTCACATCTGAACCCGACCACCACCTCTGCTAGGAACGGAAGCTCTTCGGAATTTGCACAGTGGTTGAGCTGGTCTGGCTGGACGGCCCAGTGACGCCCAAGAAATACGGAATTGGTTGGTCATCTATCACGCCAGGGTCCCCTTTCCCCGCAAGTGCTAACAGCAAGCTACCTCGTATAGGTTGCACCCTCGACGTCGGCTGCGATCTTCGTCCTTTCCTCTATCTCCTTTTCAAACCATTCATCTCCGATCTTTGGCCATGGATCCGTTGCAGCACTCTGCCTCGGAGGTTCCTGCTGTCGCAGAGCCACAGCACCCTGCTGCGGAGGACCGAGTATCCGAGGCACCTGCACCGCGGGAAGCTCACTCCTCTGAACAGCAGCCTCATGAAGACCCGGCGCTGGCGCCTGTCAATGTCAACTTGGAAGAGCCTGTTTCTGTCGATCAGTCTGCTGGTCGCGTAGGCATTGACAACGGCTACAACAGCGATTCCAAGGCGCACTATCACTCGCGTTCTACCGATTTCCACCACTCCGCTCCCGAATACACCCACCAAGATGCCGATGCCGCAGCTCGCCTCACCTCATCCCCATCAGTCAACCCGCAGCCTCAACTGCATCCCTCCCGGCCTGGGTCCGGGTTCTCCAGTGGCCCAGAACGACATGGCCTGTCTCAACAGCCACAGCCTGCGGAAGCTGCCCAACGACAAGCCGCCCAGTCCTCGAAGAACAGCGTTGTGATCAAGGTCGGCATGGTTGGAGATGCTCAGATTGGCAAGACAAGTCTGATGGTGAAGTACGTGGAAGGCAGCTGGGACGAGGACTACATTCAGACACTGGGTAGGTGTTGAAAACGTTATCTTTGATCAAGGTGAAATGAACTTCTTCTAACCCCGTCGTTACAGGCGTCAACTTTATGGAGAAGACCATTTCAATTCGCAATACTGAGATTACCTTTTCGATTTGGGATCTCGGTGGCCAACGCGAATTTGTCAACATGCTGCCGCTGGTTTGCAACGACGCCGTGGCCATTCTGTTCATGTTTGATCTTACCCGCAAGAGTACACTGAACTCCATCAAGGAATGGTATCGCCAGGGTCGGGGCTTCAATAAGACAGCCATTCCGTTCCTGGTTGGCACCAAGTATGATCATTTTGTCAACTTTCCCCGTGAGGACCAAGAGGAAATCTCACTCCAGGTATGCTCTCGCCGTCCAAACCTCTACTTAGAAGATCCTTCATCCCGACTGACCACTTTTAGGCCAAGCGATTTGCCAAAGCGATGAAGGCTAGTTTAATCTTCAGCAGTACTAGTCATAGTATCAATGTGCAAAAGGTTTGTTTGTTCACTCAAACCAGCTATCTGGGCCGCGGCTAACCTCTTTCCAGATTTTCAAGATCGTTCTGGCCAAGGCATTCGACCTCAAGTGCACAATTCCCGAAATAGAAAATGTCGGCGAGCCGCTACTGCTCTACAAGAATGTGTGAAAGCCTTGAGGCACTTTTGCCTGTCGCCCTGTCGGTTATGTACATTGGGATGATGTGACGCTCCTTGACGATCAAATCCTGACTCCTGCCCTCGAGGCATCTTTCTTGTCAATCAATTTATTTTCTCTTCATTGATGTATTCCATGTGTTCCATGTCTACGCTCGTGGCTGGTTCGTGGTTGCCTGGACCTGGGTAATCCCATCCAGCAATGACGGATTAGCTGCGCAGCCATTGATTATTCTTCTTTGTGTGAACTGTTCCTTATCGTGCTCATGGGCTTCATGTTCTCCATCCTTCGACTGGATGTACCTCGTCTTCTCTTCTTTTGTGTTCATGTCTTTTCCCTAGACGGGCCTCCGCTAGCCGCCTCAGGCGTTTGGGAGTCCAGTGGTCGAGAGGGTATGCTGGAAATAGCATTCAAAACATAATCTGCTTCTATATTTGCATGTAGGGACTATATGTGGATAATCCATTCCTATAATATTCCAGAGGTAGTCATAGAAGGTGAAGTGTGGTTCCTGAAACCGTTCCTGACCCCGATTACTTTCCGATGCTAAACCACGGGCCCCGAGGCGGAGTCTTTCGCCCCCAAAGACAAACGAGGCCATCTGCCTTAGCCGCCGTCCACTTTTCTCTTAACTGCGCCTTGCAGTACCTCTTCTGTTGGGTTTATTTTCCCTCATCTTTGCTTCATTTGTTCCACGCGGTGGCGACTTGGGATTCTAACGCCAAAGATCCTACGTTTCGGCCCCGCCAAGCCACTCAATCGTGCTTGGGGTTGACGGTCGTTACAGCTGTGATCTTTCTCTTTTAACTACTCGTTCCTTTCTGCATTCGCAGTTGCAGTCTTATTGTTTGAATACGAACGGGCAAAATGACTGAAGAGCCGCAGCTGGGCTCTATCCAGCAGCGGATTGCTGCTCTTAAGCAGTCCCAGGCGGCGCAGTCATCGAATGGCACAGAGCCGCCTCCATTCTTCCGCCCGCCCACCGAGCGAAGCAAATCGGCCAATATTCCTCCATCCTACGCCGTGACCGGCTCAGTCATAGATGGCACCTCGATTGGTAATGAACCTGCAGACGTGCAGATACAAAGATCGGCACCACGGCCTCCCCCGACTCCCTCGTCGAAGCCAGAGTTGAAACCAAAAAAGGCCCCGCCACCTTTGCCTACGCGCCGATCAGATCGCCCTCCCCCTCCTCCTCCACCTGCTCGCTCAGAGTCTCCAGCTCGACCAGAACCTCCGGTGCGACCGCAAATTCCAGTGCGACAGGAGTCCCGTCCCAATTTGCCTCCACGTCGGCCTACGCAGCTGTCACACAGACCGTCGCAGGAATCTGTCTTATCTGACGCGTCCCAATCGACCACCGCTACCAGCGTTGGGCGCGGCACGTCGACAACATCTGTCAATTCCAGCGGCAATGGACGCATCAAAGCTCCGGCATGGGGTGAGACGGAGCTACCTGTGCTTCCTCCCAGGCGGCCAAAGGAAGATCCTATTGATCTGACACCAGCTCCCCGCTCCGAGTCCAAGTTCAGTTCTAGTGGATTGACGGGGAAGCTCTCTTCCCTCCGAGGGAAGCTCCCCGGATCTTCCTCTTCGTCCTCCTCTACACCGTCTCGTCCCAGTATTCTCTCCCGTCCATCGGCTAGAGATTCATCACCTTCAGTTCCTCGACTTCCCCTGCGCCGGCCGTCTGGGGTGGAAACAGAAACCAATGGCGCAAATGCTGACGCCGAGGAGGAAGAAGTGAGGCCCAGACTGCCAAACCGGCCACTGCCGCCACCTTCAGCCGCGAAGAGTATTGCGAATGCTCGACAATCAGGGTTTGGTGGATTGAATAAAAGCCCGAGTATTCCTCCGAGACCGAGCAGCACACCAACAGAGAATGGTGCTGCTAGAGTTCCTCCACCTGTACCAACTGGATCTAGGCCAGATCTCACCAAACTGAATGCAACCAAGCCGCGTTTCCACAGTTCGCGGACTGGGCCTACTACACCCGTGGGCAGTCCTAGCACGGAATGCTTGGTATGCCGAGACTTCTCTGGTCCAGATACTCGCGCAGCGCAGTATCCTCGAGAATCACTCCCTACGCAAGATCTGGGCTGGCTGGCAAATGAGCTCACTGCTCCATTCCCGTCGTTAACTGACAAGGCAAGAGTTATCTTCACATGGCTGCACCACAACATCAAATATGACGTAGTGGCCTTCTTTAATAATGCCGTGAAGCCATCCACGCCGGGAAGCACTCTAGCCAGCGGATTGGCAGTGTGCGAGGGTTATGCCGCGCTATTCACGACCCTAGCCACAAAAGCGGGACTCGAAGCCATCGTTATCGGAGGTCACGGTAAAGGATATGGCCACACGCCTCTTGCCCCCGGTCAACCCATACCGCAGTACAATGCGGGCCACGCCTGGAATGCAGTCAAGATTGACGGTGGTCAATGGAAGCTAATTGACGCATGTTGGGGAGCCGGAGCCGTCAACGGTCATGGACAGCCGTACATCCAACGCTTCGAGCCACACATGTTCACCATCTCGAACGAAGAATTCGGCCTGAAACATTTCCCGGGCAACAGGGATCACTTCTTCCGCAACGACGGAAGACAAATTACATGGGAAGAATATATCACTACGGACCCGGACGCGCCATCTGGTCTCAAGCCCCTCCAGATCTATTCCGATGCCGACAAGTATAGCATCGGTCGCAAGACCCTTTACCCGGCCGGCGGTATCATCTCTGTCTACAACACCCCAGGCCCGGTGCGTTTCCAATTCGGCCTGTTCTGTGAGCATTGGACACTGGCCCGACATAGTCGCGAAAAACCCGGTCTCTTCCTCCTCATGATCCACGGAGTAGACGGCCGCGAAGACGATCGTCTCCCCTTCATCCATGTGTCCGGATCTGGACCCGGCGGAGGCGGCGAGATGTGGTATGTTGACGTCGCAGATGCCCGTCAATTAGGTGCCCCAGGACAGAAAATTCAAATCGCTGTTTTGAAGACTCTAGGCGAGCGCCACGATTGCCGTGGTGTTACTGCTCAGGAATATCAGTCGCAGGTCGGCCGGGTTGGGATGTCTTGGGCATATATTGCTGAGTGGACACTGGAACGGTGAATAATTGCTTGATACCTTTTCTGGTTGTAACTTTTTCACTTCATTTTTCTGGCGTTGGCGTGACGACACTTCTCGGCGCATTAATTACTATACGATAATATGAGATTCCATCTTGGATTTTGATACATCCTTGATTTACCTTTGAACTATAAACCACTCAGATAATGTCCTACTCAGCAGGGCGGTCTCATAGAGAAGACAAGGCAGGACAATTCCAGACAAATGTGACTGCTGCCAACAATGATTTTAACCCGGAACTATTGGTTGCACGCTAGCCCTAGGTAATCCCGCGCCAAAAAAAAAATCATGAACAAAAATGACAGGAGGGGGATTCGAACCCCCGCCCTCGTTCGAGGACTAGAACACCGAGTATAACCTGGTGTAAGAATAATTCTTGAGTCTAGCGCGATAGACCACTCCGCCATCCTGCCTTGTTGATATAAGAAAGGGAATATTTTGCACATATGACGTATAGTGAGGCCACACATGGAGTGGTTTTTCCAGTTCCGACAGTCTTATGTTTCAGAATTAAAGGGAGTATAGATTCATTTGGAGATGTATGAACACTGGATGTCTATTGTATTTATAGGCAGATATTATTGTCCAGAGTGATCCATGTCACAAGATGATGATCCAATGAACAAAAAATTAGCAATAATTGTTCTAAACTGTGTTGCTTTCTGATAGCACACAAGCACACGTGACTTTGAACCCTTACATTACAGATTTGGACCTTAACCTTGGAGGAATCTAACAATTTGATAACCATGTCCTCCTTTACAGATAGAGAAAGTTGTGCCCAAGTAATAATGACTTGCATAAATGTTATTTCCCGTCAGCAAAGCTAGACTCGGGAGCAAAAATTGACAGGAGGGGGATTCGAACCCCCGCCCTCGGTCGAGGACTAGAACACCAGGTGGTACTTGGTGTAAGAATAGTTCTTGAGTCTAGCGCGATAACCACTCCGCCATCCTGCCGGATTCGGAAATAGTCCGAGACTTTGGGCAGATAAGGCCTCCTGTATTTGGCCCACAAGGTTAATCCTGTCCCCGCAGCCAAAAATCGTCATTCGCACGCTGTGTACAAGACGCTTCTAGCCTAGAAGATTTTTTGTTTTGAAGAATACGAGGTATACGGCAAGCCAAAAATTGATAGTTAGAAGCGTGAGCGGGAATCTACAGAAATGAGGACAAACAGGAGCAGTCACTTCCCGCAGGTTAGTACGATCCCCATCTCTTACATACAGGAAGGCCTATTCTAGGTCTGGTATCATAATAGGTATATATGCTACTTATACTGATCAACCTGGCTGAGCCGATAGTTTATTCGCTTGAGTTAGATGTAGTTTTTCATAGCTCCCTATGTCAGACTGTGTAGGGCGTAGTATAGAAATGGCCCAGACCTACCGTACAGTCCGGAAACGGTCATACTAGATGGACTTCAATTTCGGTCTTTTTAGTGGTCTCTCTAAACGCCTTTCGTACCCTATTCTATGACGTCCAGCCAGTATTACTTAATTTATGGTTCCCCGACAAGATGATTTTGCCGGTTTGCCAGGATGTTGAACCCATGGAACCCACTGTGTACCTCTTCTGCACCAATCTATGGACTCAGAGAGAGAGAGAGAGAGAGAGAGAGTGTGTGTGTGTGTGTGGTTCATGATAATGTTGAAGCCAGAAATCTCGGAAAACTCAAGCTGCATATACTTCAAAAGGCTTTTATGGACCATCTGCGTATATAGTTCAATGGTTGGCCTTCAGTCGGTAGAGAGTTTGAATGTGTGGCTGAGAACATGAGCCCCAGGTCCAATTTGCGAAGATTCAGGCTTGTAGTGCTTTGAAAATTCCAATCTCTACTCCGAGGCCGAGAAATTCAAGGCCTCAAGACCCGAGTGTGAAACCCATGAATATAAAGTGGATCCCTCCAAGCCACCGTACACTGGGATGACGCGGAGGCGTCTTTTCCACGCTAACACATCGTTATGTCTAGTACTAATTTCTTGCGGCGCGCTGATCTCGAACAATTAATGTCACATCGAGAAGGTTTCGGGCTCTCGCCAGACGGAACTAGGGGTTTAAAAAAGCCTCAGCCGAGCCGAAGGCTTATTTGCGCCAGGAATGTCAGCCATTGCATCATGCAACATTGGAAAATGGGCATAGTGCCGAGCAAAGAACGGAGTTAAGACGAATCGGGTCCGTGCGGTTGAGTATCCAAGTTTACTAGTTGATGGAGGTCAATAGTCCATACAATTCTGGACATGGAAGATGTAAAGTATGGTAGGGTTGCTGCTAAGCGAAGGGGCAATGTAGACCCTTCAATTTCCATATCCAAGGGCCTTTCCCCGAAACCCCGCCCTTGCGTATGTGGAGGGCAAGACATTTTGGTCTGGGGAATGGTCTCCCGGTGTACGAATATGGCCAAGGGCAACCCCCAGTACTCCGGAGAAGCCGGATTACTTACCTAGAGGCGGGGATGTTGGGGATGCAATTGAGGAGAAAGACATCACCACGCTAGAGTACAGCGGTCCTACTGCATAGAAACCCTGGAAGTAACGAGGGCCTCGTTCCTCCCCTTCCCCTTGGGCACTTCCAGTTGGACTAGCGAAACGAATTGAATTGGGAGGGCCCACATCGGCCACGCAACAAAAACCACGCAGAGGGCGGCTTCAGCCGGCTGAACCGGATTTTGCAGAGATCATTCACAGTCGCAAAGAGGTAAAGACATAGAAAATGAATCAGCCATTGGCGTCAGCCAATGCCATTGACAGCCACCATTTCGGCGCCTCCAACGCCTCCCGTCCGAACCCATATCAAACTGGCCAATCTGGTGATTTCGGCATCCGAATTCTCACACGGCTTTGGGCCACCATGATGGCCGTGCCGTGAGCCACGCGGTGCGTTACCATGGGGAAGGTCCGAGTTGACACACAACTCATCCTGACCCTGCTGTCTAGAGAAAAAGTGCGTCTTGCATGGTCAATCCCGATGACCCACACTCGGCGAGCGCCGGCCAGTGAGGGTGAGTCAAACCCGAACGAAGACATGCCATCCCGTCTTGTTCTGGGTAAATGCCCGCACTCGGGGCCCCGGACTGGCCTCCAGACCCGGCAGAGATTTCTCGTGGTGCAGACTAAGTGGGTTTCTGGGCCGGTTAATTGGCAAGTTGCCGGTGTTGAGGGCGATTTGTCTTGCGGAATACAATACGATACGCCGAGAGAAAGAGAGGAGAAACCAGAGAATGTCGATGACGACCGGAGTTGTGCTGGACAGGAGTTGATACTGTAGGTTTGTACTCCATAGTGAGGAGTACTATCGTAGCCCAATCCAGTTTTTCTCCCTTCTGGAAGACCCCTTTTTCAATCAACTCTTACCCATCCCCATCTAAACCCTCCCAACATGATCTCTCTATAGAAAATTGTATAAACTCCCTCTCAGCCTCTTCCCGTGTTTGCACTCGGCAGCCGAACGCGGCATCGTGCTGATGCCGACGACGCCAGGGGCAAGCCGACCACTCCGAACGCCTCCCGAACGCCCCCCGAACACGGCATTCCTGAACATTCCTGGTGACTTTCCGTACGGCGCCAGACCGCATCGGGCATGGAATTATCACCTCGTGGCCGATTCCCCGGATCCTGCTAACGGTTGCTATAACTGCACCAATCAAACCCAGTTAAACACAGGAGAGTGGATGGCAATTAGCATTTGTCCACCAATTGTAGCCCTCCCGCTGAGGGTCGCGAACGGAGTCTTGGCTTCGGTTGGGAACGTTGCACTCGCCTTACCTGCAGTTTTCTTGTTACTCCATGGTATCCATACACTTGCTGGATCTTCCAGGCTGCTCTCTCGATATTACCCGAAATGAACTCTACCAGACATTTTGGTCAATTTTATTTGTTTTCCCCAGTGGATTCCTGCCTCGCATTGGTTTCGGCCCAAGCACTCGGTCCACCCATGGGGTGTAGGAGGCTTGTTGATCAGCTAGTATGTCTGCGAGGCTGCTCCAGTGAGAGGGAAAAAAAAAAAAAAAAAAATCAAGTAATCTCTTCGTCGATCCCATCTCATCAACTACTTAAAAGACTCCCTCTTCCGGCGTAGCCCTCTTTCGCGAATCGTGTGGAATTCCTTCCTTCTCCCGATTCCTTCCTCCCCTTCTCCTCCGAGTTCTCTGGGATTATACCAAATCTCAAGAACAAAGTCGCCCATCATGGCCATCGTGGGGAACATCTACGTGATTGCAGCCGTCTCCGTTATTGGAGGCGGTCTGTTTGGCTTTGATATCTCGTCTATGTCCGCTATTCTCGGCACCACTGCATACAAGTGCTACTTCAACCATGGTCCTGAGGGCCCTCCATTCAATGATTCTGATAAGTGTTCTGGTTTGAGCTCGCTGGCTCAGGGTGGTGTGACTGCTGCTATGCCCGCTGGTTCGTGGCTTGGTGCTTTGATTTCTGGTTTCGTTTCCGATCGTCTGGGTCGTAAGTATGCGATTATGGTGGGATGTATTATCTGGTATGTTACCTTTTTGAGAACAAGCTCAAGGAAACATCACATATACTAATGTCTGAATCTCCTTGTTTAGGGTCATCGGTTCCGCGATTATCTGTGCTTCGCAAAACATGGGTATGCTGATTGCCGGCCGTGTCATCAACGGTCTATCCGTCGGTATGGAATCTGCTCAAGTCCCCGTCTATATTTCCGAGATCTCTCCACCCTCCCTGCGTGGCCGTCTCGTCGGTTCCCAACAGTGGGCCATCACCTGGGGTATCCTGATCATGTACTATATCTCCTTCGGCTGCTCCTACATCGGTGGCGAGACCTCCTCCACCTACAGCCAGTCCGTCTTCCGTATCCCCTGGGGCGTCCAGATGGTCCCCGCCATCCTGCTCTTCGTGGGCATGAACTTCCTCCCTGAGTCCCCTCGCTGGCTGGCCCGCAAGGACCGCTGGGAGGAGTGCAAGGACGTCCTCACCCTGGTCCACGGCAAGGGCGATCCCAACAGCCCGTTCGTCCAGGCCGAGCTGCAGGAGATCAGCGATATGTGCGAGTTTGAGCGCCGTAACGCCGACGTGTCTTACCTGGAGCTGTTCAAGCCCCAGATGATCCACCGTACTTTCATCGGTATCTGGACTCAGATCTGGTCGCAGTTGACTGGTATGAACGTTATGATGTATTACATTACGTACGTTTTCAGCATGGCTGGCTATTCTGGTAACGCTACCCTTCTGGCCTCCTCTATCCAGTATATCATCAACGTGGTCATGACCGTCCCCGCCTTGATCTGGGTTGACCGCTGGGGCCGTCGTCCCACTCTCCTGATCGGTGCCGCTCTCATGATGACCTGGATGTATGCCAACGGTGGTATCATGGCTACTTACGGCGAGGTTGTTATCGGTGGTATCGACGGTGTCCCCGAGGAGTCGATGCGTCTCTCCGGTGCCCCCGCCAAGGGTCTCATTGCCTGCACATACCTCTTCGTCGCCTCGTATGCCCCCACCTGGGGTCCCGTCTCCTGGGTGTACCCTCCCGAGCTGTACCCCCTGCGCGTCCGTGGTAAGGCCGTCGCCCTGGCCACCTCTGCCAACTGGGCATTCAACACCGCGCTGGGCCTGTTCACCCCCGTGGCCTTTGCGAACATCCGCTGGCAAACGTATATCATCTTCGGTGTCTTTTTGACTGCCATGTTCATTCATGTCTTCTTCCTCTTCCCCGAGACTGCTGGCAAGACTCTGGAGGAGACGGAGCAGATCTTCGAGGATCCTAATGGCATTCCGTATATTGGTACCCCTGCCTGGAAGACTTCCCATGATACCAAGCGCACTATCGCTGCGGAGCGTGGGGATGTCGAGGTTCTGGGCGAGAAGTTGGCTGGCGGCGAGAAGAAGGCTGCTACTCATGCTGAGACCGCGGCTTAAATGTGCATGGTTGGTCTGAGTGTGTAGCTGGAGAGAAAGAGTTGTGAAACGAGATTGACTATGTCATTTTTCTCTTTGATTCCCCTGACTGGATTAGGAGTGAAAAGCCCAAAATGTTTACTTTAGATGATGTCATGTATAGAAAGAATTATTGACGAGATACACATGGATACTAAGCAGATGTATTGTTCTAATTGATCTAATCTGGGTTCATCTTGACCTGTTTGCCTTTCGAGTAAACTGAAATCGAAGATATGCTACAGTAAGCTTAAACCAGACATTTAGACGCGATGTCTTAAGAGGTAAGCGCGTGGGAGAGATGCTTAAAATATACTTTCCGGGGCGAAGCGCGCGAACCGCAAACCAGATCTCCTTCGGCCGTATCCTAGACAGGATTCTGTTCCTTCCTAAAGCAGTTGTTTCAAGAATTTGTCTTCAGAAATGTAAAACGAACTAGACAAATCCGCTTCGGATTCCTCTTCTCGGTTGACAGGTCTTTCTGGGTAAGCTTCCAATTACGCGGTTCGATAGTTCAGCCACAATCAGTTCAACGGTCAATTTGAAGATTTGTTGGGACTCAGAATTTGCTAAAAATGTAAGCAGCATGATTTGCGATAGAAAGACGATAGGAAATGGGATGCATTTCGGCTCGCAGCCGATGATTTCACAAGTCAAGGCCCTCAGGAGCTCGTTGGACGGGGTTATATCGAGTCCACTACAGTACGTATATACTCTATATGCATGCATCGGAGCTTGGGAGGATCCTACTCGGACTTGGTTGTGTACCCCGACCGACATAGACAACTCAATCAATTAAGTTTTGTCGGTCCGTATGAGCTCGTACTAAACGGCGGGTTGTGAATGCAGCGGGTGTAATTTGAGGAGCATCGATCCAAAATGACCAAGCTGTGATCTGCTGAGAAAGTCAGCACCGATGCGACTCTTCGCCGAGAAATTCCGGTGGCCAGTCAGACGAATTTGGAGAGTCCCGCCAAGTGGAGGGTCTTTAAGGGGAAAATCGAAAAAAAAGGTGCGGAGCAACTTGGAACCCCCCTGGCGCAGAAGAAGAAAAAAAAATCAAAGTTAGAGAAAGCCCGAATGACACTTGTTTCTCCACTGGCGTTCGTGTTCGTTTCCTCTCCACGACAACTCGATTGACCTCGTCCTTCGGCCTCGTCTTTTCATTTTCCTTTCGTCGCCTGCTTCTTCCTCGCGATTGTCGGCCGTCCGCACGTGAGAGTCCGCCTTCTCTCCGATCTCGCGCAGTGACGTCTTTCGTCTTCTCAATCGCCCACCCACCATTCCCTCACATACCCTCCGAACGGCTTCACCAGACCACTGCCTGCCATGGTTCGCCCCCGCGGTCGGTCGCAACTGGGCGTGGACATTCGCGGCGACACCAGCGCGCCCGCAATGTCCACCATGAACGAAGTCAGCCCGATTGAACCCACATCCCCGGACTTGAGCAAGGTGCGTATCTACCTCGGCCGATTTCCCCTGCCACATACAAGTTGCTGGAGGAGACGTGCAGCGGGAACAAGCCAAAGCTAATCATCACGCTTTGCGCATAGCAATTGGAGAATCGCATGGCGGACAAGTCCCCCGGAAAGTCACAGTCGAAGAAGCGTCGCAGTCGCTCTCTCCTCCATCGATTCGCCGATACGTGCCTCCGGTACACTTGGTTGCTCCCATTGCTCATCATGCTGTTCCTGCTGTCGCTGTATGCGGTCAATCCCACTACGTCCAACCCCATGCACAGCGCCATCTTCCTCTCCTATCCTCAGCCCCCCAAGACGCCCGGCGGACCCATCATGTACGGCAAAGGCAAGAAGGACATCGCCTTCGTGGCCTTTTACACCGTCGTCCTATCTTTCACGCGCGAGTTTATCATGCAGCAGATCATCCGTCCGCTGGCCGTGTGGTGCGGAATCCGGGGAAAGGGTAAGACCGCCCGGTTCATGGAGCAAGTCTACACTGCGTTTTACTTTGGTATCTTTGGTCCGTTTGGGTTGTATGTCATGAGCCGGTCGGATATTTGGTACTTCAACACGACCGCCATGTTCGAGGGATTCCCGCATCGCGAGCACGAAGGTCTCTTCAAGGCGTATTACCTGCTGGAGGCGAGTTACTGGGCGCAGCAAGCCATTGTGCTCCTGTTGCAGCTGGAGAAGCCCCGGAAAGACTTTAAGGAGCTGGTCGGACACCACATTATCACTCTGGCTTTGATTGCGCTGAGCTACCGCTTCCACTTTACCTACATGGGTCTGGCTGTGTACATCACCCACGACGTTTCGGACTTTTTCCTTGCTGTGAGTATCGTTATGCGACGTAGATCCTGATTCGTAGATCGGATCAAGAAAGCTAACATGGCGGACGCAGACTTCCAAAACCCTCAACTATCTCGACTCTGTCATCGTTGCGCCCTACTTCTGCTCGTTCGTCGGTATCTGGATCTACCTTCGTCACGTCCTGAACCTCAAGATCCTCTGGGCCGTCCTGACCGAGTTCCGCACCGTCGGTCCCTTCGAACTTAACTGGGAGACCCAACAATACAAGTGCTGGATCAGTCAGTACATCACCTTCGCACTACTAGCCAGTCTGCAAGCTGTCAACCTATTCTGGCTCTTCCTGATCCTCCGCATCCTGGCCAACTACATCTTCACCAACGTCACCAAGGACGAGCGCTCCGACGACGAGGAGTCGGAAGAGGAGACTGAGAACGAGACCAAGTCCAAGGCTACCATTGCGACTGGCGTTTCCAAGGAGAACATTGCACCTCAAGTACAAATCAACGGGGAGCCTGTACCTGAGCAACGGGGTCCACGGACCCGTAGCCGAAAGGCATGAAGAGCACATGTAATGACCCGATAATGAGACCCTGACTTACATCTTAATTTGATGCGGTCTCGGGTATGCATGCTTTTCTATCTCTTTTACTCGTTTCGCGTTTTCTTTGCCATCGGTTGCAATATATGCCCCGGCTTTGAGGGTAGCGCGGCGCTTCCCTGTTTATAATTAATGCATTGATGAAATGCATCGAAGAATCATATGGGAGGTCTAGATATCTAGATCCGGGGATCGGCATGAAAAATGGTGTTTGTCTTTATGCATGTCCGACATAATCTTTTTCTTGGAGACGATCCATCCACTTACCTTCCGTTCCATTAACATCCCCGGATCTGAGGGAGCTTGACCAAGGAGCGCCGCTGGTTAAAGCCATGTGGTGCATGTTGAGCGGATGTGTACGTTCTTTTGTTTCGATTCATGCACAGTCCACTTTTGGGACAGGTTCTGGTTCTTGTTTGTATTTATCACTACTTTTTTCACTTCTTTATCATGTGATTTTAGCTGTTGTTGGTTTGTTCAGGATTGATGGGCTATGCGGTGAGACGAATATATCGATGATTTCATGTCATGCTTGTTCTGGACGGTATACGCTCTTCTAAGACACCCTGCCATTGGCAACTTTGGATGTACGAGACACCTTGCATGAAAATGCACGGATAGCCGCAGAGTTTATGTCAATGGCGAGGGCAACTAGCATGGCATTTCCAACGACCTGCCTTTGAACCAGAACCCCAAGTTTGCATAAAAAGTATTTCTCAAGCTATATTCGAACTTGACTGTAGCCCTCTCTTTGATGAACAGAAATTTACTGTACAATTTCAACCACAGGATATATTGACTCTCGATAATTTCCAGACTTGATTCACATACCTATATACCATACACCTTGAACTTCAGGCTTCAAGTCTCTAGGGAACAGCAGATCTGCATCGAAAGCTGAGACTCTTGATAGGAACAATGATGGTCCTAAACATGAATGACAACGTCTACTTACCAGACTAATAATAGGTTCGAAGCAGTCCCCATTCCACATCCTCCTCCTAAACACGCACGCATACAGTACTTGCACTACAATATGGTAGTCGCCGTAATAGATCCTCAAAAAGGTTCTTGAGAATATTGTTCTCTCTATTGTTTACTTAGGATTTTCTTATTGATGGAGAGGGCTTACATATTTGGGGCCTCGCATATTCTATTCTTACCAAGTAAGAGGTAATTTCCAGTGGAAGCATGAATTTACACGGCCATTCTGTCTGTTGAAGGTAGACTAAGGAATGATAAGAGCAAGAAGAGAGATAGGGGAGCTTCCGCTCGCGCAGGCTGCTATGATCAAGGAGGCTTTATAGTCCCAGGATTCGGACTTTTCGCACACAGAGTACGAGATCACTTAATGGAGAAATTGAACTTGTAGTGTGTCATCACCTGACCGTTACTCGTTTATTCTGTTGGTGAGCTTATCTACAAGAAATGTCTCGAATTTATGGACATCACTTTGCTACCTTTGAACACCAACAATTTAAAGCCATCTTTGATGCCAACATTTTCAAGCTTACCACACCTCAGCAATTAAGTTCTCAGAAACGAGTTCGGAACCTACCGGACCCTGCTAGTTGTGAAGATTTGCTGCCCAGTGCACACATCGCTAGCGTTGCAAGTTCCTCGGCTGCTAGGTGTGGGTACAAAAGGGCAAAGGGACTTTTTCAGATTAGGTCAGTCTGATCGGCCAATTGAAGCAATAACTCACTTTCTGCGTAACCTTTCTCTCGATGCTATCGGGAAATCTAACCACGTTGCGCCAATAAGGGCTGGTTTGGCGAGCTACATGTCTGTGCCTCATATATTAGAGTTCAATAGTGCAAGCTTAGTGCTGAACAAGCAAATGACTAGCTAGCATGCTAAATCTAAGACCCTCGTGTTCACACCATTGGCTCAATTCAAGGTCGCTAAAAGAGTCCATCTTGTGACGACAACTGAGGGGTTAGAGGGGTTGTCTAAATCGCTATCGAATTCTAGGCCGCAGCATAAATACCCTTCGCTCCTCCTACGATTGTGATACGATATAAATCTTTTATCCATCATCTGAATACTGCCATACTAAGAAGATCATCAATCATCCGTCAAGATGTCTTACAACAACGATTCCGGCAACTACAATGGTGGAAACCAAGGCTCTGACTTTAGTAACAATGACAACTACGGATCAAACCAAGACAATTACAGCGGTGGCAACAACTCTGGCTCTGGGAGAAACCAGGACGGCGGCAACGGTGGATACGGCGGTGGAAATGACAACTATGGCGGCCAGTCTACCGGCTTCGGGGGCCAGGGAGGCAACGACAATTATGGAAATCAGTCCTCTGGAAACTCGGACAACTATGGCGGCAACCAAGGAGGAAACTCTAGTAGCAGTGGCATCGGTGGTCTTTTGAACCAAGCTGAGGGTGAGTAAATAAGAGATATTCCCTTCGACTTCTAGGTTATACCTGAGCTCACCCGTGGCCTCATTACAGGATTCATCAAGCAAGCCGGTGCCTCCAACAACAGCAACAACAACAGCAGCAACAATAACAGCAGCAACAATAACAACAATCAGCAAGCGAATAGCTTCGTTGACTCATTTGTCGACAAGGAGGTTGATCAATTCGCTCCTACCGGAACGGACAGTTTTGTGAACCAGGGTGTCAACAATGCGGTCAACAACGCTATGAACAAGTACCTGTGAATATATCTTGCCAGGGGGAATTCGTGGCCTGGTCAACAGAGGATACAGAGAAGAATTGTTCCCTCAATTGACTGTGTATCCTCTTGTAACAGAGTCAGTTATTTGTTAGTGATGCTGTTTTCCGATGGTGAATTTATGGAACATCCGTTCGAGAAAGTCTCATACACATCTCTGGGTACACATGTATGGGTGCTCTACGCGCGTAAATCTTGAAGTAGACCACTTCACCGAGGGACAAAATGAAATGATTAATTATGAACAATATTCAATGAGTGGTGTTAGAAGATGCCAAGAAATAGAAATAGAGGCAACTGTCGAGTGAATGGCCATACTGCCAACAACAGTGATTAGATGACAGAATTTGAGCCCATTCCGTGCAAACTTAGTAAAGGTACAAGAGGAACTCAGACAGGAGGCAATTGCTTTGGATAAAATGAACTACAAAAAAAGACCAGAAGAAGAATCACGCATGAATCGAATGACCTATCAGCGCAGGCGAATTAAGCATTGCCTCACATAATCTTATACGCTCTTCCACATAACCACGCATGCTCTTCATAATAAACTACCTATGAGCATTTACCCTAAAAACTGGCCAATCTCTCTCAAAACCATAACATCCTCAGCTATGAAGACCAAGGAATTGTTCTCCAAGAGACTCTGTACGGGTGGCGTAAGTGCTGAAAAGGGAGGGGCTAAACCCCACATATTAGAATTTCAAGACTGATGTTTCCCCATAATTTGAAGCCAAAAGCTTTCTTGAGGATTTTCGTGGGTCAGATTTGGGCTATGCTTGTAGTAGTGAGGAGTTTCCTTGGCGGGAAGGCGGGGGGTCTCCAAATTATACCGCGGAGCGGGGAATTCTCTTGCGGGGTCAAAGTTATCTTTCTTCAATCTCACTGTATCTCGCACCTTTTCCTGCCAAAAAGCTTCATTCAATTGAACTTCATTGTGATAAAAGGCCTGCGACTGAGCATCTTCATCATGTCTGATCAAGCAGCCCAGCTCCCCATACTAGACCACTTCGTCGTTCTTGTTTCACATCATGATTTGCTCAGAATCTCTCAGCAGCTAGATGGCCAGTTCACTCTAGCACTGGGCGGCAATCATGCCGATGGCCTCACAACAAACAGATTGGTTCTGTTTCCAGATGGATGTTACTTAGAGTTCATTGCTTTCTTTGACGACGTGGACCCGGAGAGACGCCGCAACCATCGATGGGGAAACGAGAAGGAAGGCACAGTCATCGACTGGGCTTTCACTTTACCCTCAGAGAGCGACTTTAAACTTGTGCAAAAGAGATTCCAATCTGCTGATATTGATGCGTCTTATACGGATCCAATTCCCGGAGGTCGTACCAAACCAGACGGCACTATCTTGGAATGGGCAGTCTGTACACCCAAAGATGGCAACGGTAAAGCATCATCGCCAGGAACTATGCCTTTCTGGTGTCTTGACAGAACGCCCCGGGAGAGACGTGTTCCTTATGAGTTGGAGCCGCATCTAACGCAACACCCTAATGGTGTGCAAGGTGTCAGCTCCGTACACGTACAAGTCCCTCATGAGGACACATCGAACCTCAAGAAAGTGTATGATCTAATATTCGATGGACCCTGGAAGTATAAAGTTCTTTCCGGTTCGACGAACTGCGACCACACTGTTTCCTTATCCGGTGGGGAGGCAGCTATCAAGCTAGTTTTCCACGGATCTAAGCCTGGCAAAATTGAGCTGTTGCCTGGGCTGTTCTTTGAAATTGAGCTTTCATAGTCTTCATAAGTCCATAAGATGTGATGTACGTCCACGACAGGCGCTGGTGGTAGATAGCAAATCTCAAAACGGTCCAGTTGTAGCATATATCCATTTACAGACACTCTTCACGAATTTCTTGTATCTATATTGAGAAACTTCAATCTTACCCGAGTCAGTGTGGATGGAAGAAAGGATAAAAGCCAGCGGAAACCTCAAAAGGTGAAGCACAGTGAGATTACCAATACCATTCTAAACTTGCTGAGTAGCAGACATGAAAAAGAAAGGAATGCGGTCATTTAGTTCAAGAGGAACGGATTTGTACCCACGCAGCGGCAGCATCGGCAGCATCGGCAGTTCATAGATTCCATCAGAGAAGTGGAAATCTCCCGAACAAAACGATTACGGTGAGTCTTCCACCACGATTCATGCTCATTTTTCGCGAATACATCCAGCCCATCTGCGTATGGATCCGGAAGTGACGTCGATGAACAGAAGTATCGACATCTCCCGACATGAATAGAAATCGTTACCAGCATGTCGGCAATATCTACCTCAACAGCGAGTCTTCTGCGAAGAATGTCGGCTACCCAAGTCATAGCGTTACACAGTCGCTCAACCTTTTGACAGATGTTATTGCGAACGTCTTTTTCGGACTTCAGATTCATCTTCGTGATTTCTTCCGACTGTCCAAGACGCCACCCCTCTGCGAAGTCATCTAGCTTTGCAGCAATGTTCATGTGAACTTGATCTCCTTTGCGAAGCTCCTGAGACCATTTGAAAATATCTCTGTACAAGGCATGCCGATTACCTTCGAAGAGGCCGGCATTGTATGCCTCATTAACTGCATCAGTAAGTGAATTCATTGTTTTAATGTTATGATCCCTGATTGAGGATAAGTTTGGTTGCTGTGGCTGGCAGTACACTAAGATTTAAACAGAAGCCAATCGAAATCTGAGCGCGGTGAACTTCAGTAGACATCGGAAGAGGTCTGGCCTTTTATAGCCGATTTTGAAGGTCTCTAGACAGAGGCATTTGTTTCTTTATTCCAGTCAACTTGTTGTGCTTAAAGCAAACCCGAAAGTAGTTTCAGACAATGGGTATTGTATCATCTTAGCCATCTACTATGAATGGATGTGACCAAATAACAAATGGTCCTTTGATTCTCTTTGGCCTATTGGTAGGATTTTATGACTGACAGGCCCCTTTCGAGCCCCACTTAGGATTCTCGGCAAGTCTACAGGAACAGATCAATTCGATATCATATTGAGTCTACCAAGCACCACGATGAGCTGTTCATACCAATTTGAAGCTCTGTCCAGGCTGTACTATGCCAGTGTTCTGGATTTGCTCGCCACTTTGGGCACAACTCCGCCGCAATCTTTTCCAGTCCATCTGCGTACTCATCCACTGGTGACCCATCACCAAGAAACCTGAGTCGCCCAAGTTGCACGGCGTACATCTTGAGTACATCCGACAACTGCATCATGTCGGGGTAGGTTGTGAGAAAATGGATCATTTCAAGCATTCTCTCGGAGAGAAAGATATACTTGGTTCTTTCATGGCAGTGCTGTTCCACGCTAGACTCCGTTAACAAGCTAGATTCGTCCACGTGCAGCATGATGCCCGCAAGGCTTATATAGTTGGCTAGCTCAGTCAGACTGTCCAGAATGTCGTAATAGCCCTCTGTTGTCTGGCTTTGAAGCCTGTATGCAATCAGGTTAGACCAGTAAGTCAACAACTCCACATGGTATTTCCGGATCTGGGCAAAACTATCGAACCTTTCCTGGCAGAGCATTGGTGCCCACTTATCGCTGCTGTTGTCCATCTTTGAGGTGACTGGGCGGTTGATTCGGTGCCAAGAAGTGAAGCCAGTGAGATCTCAACTATGCTTGAGAAAGTTTGATATAAAGAAGGATATTGTGGTCTTCACACATTCGCAAAGATCGAATGGTATTTATGCACACCCGCTGTACGTATTCAGTTGACTTTGACTAATGTCTTCTAGGCTCCAAGGTTGGAAATAACAAAGTAACAAAGACCCTTTATAATAGAACAAGGGCATTATACCCTTGAAACTCCAAAATAATTTCATGGCGCAAGTGCGTTTCTTTCGTGAGGATTATTTATAATCGTGTTTGAGGATGTTCGTTATGGAGAAAACAATGTCATTGTGTCTGCATCAAAGAATGCCCTCGGAATTTAGAGATCAACGTTTCAGGTAAACCAAAGTCATTTCATTTGAGGTTCCTCTATTCGACTGCCGTGAACGAACCCCAAGGGCCTATTCCCGACGATCGAATATCTTGGGATGACCCTGAGGTTAGCAAACTTGCCACTTATCATGTATCCAGATGACATTCGTGCTGCCCAAAAGAGTAAGAAAATCTGTTATAGAAGGTTTTAATTCGACAATGGCATGTAAGGAACCACGAATACCGGATCTGAACAACTCTCAGGGCTGAGAGGGGTACAGGCCGTGCACCCACACTTCATGTTGCGTTGAAGCCGGTTCCAGATCAACCAGAGCTCAGGATTATTGGACCACTTATTGCCCCGACTCTTTGCTATTTCATCCATTTCGTTTGCAAACTTATCCACGACAACCAATCCAACTAGAGCCTCTCTCAACCGCCCGACCTGCACGACGAGCATCTCAAGGATTGCTATTATCTTCTTTTTCTCCACTGACACATACCCATAACATTTAAGCTTTTCATCAATTTCCAGCAGAGTGCTTTTGATGCAGCGCCACGTTCTGAGATAACATTCGTGTATTTCATTATTTTCCCAGATTTCTTTTGCCTCCATATGGACATCGGCATCGGGGAAAACGTCTCGGACTGCCGGGGCGTATAGCTCATGAAGCTCGGACGGTGCATCTCTTCGATAGTTCAATTGGGTTTCAGTTGTTGCGATCGCACGGATATCTCGTCTTAGGGTACCGGGATCAACACTCTCATCAATTAGATTCTGTCGACATTCTCGAAGTCGGTCCATAGTATCTTTCCGGTCACTGGCGTATGCGATGGCACAGCGGCATATGCTTCGAGCCTCGTCCGGCCGTAAAGGTTCGTCAAAGGTCATCTTCTTTCTCTCGATCAACTGTCAAGATTCCTTCGCGAAAGATTGAGTTTTGGGGTTGGAACATTCGTTGTAAGTGGCGTACGATCATTCAGTAATTCAAAGCCCGGGCAAGAAAGTTTGAATGGTTTTGGGAGGCTCTTACAATCAAGGGATCAGTGCAATGAAATCCCCTAATATATAGGTAGTCCGGTTGCAATAGCCGGTTTTTAGTTCAGCTTGTGATACATATTTCACCTATTGGCGCTAATTTCTTTGTTCTTTCTGGACTCACGTTTGTGTCAAAATATAGGTAGCGCCAGGCTCCGATGGTCTTTCATCCAAGATCTCCCCTTTGAGAATAACAATTTCAAACAGAATTGTACATTCCTAACCCAATAGATTGTTCGTCAAAATGGAGATTGATCAATAATAGCATAGTCCCTCTTAACTGATAAGGCGGGGCTAAATCCTAGCATGCATACTGAACGTGGAACGCTGCAGAAAGTCCGAAATGGACGGTGTGAAGTTTCCGCTATGATGCTAACCATGTACATGAGCCACACTATGGATCTCTATGAAGTGGTAGATTCATTTCCATTAGCATCGTCGCTCTCACTCTCGGCATTTCCGCTGTTGTCGGATTCCTTGGAATCGGCATTGGTGCTGTCCTTTTGCTCGGATGATTTGCCTTCAGAGTTCTTGGAGGGCTTATCGCCAGAGGACTTTGAAATGCCAACAATTAGCATCGGGAATAGCATGAATACTCGGTAATCCTCACCTCGTCGCCAGCCGACTCTTCGGACTTCTCTTTCTTTGGCTCTTCGGCTTCAGAATCCTTCTCAGTAGGCTTTTCATTCTTCTTCTCTTTTCTATTCTTGTCGTATTTACTCTCCTCCTGGAGCTCCCCTGATTTATATGGCTTGTCGGACGGCTTCTTTTCATCGGCAGCCGCATCGGCAGACTTTTTGGCCTCTTCTGCCTCTTCTGACGCTTGATCCTCCTCAGTTTTCTCCGCGTGATCAGCGCCATGCTCATCCCCGTGCCCGTCACCGTGAGGCTTCCTCTCGGGACCTGATTTAAGCAGGTAGAAAACCATAGGGCCAGTCAGCCCAACTGATCCAAGGAACCTAACATAATGACAAAGATTAGGACTTGTCTGCGCAGTAGAGCGGAATCAATTCTCAGAGAATAAGACACACCATGGGAGATCGCTAGTCTTGTGCTCATCGTAACCCTTCCCACTGGCATAGAACCGACGGCCCAGCAATTGGGTCGTGCGCCGGGCTGCCGGGGCAGCATAGAAAGACTGAGCTGTAACTGTAGCTCGTAAAGCCGAGCGGCGTATGAAAGCCATTGTAGAGTAATTGAGACGGGAAGTTTGAATGAACAGGCAAGTGGCAGTGAGGAAGGGAGGAGAAGCAGTGTCGAAATGCCAGTCAGCTACACACTGCACCAGCGGGGAGCTTCCCAGTTTTGCTGCAGCTTCCCCTCACGGGCATTCCCTGGCCGACGCAACATCACATTGCGCATCTCATTCGCTACTTTCCGGCGTCGTAAGACCACTTCCCAGCCATCTTCCGTTGGTCTGTGCGTAATTGCGTCGGTGATGTCATGGCACAAGACCAGGGACCTCGGCCAGTTGATATGAAACAATGTTCGGATCCAGTGAATGATAATTGGTCGCTCCGTACCTATAAGTATGGTAAATTCAGTTCACATAGGGCAGAGTGGATGTTGTACCTGGAAGAATATTTAGGCTCATCTAGAGGGATGTATCTCCCAGCTATCTGATAAGATCGGCCCACTCGTGCCACTATATATTGACGTTAAATAAAACCGGCTTGAATGGAAACCTGATAATTTTGTCTTGGTTTCTCCCAGAGTGAAGGGATCAGCTGGATTTTAAAATCCTTTCATCTGATTGAATTGGGGGCACAATCTATACCTTACGAACAGAGCTGTATACAAGTTGGTGCCTCAGGCAGTAATATATGCCTCATATTTCAGGCCACTAAACCCCACGTTTCCCGCAGCTATCAGTTCCGCCTTTCATCACCGATAGCAGTTCAACTTCACCTCCCACTCAAGCTTCTCCCTTCACTTATCCGGCCACCCTTTTCCTTTCAAGTCTCGCCCCCAAATCATAGACATAGCTATGGCAGACCGGCAGGTTACTCAGCAGAATATTCTCAGTCATCTCGCCAAGCTCGATGACCCCGATGCCGATCTCCGATACATGTCGCTCAGCGACCTGTTCACCATTTTGAGCAGTCCAAGCTCAAGCTTTCTTGCCAGCGATAACCGCTCTTCAACCAAACTTGCAGAGGGCCTTCTCAAGGCTCTGGATGATCAACATGGCGATGTGCAAAATCAAGCCCTGAAATGGTATGCAACCGTCACTTCACTGAAGCAGAGCCGCAGTGACTGACCCGTCATGACCGCATTAGTCTCGGCCCCTTGGCTGTTCGACTTCCTTTCGAGTCGCTTGTTCCCCTCCTTGAAAAATTGAGCACCCTCACTGCTTCACCAACGATTGACACCTCGGTCCCCAATACCGCCATCCGGACCATCGTTGACACGCTTCCTCGCCCCCAGGCTGGCCAGCCCGCTCCACAAAACGCCGTCACGGCCTATCAGGCTGTCTCAAAAGTGTTGATCCCCAGACTTACCGGCCCAACTCAATCAGCATCTGGTCGACGAGGTTCCTTCGTGCGGGGAATGCTGGAGAAGGATGCATCCAAGGGTTTCAGCAGCGATGCCATCGATGTGCTCATCAAGGTTGTGACATGCTTCGGTCCTCTTCTTTCCGAGTCAGAGCTGGCTGCTCTGCAGGAGCCTGTCATGGCCATCATTCATAATGATACTGCTGGCACTGTCGTCACTAAGCGTGCTTTGGCTGCCATCTCAGCCCTGGTCCTCTACTTTTCTGACAACCAGCTCAATGCCTTTGTGAAGCACTTGACGGAGACATTGTCTTCGCCAGGTATCTCGACCGTCCACCGACGGCACTTGATTGCTGCTATTGGCGCGATTGCTCGCAGCGCCCCGGCTAAGCTCGGTCCTCATCTGGACAGTCTCGCGCCGTTCGTTTTCTCTGCCGTGGGAGAGGACAACCTTGTGCAAGCAAACTGAGCGGGCCTTGACAAGATTTTCTGTTCGTGATTCCTCCTATCTCGGTGTAGCATCAGTCCTCGAGAACTATGACGCTTATGTCAAGGTCAAGAGAGTCATGCTGCATCTCCTAGGGCTGTGCAGATCCCATCTGGTCGAGCTTGCAGATCATACATTGTTTCATCACAGAAGGATCAGCTGGTCGTAGCATCCGAGGAACCGATGATGTTGTCCAGCAACCCCATTATTTTAACGATACCCATGTTGACCATTTTCATCCACCCATATGATCATTTCATCCATCGTTGGGGTGAAGCAAAAAGCCTTTGCATTCTATGGAGTACTTCCGGACGCCTGATCTTCCAGGCGTACCTTCCCTTCGAGGCACTAGCCATAGTTAAGTTAGAACACGCCAATGCCAATGCCATTTTTGCTTGCGGCTCCTCTTTGCAACTTCCTCGTACTGTTTGCTCGTCCTCTTTCTTTCCCCGTCTCCTTTCAATCGATCCCTCTTGTCTGGTCTTTTGATCTTCTCTCCTTGACTCTTCGCCATTCTTCTCCATTCGTACTGCCTGTACACCCAACTTATCATAGGTTTTATATTCCACTGACGCTCCATCTTCGGGATTCCAAGATGCATCTGCATCAATTCTTGATCATTCTTGCTCTTCTCGTGGGCATAGCTTTCAGCTGCGTCCATGATTCTATCGAGCCTGACGGAACCATCGAGGAACCCACCCCGAGCCAAGATCAGCCCGAAGGTCTTCGTCTGCAACTCCGAGACATCACCAAACAGCTTGACTACAAATGCGGCCCGAAATACGGATCATGCCCCAGTGGTACTTGCTGCTCCAGTTCAGGTGAGTGACCCTCCGTCCTGGATTTAGGTTACTACTTACATCGGATTGAAAACCAGGCTTCTGTGGGACCACCTCAGCTCACTGCCGTTCTCCTGATTGTATGATCGACTACGGCTTCTGCGACGCCCTCAAGACACCCAAGGGGCCTCCAACGAAGGACATTCTCCGTCCTCACGTTGGCCGAGTTCCCTATGGCCCACAGGAGATTCGCTCGTGCACGGTTCCAGGAACGATTGCTTTTACCTTTGATGACGGTCCAACTCGGTACACAGGTGATCTTCTTGACCTCCTCGACCGGTACAACGCGCCTGCGACTTTCTTCGTTACCGGAATCAACAACGGGAAGGGTCCGATTGATGATCCAACTCTGCCCTGGGCTGGCCTAATTGAGCGGATGATTATCAGTGGTCATCAGGTTGCCAGCCACACCTGGTCGCATGAGGATCTCAGCAAGGTAAACCCCGAGCAGCGGCAAGACCAGATGCTCAAGAATGAGGTGGCTCTTCGAAACATTCTTGGCAGCTTCCCTACCTATATGCGTCCACCTTACTCCAGCTGCCTTCCCGGCTCCGGGTGTCGAGAGGACCTCGGTGATTTGGGGTACCATATCATTCTGTACGATATTGACACCGATGATTACAAGAACGATAGCCCGAACCTCATTCAACTGTCCAAGGACATCTTCGATCGATTCTTGAATGCTGGTAATTCCAAGACAAATTCTTGGCTGGTCATTGCCCATGACGCACATGAGCAGACCGTCCACAATCTGACCGAGCATATGCTCAAGACGAGTGCAAGACTCGGATATCGACCTGTCACTGTTGGTGATTGTCTTCGTGACCCTCGAGACAACTGGTACCGCACAGATAACCGAGGGGCCGGACACAAGAACAAGAAAAAGTCCCCAAAGAAGGGCCCGAAGAAGTCCAACGCGCCGCAACAAGTCTCCGCCGATGGTACCTGCGGGGCAAACTATACATGTCTCGGATCGCATTTTGGACTGTGCTGCGGCAGCACAAATATATGCGGAAATACCACCAGTCACTGCGGTCATGGCTGCCAAAAGGAAGCTGGATACTGCGCAATTCAAATTCCCTCGAACGGTGACGCATGGGATCCCAAGTTCCCAGGGACCAAGAGCGTCAAGTCAGAAGCGGACTCTAACGGTCGGGTTGTTGGGACTGCGGCTGCAACCTCGTTGGTGCTAGCCTTGATTGTTGCTATGTGGATGTGAGGGTCCCGGGAGATGGCGGTTAAAGAAAGGGGCGTGTTTGTCTTTTGTGTCGGAGCTCTGACTTGGAACCTGCAAGGTTATATTTATACTTACACACTGTGGCCCCAAGGCCATCACTCTTTACATGCTGGCGAACCCTTCGGTTTGGGGTTGGTGATTAGCTAAAAAAATCGCTCCGGAGTTGGAAGCCTTTTGTTTAAGGACTTCTTGTTCAGAACACTTCATGAAACACCATCGAAGACGACAGAATGTGGACTTCAATTGAATTCGTAGATTCCTCTGCCCAATGTCTCATTATTCATAGGGCAATACACATACAACATTGACAATGCACAATACCCAATACTTGTGGGAAAAAACACAGGATCAATCACAGTATCCCGCAGGTAGCAAAAACAAAAAAGATCAAAGCACTAGCACAACGTAACATAAAGGGGGTATAATAATATGATCCAAAAACGCAGCAACTCGAGACAAAACTCCTCCTCAATCGAGAACCACCCAAAGCCCATCGTCCACGATACCCATGACAACGTTCTTCATTTCCGGACTACCTTCAAAAGCGGCGCAATGCGAGCTCGTTTACTCAATCCAACGCGGTATGGCACTTTTGTCGTTGACAAGATTGGACTGTGCTTGGTTGGTCCCTTGTGTGAGGCTTTTCCTGTTGTGGGGTCGTTTTCTTTGCCGTCTGCTCGCTGTGGCGTGTGGGGGAGAGATTCGTTGGCGGGCGTTGACTCTTTTTGGGGAGGAGGGGTGGGCTCTGCGATTTCATTTGATGGCTCGGGGATTGAGGGTAGATTTTCTTCGGTTGTAAGCGCGCTTTGTGTTGCTGCTGTTTCTGTATCCGGCTGTTGCTGCGGCTCTTCTGATACTGAGTCTGTTTCTGCAGCGAGCGGCTCGGCGGTCTTCTTTCGCTTGCGTCCACGCTTCTTCGGCTCGGGAAGTTCCTCAGCTGGAGGTTCATCGGCTTGCTCAGTAGACTTGTGGTCGTCTACTTGGAGAGGATTCGAGTCTACCCATATGACGTCGTCATCGATAGCTGCTTCCCTGGGCTTATCGAGAACAGCCGATGCTGTTTTGCTTCGTTTGACCTTCTTCTTTTTAGGTGGCTTTGTAGCTGTTCCAGATTCGGTTGACGCGCTCGCATCATTGGTCTTGGATTTACCGTCAAAAGCAACAGGCAGGACTACCATAAGCCCAGGAGTACTTCGAGGTTTGACCTCACTTTTTGAAGGTTCATCCGCATCATCGTTGATCTCGATAACGTCCATCTTGGCTGCTTCCTGATGCTTAAGAGCATCACGTCGCTGCATCTTAGCCGTCCTACTCCATTCAGAGTCAAAGTAATTCCGAGGCGCAGGCGCAGCGGTTCATCCTCTTCGTCATCTTCCGGTAAGGGGTGTTTCTTCGGACGACCGCGCTTCTTTACTACAGCGGGAGGATCCGTAGTCATCATCGGCACCATAGGCAGCGCCAGTTCGTCGTTCGCACTGCCCTCAGAATGCTGCGGTGACATAAGTCCCGATCTGACATTGTCGCTTTTGGATCTGCTCAATCCTGGAGAAACGACAGATGACAATGGCTGAGTATCATGCGGTGACCACATCTGCGACTGCATTGATCTGGACCGTTGCGAGGTCTTGTGCGGTTGATTTACGTAAACAGCATCGTTTAGCTGGACAGATGTAGAAATTGTATCCACCCGCTCGCTGTGTTCGCCAGATGGTGAGTCCACATTGTTCGATGTTGCGGGTGTACTGTATTCATAGCCATTGGCACGCGGATGCGTTGGTGCGACAAGTTGCGTCGCCTCATAGGAATCCTGGACGACTGGGAGTGTATACGTGTAATTATCATTGGCAACCTCATTGACTTGCTGATACGGATAGTTCGGGATTGAAGGGAACGAGCCGGGCTGGGAGATCTCACTTGGGTAAGGAGTGTCTGTTGAAGGAAGAAGCTGACCAGCGCTTGAAATGTCGTCGTCGAGTAATCGGCGCTGTGCGTGTCCAATCTCAGTCATCACTGCCCCTATGCGCGAATATGTTAGTCTCATCTTCTGTTCTCAGGAAAGGCCGGCCGGCAGTCATGGGAGACCGGCGTGTAATGATTCTAACGTACCAATTGAGCCACCCCCGCCGTCCACAGCCGAGGGAATCCAGCGCTCCTCTCGGCGATGCTGCGACAAAGTCACTGCCGATTGCGACGTGTCCTGCGATTGCAAGAATTGATCAAAATTGACCCCCAGGTCTAGTTCGGTATCAGACTCTTGAACCGCTGGTTGCTCAATTGGGCAATTTGCTTGTTGCTCCACGGCATAGTGGTCCGAGTTGTCCTGCAGTTGTTGCTTTGGGGACTCATGGCCATGGTAGGGACCAAGCGAATCCGGAGCCTCGACCCCATCATCCCCGAGAGGCTCGTCCTCGTCGGAGTCCTGGATGACTCGATCCCAGCTCATTTAGTGTGGTGTCGCGAATGCGCAGTGAGAAAAGAGGCGGGCTTATCGACGCGTCCCAAAGAGACACGATACCACGTGACGATAAGGCATGTTAGAGACGGACGGCTACGTCAGAATATTACACCAAGGTAGACGACGCAGTCAGGATTAAGTACAGTATTGAGTTTTTTGATTTAGATGTTCAGAAGAGAATAAAGGACATTTTGCAGAGTCTGCAATGTTGTCACTCGAATATGGAGTCCTCGAGCAATAATATCTAAGAAGGAAAAGAACAAGGCTTATGCAATGCCAAACAATCAATGAAGATGACCGAGTTTGACAAGCCAGTCACCGTCCACGAAGAGAAGTTAAAACGCCGGATTCGCCCACAAGAGGATATGGTAGAATTCCAACCATTCGTAGGTTAGGAAGCACCAACGCAACCGACGGACCAAGAATGAGAGCGTCCAAATGGAACATGCAAACTATAGAATCGACAGAAAAAAAAAGGCATAGCCATAAGTTACCGGGTATCTTCAAGTCACAGACAGAAATGCATGGATATAGAGGAACGGGCGCAGATCACAGAACCCCTCCGGGGAGGTTTATTTGGGCCTGTGGCCGCCCGCCTTCGAATCCTGCGCTGTTCGGTGAGGGACCAGGAATGGGGTAGGTGGGATTGTCTGGGTGGATCTTCCGTAACATGAACATTGGTTTCCGGCCTTCCTTTTCAAGTTGCTTGAATAGAATGAGCGGTTTCTCATCTAATGCCAAGCATCTTTCTTGGTCTCCGTACACGATGTACAAGGCGTAAAGTTTGGGATCGGAGTGGATGTTGTATTTTTTCAGCGCGGCTGGAAGGACCTTGTAACAGGGATCATCCCAAGATACTCGGAACGACTTGAATATCTCCACACTCGATGGTTGACCGGGGGGTGCTGTCGATTCTCGTGATCCGGAAGGAGTTTCCGTTCGGGAAGGTTGCTGGTTTGGAGTAAGCCGGTCGGCCCGAGATGCTGTCCTCTGCGGTACATCATCAGAATGGTCGTGCATGTTACGACCGCCAGAGCTAGGTTGTGTGTATGATCGCGGGTTGAGTGTTTGGTGTTGGGATGTATGTGCGTTGGGAGAGGTTGGTGACGGGACACCCGGGGAATGTTGTAGTCCTCCATTCACTGATGCTGAAAGGTGCGAAGACGCAGCCACAGCCGCCGCAGATGGATCGAGATTTTGGTTATCATGATAATTCCGAGCTTCATATATAGAGGGCGGGATGTGGGTGGGAGAGTTATTCTTTGGCGTGGTGCCTCCAGTGTAGGTGCGCTTGGAGAAAGCCCGGTGGAGCTTGGCAGTGGTGGAATTATCGACCAAAGTGAGTTGTGAGGGAAAGGTAAGAGTCGTGCTGTCATGATAGCTGTCTGAAGGGGTTCCCATAGAGGATGGAGGGGGCAAAGGCTGTGATCGATCTTTGGCGATTTTGATGACCGGCAAGATCTCCTCTCTTAATCTTCTGTAATCCTCCGCGAGCCGGTGCATTTCGGCCTCGACCATCATGATCTTCTCATCGCGACGCTGAATGGACTGAATCAAACGAGCGATATCATCCTGCGTGGCATTCTCGTTCATGCTCTGATCCGCCGCTGTTGAAGGTGGTTAGATGGAGTGAAAATAGAGGACAGAGGTTCGAACATACATAGCGGGATATAATGGTCGACATCAAGGGGCACCTGCTGCCGAATCTTGATCTCGTAGACGCTTTTCAAGATCGTCAATCGGTGACCCACACTGTTGATTCCCATCTCCTTGAGTTCATCGTGCTTCAGTGCGATGAGTGCTTCCCCTACAATCCCATTTTCTGAATCATCTCAAGTCAGCTAAATTCCCGTTGCTTGTTGCATACCCTGACCCACCTCGGAAGGTACCGCAGTACTGAAGCAGTCCGAGCGACGTCAAAAACTCCACACACTCGTCTGCCGTCCACTCTGAGATGATTGTTCGAGGGGTGCGGGGACCTTCACTTCCGAATTTGGTCGGCGTATGTTCAGCAGACGGGATGTCAGAGTCCGTAGGAGAGGCCTCCGAGTCCGTCTGGAGGTGCGGGGAAGTGATCACACTGCGCTCGTACTCGTCGTCCGCGTCGGAGTCGGCGTGGTAGAGAGAGGTCTGGAGGGACATGGCGTCGACGAGGCTCGGAGTTTACGATGCTCACAAAGCCAGGTAAAGGAAATGTGCGCCAGCACCACCGCCAAAGCGGATAGAGAGACGGGTTGGGTTTGGCGAGTCTCACGGGAGGAAAATGGACGGCGCAATGGGATGGGTGGTTAGGCTCATAGGAGCGCACGGCTGGAACCACGACCGAAAGAATATCTTCTGGGGCTACCAAGTGGGCAGGAACCAGGAATGAGCTTGATGCGGAAAGTCTCAATTATCCTCTTTTGCGTCGGTCGTTCGGTATGATCTTGGTCGGTCGCCTAGTGCCCCTTAAGACGATAGGCGCCGATGTGGGTGAAGCCGAAGGTTGACGCGGGAAGGAGAGCGGGGAATCTGGTTCAGGGACGGGCAGTGACCTGGTCGGGCACGAGAGGAGAGGGACGAGGGCAAGGCGGATTTAGTGAAGCTTCAGTCCAGACACAGCAGCGGGCACAGCAGGCGACGGAGAAGAGAGGAACAGCCAACTGAGGGCTTTTGGGTTGACGACTGAAGATGGCATCGACAATGGGACGAATCAATGGTGTGCACGTGACTGGGTCTGGACTCGGACTTGCTTGAACCTCTTTTCCGTGTGATCGGGCTGGATACACTTGTCATCATGGGGTTGCTTGCACGATTGAGTGGGATAAAAGTGTAAGGTAGGTCCAGCAGAGTCAGGCCATTGCTAGATTTATATCTTGCTGCTCACTTTGTCCTCAAAAGCGTTCCTGGTGTCTTAGATCCTACGGCGGATCAGCCAAAATAGAGTGTAGAACGTGCTGGCCACTTTGGAGTGTCCCCACCCGCAACTAGCAGACGCCCCGAGTCTTCAGACGGTTCCAGGCCATCTTTGGTCTAGAACTGGACCGAAAAGTTGGATAGGTCAATGGTGAAGAGTTTGATTTCTAGCTACATAGCTCGATTTGGGTCACAGCTGATGCTAGATAGTGATCTAGTTTTCGTGGTCGAGTCGTTAGTAATGCTCTGTGTCCTGTCGAACAGAGTCATGTCCATCGGATGAGGATCGAGGGACGCCCAATGGCACTCGATGTGCGTCATAGCGCTAGATAGTCATATTGTATGGACAATTTTCCGAGTCTTCATCTTCGTGCTGGATGTCATCAACCATCTTAGAGCAGACCCAGCAGTAAACAAGAGTAGATGAAATGAGGCAAGTGCGCAACAAGGCCTAACCAGACTACCTCATGATCGGATGAGAAAATATACGACTCGACGAGCCACCAAATGGAATCACCAACCTGGATCAAGTATGGACTACTGTACTGTACCGAGTGTGTGACTTTCTACTGACAAGCGCCCTCCAAAACTGGAGTTTCACCGCCCGCATTGCCTGTGGTCCACGCCGATTGGCCTCGTTAAGATCCTCCGATCGGAAGAGCAATTGAATCTTCCTTCTTTGCATATCACCAATTGACAGACGAGCTTGAATTCCTGTGTATATGCTGCCTCTTCTCTGCGTATGCAATGGGTCCATATCTTTAAACCCAGTGTCTGTTCTCCTGGCCGACCCCGTTCTCTCCTTTCCTCTCGAGCCCTCCTCCGCAACAGGGTAGTCCGGGTTGCGCCTGGGTCAACGCGGCTCAACTCAGCGCTTGCTTTCGACGCCAATCAGGTGAGTATGCGCTGCCAGCATATCGCGCAATCCTCAGTCCACTGTTGTTTTCTTCGTTGGCCCTAATTCCAAGTCTCGCATGGGCCTGTTCGCTCCAGCGCTAATTCGGGTCGCCACATTGACAGGCCGGACCGCGGAACCATCGTCATCTCTCCAATATCCACTTTTTCGCGCGCTACAACTACCGTCCTCTCTCCGAACCCGCCTGCTAATCATAATCTGTTTCCTTTGATCCAAAAAGAGTCTTCATACCAGGGGCCGGACCCCATTTCTTCCTCCGTCGGCTCAATTGCATCGGAATTTCCTCCCTGACATCTATCGGCGCATACGACGAACCGCAACTTGGGGCCTCGATATCCCCGGAACGAACAAAGCCCGCGATTCTTAGGGGACATACTTCTTCCACGGAGATACCGCATAATCATTTACATCTCAATACCGCGACAGACCTATCCTCCTCCGCAGGCTTCCCAGTAGCCTTCTACCCCACCGACTCTCTCCCTCTGTCTCCACACCATGCCATCTTCAACCCCCGCCGGCGGCGCCTCCGCAACCCCCGACGCCCTCGAATCCGACCTTCTCACAAAGCTATCTGCCACATCCGCGCTGGAAGACCTACAAGGAAGTCTGCTCAGCTCACTTCATCGCGCGGGGTGGACCGAGAAAATCACGAGCCTCGCCACTGAGCTTCTTCGCGCGGGCCGCTGTGAGACCTTTGACGATGTGATGGAAGCCGTCGTCGCCTCCGCCGAGGGCAGGACACATCCAGCGCTGGGATCCAGGAATACAGGACAAAACGGTGACGCGACGTCAAATGGGACAAAAGAGGCCAAGTCCAACGGGACCAAAAAGGGCAATGATGCCGCCCGTAGCAGCAACTCAAATACCCCATATGATCCGGTGAAATATATCGAAGAGGTGGACGTGCGCATCCCTGAAAACATTGTGGACGAGGGCGTGCGTGGCTTGAAGGACATATTGCGGGAGATGGTCGACCTGGAAGACGAGAATACCCCGAACGGCGACAAGAAGTAATGGGGCTAGCATGAGGATTTTTCCTTTTGAAGATTTGGACCTATGCATGGCGGTGATTCCCTTTGTATTTCTCTTGCTTTTACTTTCTCCTTTCGCTTCTGCTGTGTTTGTGGCGTCCTTGAATTGGTTTCGGGAATGGCTACGGCATCCGGATCTGGCATGTATCCAATCTACGATTCTTGGGTTTGCGTGCATGATGGGCGCTCTCGCATCGGAATAGACAATTGCATTGCGCTGGAGACTGATTGTCTCCGAAGAGGAACGGTTGTTCTCCTCACTATCTAAGGGCTTTTTTGTAATTTGTAATTTGCTCGCCAATTGCCCTCGTGCTTCGCTTCGCGGCTCCTCCCTTGTACGCACATCTCGGCCGGAGACATACCGAGAGAATAAGGATAACCCCAACCCCGCCAACAACGTCAGGTCTTAGCACAAATCTATTGCCGAGTTAGTACTCAGCTGCCAAAATGCATCGCAGATGCATGGCTGTACCCGGAGATCTCTTACTGTCCGTGCTATACTACAACAGTAGGACCGGGAGTCAACGATGACGATCCATGTACAATTGAAGTTAGGACCTCAGGCATATCAGATGCTACAGTGACTGGTGGATCGGCGGGTAAATTGCCTATTGATATCAAAGTAATTTTCCGATCCATTTTCCTTCTTCAATGTCACTGTAACATTAGCAAGGGCTTATTGTTCATCGACCCCCCCGGTGCGGGGTTGAAAGACCTGAATAATCAGACATGCAAGACCGAGCGAACCATAGTGGAGAAAGTTGTAAAGAATATACAAGATCATCATACACATACTACAGTAGGGCACTACTTTGCGGAAGGTCATAGCTATGTAAAATTCCAGATTCTCGATATATAGCGTGGAATATTTTGCGGTCTTGACCAACTCAGCCCAAAAGTAACGATGATCCTCAAATCCCTTTTAGTTGCCTACGGGCTTCTTTCTACGGCACAAGCCATTGCCCCGTTTGGCTGGAATAACGATACTTTCCTCCTTCATGGCAAACCTCTCCAAATTATCGGGGGTCAAATGGACCCGCAACGCATTCCCAATGAACTCTGGGCAGACCGTCTCTCCAAAGCACGGGCAATGGGTCTGAATACCATCTTCTCCTACGTTTATTGGGACCAACTCGAGCCTTCAAGGGGTACATGGGACTCGAGCGGCAACAACGATATTGCCCGTTACTTCAAGACAGCGCAGGGACAGGGGTTGAACGTTGTTCTTCGTCCTGGCCCGTATATCTGTGGCGAGCATGAATGGGGAGGATTCCCAGCTTGGCTGAGTGAGGTTCCTGGGATGGTTGTTCGCGCGAATAATAAACCCTTCCTCGACGCGACTCAATCTTACATTGACAATCTGGCAAAAGATCTGGAGTCTCTCTCAATCAACAAGGGCGGGCCTATCTTGATGGTCCAGGTTGAAAACGAATACGGCTCCTACGGCGATGACCATCAGTATATAGGCGCGCTGCGAGACATGTTAAAAAGCGCATTCGGTCTACCACTGTACACCAATGACGGTGGTTTAAAGTCGATGCTGGATGGTGGCCAGATTCACGGGGCCTTGGCCGAAACAGACGGGGACCCCAAAGCAGGATTCGCCGCTCGCAATCAGTATGTCACCGATCCAACCAGTCTCGGTCCACAGCTTGATGGAGAGTACTACGTGACCTGGCTAGACCAGTGGGCTAGCAACAACAGCTTTACAACGGATTCAGGTGATGCTTCAAGCATACAGAATATCCAGTCTGACCTTGACTGGATCCTGAAGCAGAACGGTTCATTCAGTCTGTACATGTTCCATGGAGGAACGAATTGGGGATTCCAGAATGGAGCTGACTGGGGTGACGCTTTGGAGCCTGTCATCACGAGCTATGACTATGGTGCACCTCTGGATGAGAGTGGCAGGCCAAACGACATATATGATGCTATTCGCCAGACTATTGGCTCCTACGTTGGTATTGACAACATCCCACCAGTACCGGCGGACAAGCCGTTGGTTGAAATTCAGCCTATCAAGTTGACACCATCTGTGAGTCTGTCTGATTCTCTGCCAAAGCCCGTTCGGAAGCAATATCCCGTCAATATGGAGGCCGTTGGTCAGTCAACTGGATTTACATTGTATCGACATGTCATTGGTTCCGCTACGGCTGGTACTCTCCAGCCTGGAGATACTCCGAGAGATCGAGTCCTTGTCTATGTAAATGGCCATCGAGTGGGAGTCATTGATAACTCCTACGCCGCACCGAGCAGGGTCACTCTGAACCTGAAGAAACAAGATGTCTTGGACTTATTAATCGAGAACATGGGACGAGTCAACTACGGTCCCAGAATCGTCGATCAGCGTAAGGGAATCGTTGGAAACGTCACCGTTGGTGAAGCCGTCCTCGCAAATTGGGACATATACCCTCTCCCAATGAGCATGCCACCTAGTCCAACATCTTCCAAGGCGAAGCCACCGCATCCTTCAGCCGGTTCTGGTCCAATCTTCTACACTGGCACCTTCGACGTGGATACAGTGGGTGACACATTCCTCGAGCTTCCAGGATGGACCAAGGGCGCTGTCTGGGTGAATGGGGTGAACTTGGGCCGATACTGGATTATTGGACCGCAGCAAACCCTGTATCTGCCTGGGGTTTATCTCAAAAAGACTGGAAACAAGATTGATGTCCTTGCATTGGAGCCTACAGGGAACGAGGGATCGATTAGCGGTGTCACGTCTAGAAAATGGGGGAACCATCCTGATCCAGATGCTCCATGAAGCGCAGCGCATGGAAGTCTTCTGGCTGTGCTGTTAATGTTGGGTAGTAGGTTTAGGAAGGTGAAGATATCAGCGCGGCTGTTGTTTGCCTATTTGAGCTATTAGGCACTGCGAGAATCGAATCTCTCGTTCCTTCTTCCTCCTTCCTTCACCTTCAAGTTTGCTAATCTTACGAGTTTGCGAATGTCATAAATACTGGCCATCAATCCGACTTTCCTGTCTGTGCATCCTCCGCTGCGCCCTTCTCCCTGGTCTCTTTTCCTCCTCTTCTCCTTCAACATGTCCTTCTCCTCTATCTACCTTCACCACTCATCCTCGAAACTGCAAGATCTGAGACTTCAACATCGCACATATCTCCAAAGTTTCATTTAATCTCACATCTCATTTCATCTCAGGCCAGGCACGCCTGACTGGTGAGTTCTGCATGACCTCTCTTCACATGCTGGGGCTGCCAGCTCTCAGATGGTGTGAGCATCCTGCTGACGTTTTTTGGTTATCAGAGCCTGTGATGGGTTTTCACTACACCGATTGCGACTGTGAGCTATGCCTTCCATCTGCTGCCACCTTACTCCTGCTTGGAGTCAACGACGAAGATGGCTATCCTGAGGACCTCGTTGTACAGCGACTCTCCCTGGAATCTCGTGTCATCGACAAGATCAGAATGAACAGCTCGGACCACGAAACCCACGGCGTTCTGCATGGGATCAAGACTCGCTTCAAATCTCGAACCTCAATCTTCAGTCCCGGGGAGATCAACATCGTCCAGAGCGAGTGGGACCGTGTTGCCAAATCATCCATGCACGAGGCCCCGGGATCGTGGCTCTCACTGATTCTGATCGCCGTCTTGCTCGAGTTTACACCCGACTGGAATTCGCGCGGTCTTTTGAATATCATCCCGCCGGACTCTTTGAATGAGAACTTCTCAGCCTCAAAGGCTCTCAAGCAGGCTGTCAGCCTCCTGATGGAAGGCGAGGCCCGGAGTTACATGCAGCAATTTCTCAGCGTGTGTCCGGATGTCATGTTCCGTATGAAATGGTCCCGAAAATACATCCTTGGTCACTTCTTATTTCTGGAGGAGGAACCCTGTTATGGAGGCATCACGAATTCGTTGAAGGTGCCCAACGAGTGGGCTATCAAGTACCTCGGGGTGGGACCAGGGGCGGAATACCATACTACGAACGAAAGCCAGCAGGATAACGGCCACAATGCTACGAATGCCGACGGCGTGGAGGAGTGACGACGCCTCTGAAGCTGGGCAGGGAGTGCATCACGAAAAAGTTGGAGGAAGGACATGTCGGTGAATTCGGTTTACCGACAAACACTGAGGGGCGATTCAACCCTTCACGGATATCGCGTGTTCGAAGTTAATGAGTAATGATTTGGGATTAATGAGACGGATAACGCAGCATAACTTCAGATATCTCTGGCAAGTTATCAATTCCAAGGCTTTTAAATTTCTGAATCTCGCATTGAGTCCTACGAGGCCAAAGTAGTCAACCCGCAACGGTCGTTCCTGCTAAGCTGCGGTGGAACCTGTAATAATTGGCTGCACGGAAACACCCGCCCTAAATAAAGCTGGCGCTGTACGGCTAGGATAGTAAAGCGCGGTTTATGGTGGGCTACATGATAGTTCCTCAGCCGGCTGAGATTGACGTATAAGTAGTCGCTGTGTCACGTACTATTTCACGTCTCATAGTCCTTGAGAATAAGGTTCACGTTGCTATTGAATATTCCCTGGGGATGCTACTATATACAATATGTACCTGGACTGGGAATTTTTTCATCGGAGATGAAAAAGTTAGCTCAGGGTCTTGACTGTAACTATCACTTGATGAAGTAAGTGATTTACTGTCTTGTCCATCAAATCATCCTGGTATGCATTCTCATACCTCTTAGCCGTGACCGACTGATCTCGCTTCCTGTTCTCCTCCCACACGCAGACGAGTCGATGGAAGAAAACCGTAATACTAGCCGCAAACGATTAATCGAGGGGGCTACTAACGCCTTCGTTATTCCGCAAATTGAATTCATTTATGGTATCTGTCAAGTCTATCACTGCGCCATGTCATCAATAACAAAATTCGTTTCCGTCCGTATCTAAGTTCAATCGCTTTCATGATGCGGCCAAGATTCCTTCCAAGCCCAAAGAAATTAGCTCCAACCGCCGAACACAAGAGTGATCATCAACGGCATCCATGCAAGGACTAAAACAGCGTATCCGCTTCTATGAGCGCTACCGTTAGAGTGCTTGCTCGAGATACCAGTGGCAGTTGTATTGGAAGACGAAGCGCTGAAGGAAGGTGCCGTCGTAGCCTGCGCTCCATCATAATACTTCCGAATGATAATACTCGCTTGCTCGGCAACACCGTACGTCGAAGCCATCAAATGTGTGGACAATGCAATAGGGGGAACACTGGCGTCTGCGACTCGAACATTCGCAAGGCCGTATACGCGAAGATTCGCGTCAACAACGCCACCCTGTTCACGGGGAAGCATCGCGCAAGATGACGACGGGTGAAATTCCGTACCAGCGGACTTCATTATCCAATCCAGCCATTGATCATCGGTTTGAACAGATGAGCCGGGCGATGTTTCGTTTGTCAGCGTACTACTTACTGGGGCAGTCTCGCCTAGTTTGCGGGCAAGTTTCAGCCCTTCACGCAGAATCTCATAATCTATGAAGGGAGTCAGAACGGGGAACATAGCCTCATCGTAGGACATCAGACTCATCACGTACCAGCCGGGTTATACATATAATTCGGGTCAATGACCGGATAGTCCATTGGATTGGAGGAGTTGATGTAGATGCGGCCGTGACTATAAGGATGCTGCAGAGCGGCAGTAATGCCTATATCGCCATGTCCATCGCTGTTCATGAAGAGAATTTCAATCTGGCCGATCGGGCTATCGAATATCGTAGATGCGGTCATGTTGCAAATTGCCGTGTATCCATCAACAACTCCGTTGTCGTAAGTCGTATTCGGTTTGTACTGACTGATTGAACTGAGAATAGTCGACTTGAATTGCTCGACTTGGCTACCATAGATCCCGGTAGCGTTCACATATGCAACGGCATCGTCGATGTAAGTAAGGAATAGTGGGTTGTTCTATGATCGTCAGGACGGTGTGAATGTTTCAGCCAATCTCAAGAAACGTACCCTTTCGCTACCATTATCGTAGAATATCGAGCCTGCAGTTTCCACATTCGTAGTCCATGTCACAGTTGCGCTCTGTTGATGTCAGTTCAGGATTCATGAAATCTGCATTCGTCATGCAGACGGCAGATGCTGAAGGGTTACCCACGAGATGATCTTGGAGGTGCTGGCCGACACCAGGAAGTTCGGAAACAAGATCCACGCCAGCGTTAGACAAAACGTCCTTTGGGCCGACGCCGCTATGAAGCAGGACAGCTGGACTACCGATCGTACCAGCCGCGAGGATAACTTCTTTGTTAACCTTGACCGTGAGTTTGGTCGTCCCATTATTGGTCGTGTACTCAACGGCGTTCGCGGTGAGACTGCCGGAGGAGGTCGAATTGTCGAAAAGAATGCGAGTGACATGAGCATTAGCAAGCACATCGTAGTTGCCCTTGTCTGGAAGCGGGTCGAGATATCCGGTGCGGCTATAGGACCGAGTCCAGTTCGTAGGATTGATGCATGAAGTGGACACCTCGGCGCCCCATGGCTGACCACCATACATGTCGCTGGAAGCGGCAATGCCCAAATTCACTAGTGATTCTTCCCACTGCCCGACTTGAGAAAACGTGCTATACCAAGATTAGCTTCCCATCCCTATTAAGCGAAGAAGAGTACTGAGCATACAAGCCAGGATATGATGCGTGGATTGGTCCGTTCGTGCCATGGTCTGCCGTATTCCATGTGATGTTTGCCTCTTGTGCGATACTATCGGATGGGGCTGTGAAATTTTCGCTTTTCTTCATCGCAGCGTAGAACGAATCCCATCCCCAATTCTCGGCCCCATCCATGTCTCCCAACATGTCTTTCCAGGCATTGATCTCAATCTCTCCCGGGCGAGTCAAATACAGTCCATTGATGGCGGAACTCCCTGAATTTATCTGTGTCATTAACGCAAATAATACTGGAAAAGACGCGATGACAAACCTCCAAGAACCTTGCCACGAGGCCAGTAGATTTCGCGATCGTAGGCATTAGGCTGAGGAACTGTATAGTAACCCCAATTCAAAGGCGTCGTCCACAGAGAGTCAAAGTAGGAGTACGCTGGAGTATCTTTATGGATGTTAGAATGCTAGGTATACCTAGAAACAAATGGTGATTGCGCGCACCTATACGTTCTCGATATTCATCTCCATTGCCGCCCGACTCGAGAACAAGGACGGTGTAGTTGGAGTCCTCCGACAGTCGACTACCTAGTACGAGACCAGCCTGACCTCCACCAACAATTACAAAATCATAAGAATCGGAGATCGATGTACGCGGCGACAATGCATGCACGAGGGGCACAGCCAGCGCGAGACTGGTGCCTATGACCCGCGCAATGGTCCGACTCGATCGCATTGTATGCAGCAATGAGATGCGATGGATTCAATCGCGCGCAATCGACATCAACCATATATTAAAATAACATGTCTCGGGGACCATCAGATTCAAAAATTGCACAACAAAAATTAATTGCCCCTGATCCATCGAGCCAGGTACCCGGACCACATTATGAGAAAGCTTAGTGCCCACTGCACTATGGGTGGATAGTCTCAAAGCTACATGAGATTGGCGCTGGCCTTTGCGAGAAGATTGGATGATAGTCTTTTGCAATCGAGGTTTGGATTCGATCCACAAATGAGATCCTTCCAGATCCCAGCCCCTATCGCTCCGCCCCTCAGTATCGTGGTTCAACTTGCGACCACGGTCATTCAGCTCCACCAGGTTACTCTTTCCGCCCAATCTCAATTATTATTTTCACACCCGCGGGTCCTTCTTGAAACACTGACGCAAGAAGAAGGAAAATGACAAGGATTTGCAAAGGCTAGAACCGAGTTGTCGTCATTAGCCATGCGTTGTTGAAGGCATACCCCATACAAGAAAGGTTGATAAAAGCTTGTCGATTGTTTCAGTTCATTATTAGGTACAAAGATTCGAGTGTTGCAAAGCCACGGCCGTATGGCCCTTCTGCCACAAACTACATACAATCGCGTCAGGCACACGGGTATCGCCCGAGATTAGCCAATAAAGACCAAATTCATTCACAGCTAGCCCCCACTTAGCCAATTAGACCACCCGTTGGTTCAAGTGGATAAGCCTTTGAAAAGTCGATTGAGATTATTAACATTAGACACGTCCAAAAAAACCGGTCTTAGCACGACCATTGAATCTCAATGTAGTAAGCTCGTCGCTGATCTTATCAACGCGCCAACGCACCTCGGTAAAAGACTCTGTAGATTCGCCGATTTTGACGGTGTGTAACTTCATTTTAGCTGTAATCGACCAAATATGAGAAGAGCATGACTCTTCATTGCTTTTTTCTTCCTGTTTGCCTCCTTTACGTCCTCATGCGAGCATCGACTGATCGATTGAATAATGCTCGATAACCTCATACTTTGAAGAATTTTGCGCTCTTCATTGGCATCAGCATACAAATAGATTAGAATCTGACAGGATATCATAAGGTTTAAACAAGTCCTGGAACTGCAACATAGCTACAAAATATCTTAATCCAACAACAGCTCCTCATTATGTGGTACCAACAGTCGAGTGGCAATCACACTGGTTTGTGGCGTCGCAAATGTGAAATAAGCAACCCAATCGATTCCGTCAGTCGTTGGTCGGTGAGTGAATCATTGGAAATTGTCCCGTACAACAACTGGCTGGTTGTTATTCGGTTGACTTGAGGTTGACCTGCGTAGGCGATGGATTGTTCACCGACTTCCATTTGCTGAAGTCGTTTTCCACTTGCTCATTATGTACTGGCGTTGTTAATATCTGGACCGGCGTTATGTTGCAGGCAAATTCGATAGCTCGGTATCATCATTAACGATGTTGTCCAGGTCTTTAGAAGCATTTGGCGGCGCTTGGTTTCTTGCCGCTGATTGGTCTGGCCACTAGAATTGCTGTCTGGAGGTGTTAATGGAGAAGCAGAGAGCCTTGTAGATAGATCTCTTCGAGACGGTCTAGTTCTGTATGACAAGAGTCAATGGCTGTGCCTCGTGTGACAGGGATTTTGAGGCAGAAGAAAGATCCCCTTGTCGTATGACATTGGACAGAACGGGTGCTGTACTTTTGCCGGAAGTTAAGTTGACTACATTCCCATTATTTATTCAGTCGTTCATCCTATGTCTAGGAATCTTCCCTGCGGTAGCCACTGTTGCGACTGATGCTCTTACAGAGGCTTATCATAACAGCCCATCAGTTCGCCCTGGTGGCAAAATTCTCCGCAGAAACGACTCAGTATTGTTTTCAGTGGACAGTACCACGATCTTGCTGAGGTTCTTGATCCAATCGCGAAGAAGACCATTCAGCCTCAAGTAGAGATTGGTAGCAGGGCTTTTCCATAGTTTTGAAAGGCCTAGACAATAGCAAGATCAAGGATCACATCACTCTAGTTTCTGACATGGTAGTTGAGCAATGTAGGAATTTCATTGACGTAGCCTCACAGGGGAGGAATGCCTCCATCGAGTGCCTGTTTCGAAGACTTTGCATTTGAATATCATGTATGCACCACTCTCTAACCGTTAACACTTGCACTCTTTGTCATTCCAATTCCTACTGCTGCTGTTGTCCCTGCGTCTACAGGCAGAATGACTCCTGTCATCCACCGAGCATGAGGACCAGCAAGAAACACGACAGCACCGGCACAATCCCATCCATTACCCTCCGTGCCCAAAAGACTACGCTTTCGGCGAGCCTCTCTGGCTTCTTCACTCATCCCTTTGCCATACATCATGGGGGTATAAAGCATCTACCAAGAGGGATCAGATTTGAGCTTAAGATAAGGGTCCAATATTGCAACTTACACCTGGACAGACACAGTTCACGCGAATTCCATCCGGGGCATGATGGGCCGCCATTGCACGGGTCAGATTGACAGTCGCGCCCTTCGATGTAGGATATAGCAGATGTGGTGTACCACCCTTCAAGCCAGCAACGCTACCCATGTTGACGATACTGCCCTTGATCTCGCCCTCATTCTGGACCATTTTAGGAATCGCATATTTGCTCATCTGGACCATGCTGGCCACATTAATCTCCATGCTTTTGGCCCATTGTGCCATGTCCACGTGGACAGCCGTCCCCGGAGCACCTCCAACACCCACATTATTGATGAGAATATCAAGTCGACCAAAGTGTTGTATCGCAGCCTGGACCGCAGACTCGCAGTCCGATTCAGATGTTACATCCGCGTAAAAAGACATTGCGCGCCCACGATTGGGTTTAGCTGTGATCATCTCCACGGTTTTGTTGGCCCATTCCAGATTTAGATCAACACACAACACGTCGCAGCCATCGTCTGCCAGGAGAATCGAAATAGCTCGACCATTGCCAATGCCATCACCTAGACAGCCAGCACCTGTCACAATCGCAACTTTCCCCTTAAGCGACCGTGAGGGCGGTTCTGAAGGCACGCCGGAATCCATGGTTGGGGGTGAGATTTCGCCCGAGGGTTGACAGAGAGTCAAAACTAAATAATGCAACTTCCATATCCGGCCTATAAACAATCAGCTCTCGCATCTACTCTCGCAACTGTAAGACCCTGCCGCCGCGCTCCGAAGACCGAGAGCTGGTATTACAATTTGGACTGGATATGCGGGGTACTTCAGCTGACGATAGCCGAGCCGAGGCGCATCGGAGGGAATGGCGAAGACAGTTCGTGGGGGTGCAACCCTCCTCTTGCATGATACTTTCAGCAATATTGACTATTGCGACCAAGATCGACTCTTCCACAGAATACAGGCTCAAGAATAACCCTATCATACTATTAGCCTAGCTATGGCCGACTTCTCTCAGTATACGGGCCCCAGTGCAGACTGGATCGCACTGGAGCCCACGCTGCCCCCATGCCAAACTTGCCACTCCTGGAATTGAGGTCTCTAGTCAACAAGGGACGCGAAGAGCTTGCCGCTCATGGCATGACAAAAATAGGTGTGTTGGTGCCGAGCAAAACGTCCATATCGAGTTGTAGGGCTCTACCCAAGAGCTCAACATGAACGATTCGCTCCAATGCTCCGCAGGACAAGCTAATGTCTTGCTTCGCGCAGCTTCCCAGGTCAAGATCCAAGACTATACCATTGAGTCTCGCGACGGTGCAACCCTAGAAGCGCGGACATATCGCCCATCTGGAATCCCAGAGTCTCAGAAACTTCCTGTGTACATTCATCTCCACGGTGGAGGTTATCTCTTTGGCACCCTCTCCTCCGAAGATGCGATCTGCTCCCGAATTGTTGTCTCTCGGATGAATAGCGGTAACCCGGTCGTTGTTTTCAACGTGAACTACCGTCATACTCCTGAGCATAAATATCCCACAGCCTGGAACGATGTCGAAGATGCCTTCGTTTGGGTTCACGAACACATTGACGATATCGGTGGACTCGCCGACCAGGTCGTGGTAGGCGGAATCTCTGCAGGAGCCCAATTAACCGCATCTTTGACACTCGCACAATTATACGGAGACAACGAGCGCGTGAAGGCCTGTCCCAAGATTAGGGGCCAGGTCCTCATGATTCCATGCCTCGTCATTGCGGCCTACTATGCACCTCGCAAAGAGATGCTGCGTAGCCCGGAGGTATCCAGTTATGTGACATGTGCCGAGGCGCCGATTTTGCCCGTTTCCAGAATTGACCTCTTCATGACCTTGCTCCATGTGAAGGAGTTCCCCGATGCGGGTCGCAATCTGCAGATGAATCCTGGGAATGCTACTGCGGAGCAAGTGAAGAATCTCCCTCCGACAACCTTTGGAATCGCCGGTAACGATCCCCTTCGCGATGAGGGCCTGTTCTTCGGAAAGCTGCTTAGTGAGAACGGGTAAGTTCTGGCTTTACATACGGCATGGACATTCTCAATTCGCTAACGAATATTCTCACAGTGTTCCGACTGATATCAATGTTTTCCCTGGAGTGCCTCATGGATTTAGGCGCCATGGTGACAAGCTCACCTCCAGCAAGAGGTGGGACGAGGTGATGAGCGGTGGGATTACTTGGGCTCTGAGCAACCCAACGGCGGGTCCTTTCGAGATCAAGGCAGAATGATTTCTCAAGTTACGAGAAGCGAATAGATCGAGTCTGTTTCTACTCTGTATGGGGAAATTAGACGGCAGCCTTCTATCTAGCACAATGCAGAATTTCGGGCTCTTGAATGCAGGCCAATATTTTGATCTAGGTCTGCGTGGTTTTGCGATCTAGTAAGAGATGGTCACATTTCTGGAGGTGCTCGCAATTGCCCCCATCAACGTCAAGATCAGCAATTGTAACTGCCCTAGGCTTCATGAGATCTCGATATCAGTCAAAAGTTTCAACGTGGAGGCTCGGGAATTCATACTCTTCGGCAGCAAAAGCTCAGGCCGTCGCTTCACCCATGCCATATGCTACTAAAAGAAGTCAAATTAAAGTTCATAAAACTTAGTCTCCAAACTTACCACCCGTGATAATTACGCTCTTGCGTTTCCAAACTTAGCGATTTAGTGGAATTGTACAGTCTACCGAACAAATCAATTGAGGTATTGTACTGTTGAGTTGCTTTTCTTCAGACGTTTAAGATCTTCACTTCGATGGCAGTTACTATGAATATTGCAGCTTCCAGTCTAAATTGATGGGCAACTCTGTGTCTCTTCCAAACGGATTGTGATTCTGATACGTCAATATAGTGCTTTCCTATTGTTTCTTAGCTTCATAGTGTGCTTTCAGAATGTGCAGAGCTCCCTCCCCCAGTTGGAACAGACGCTTGATCCAGCAAGGTTTCACATTCATGTATCAACTTCCATAACCGTCCTTGAGTGCATCCCATGGTTCCGTAAAGATTTGCAAAGATGCTTCCAATACATTCCTGAGGCGCCGATTCTCTGCCTCCGACCCATTGAGTTTGCGCCCCATTATTTCCCATTCCTCTTGAAACTGAGCTCGTTCATCTTCCAAATAAAAAAGTCTCTCTGTAAGGAGACAATTCGCTTCCTCGAGCTGCTCTACTCGCGTGTCCGTTTGAGAAACCTCCATCGCATTCGGCGGGGTAGGAGAAGCTTCTCCAAGGACGACGAAGCTCTGAGTGATTTGCGCTGGTGTTCTATTGAGAGTTCCTCTAACTGGTGAGGTAGGTGTCGATGCTGATAGAGGTGGTATCTGTGCAACAGCAAAATTCGCGGCCCTGAAATAGAACATCGTCCTAGGGGCCAAGGCATCCCATAGCCGTAGTTCAGCGCCGTTGGCAGTGAGCCGGCGTGTCATTTCGTTGTATTCAGAAGCTCGAGCTTGATTATCGCGATCTTTCTCATTGCGAAGAGCCTTTGTGGCTCGAGCGTGGAGCTCCATATCAGTCGCATGAGGTGTCAATACACCAGTGATCATCATCGGCACGGCTGCATCCATGGTTTCCCCGGCCATGGCTTGGTACGTGTGCCAGAAAAATATGATCTGGATCTCCAGGTGCGTGAAAAAGTTACCACTGCGGTCTTTGAAGCGACGGAGAATGCTTTCAACAACTGTCATGGCCTCAGAGGAGACCGTCATTGGCGCGCAGCGCCCTGATCGAGTAACTCTGTGGGGGGTATTGGACGTAGTCCGAGAGTCTTTCTCTGACCAGTTTCGTAGTTCTTCAGCCACACGGCATTCTTGTTGTTTCCGTCGGGCATACAAGGTATCTGGGCTTGGCAGTTGCTTGGTCCTCGGATTCACAAGAAATGGCAGTATTTCCTCAGACGGATGGCACCGTTCACAGTCACAGTAGGTGGAATGATGTCGCACCATGCTGCTAAACAAGCCCGAGACGTTAACCCAGACTTGAAGGAAAGTGATTGCAAAGGTGTAGAGGTAAGTGAGAACTTTTTCCAGAGTTGCTGATCAGTTTGTCGGATCGTTGGACAGGGGGTGGTGTGGTGGTTGATCAACAAAGAAAAAGCTCCGGTTGGGCGACAGTGTGGCTTGCAAAGGAACCTAATGGGCAAACGATGATGAGGAATGAACGCACACAGACCCTTGAATATTGATTGATCATGAGAGGTTCAGGAAAAGGTCGAAAGTCAAGGCAGCCGGCGAGTTTTCGATGAGACCACTCAGGCCCAGCTGAGATGGGCAACTGCTACACAAGCACTTTCCCAGCGCCCCTGAGAATGTAGAACATTACATCGCCGCATTTGAGGCGAAAGCAAATACTTGAAAAGATTATGAACATTTCAAGAGGATTCCATGACCCTGGAGACCAGTCAAATTCTGAAAGATAGAAGACAGGTTCAAGTTGACGATCACATAGATATACTGATGCCTGAGATGTCAGGCACCCATTGACGATTCACATCTCTTTTGCTCTCTCGCCTTCTTTCCTTCTTCCTCGTGTTTAATAGACTCGCTAAATGCTACTACGTGAAAGTATTTTTGGCACTTTTTCAACTGAGATTGAAACATCAAAGTCGCTGTCATTATGTCATGGGTATGAGAAGAAAAAGAAGCTCCCAGTGACCCCAGGTCATATCTCGCTAAAGAACAAGGACAATATAGACTCCGTCTCGATGAGATGCAAACCACTACCATCAAACGCCAGGTAACTAATTAGTAAAGACAACCACCTCGCTAAGGCAGACCCACCATTGCAACAAATGCCACCAAATTCCATGGAAGTAGAGAGAAGTCAGATCATAGGTGTAAGTTCATTGTATATCACCATCCGAGTCTGCAGACGCCATGGGCTGTTTCTGCTTCAACTTCTGTCGGTGTTCTTTATTCTTCTTGTGTATCGCGCCAACGGTTTTCTGGACCTCAAAATTCGCTGTGTTTTCCAGGTCCGTCCGGGCTTCTGGACTGAGCGTCTCGACTGTTCCGACACGGTCATAGAGCATGCGTGAGATGGCGCGATTGGTCTCAGTATACTGTTCCCTGGAAATGGTCTTTGACCGGTAGTGTGGCTTCAAAGCCATGCTGACCATGCCCCGAATGTCGGATTTGACCGCCAGAGAAAGCCCGGCACGAGTGGGAGACGCGTCAGCAGACCTGGGATGTGTGCATTCGACTGTTCGCCGCGGAATGCGGGAGCGCGCACGATTATTCTCGCGCTGAGGTGATTGCTTCTCTTTATTTGTGCTTGGCGAGATAGGACTCCTGGAGAACGACAATTCAGGTGAAAATGGAGGTGAAGAAGGTTCGGCGGGAGAGGAGAGTTGGAGGGGAGATATAGGTCGACTGCGAGAATATGGAGGCGGAGTCGTGGAGGATAGGCGAGGAGAGGAGTGATTGGATGATGAGGGGGAAATAGATGGAGAAGAAGGTCCTGGAGACATATGATCGGTGGGAGCAATAGAGGTTGGAGCTGACAGCATAAGCGGTGTTGTGCGATCTGTGGTGGATGCATATTCCACCTCCTTCAAGAGGGATGACAAGAAGCTCGGTTCGCCCGAGGTCTCTCCGTTGAGCCGAGTGTTAGGGTTCGTGCTCAAGTTGACGTTGGCGTTGGAGTTTGAGCTACCGCTGGCACCAGCGCTTGCTGCTGTAGATGACTCTCCACTCTGTTGAGCCATTGCAGCGAGCTCTTGAGGTCGCCTTGTACGCGGACGCTTGAGCTTGCGCTGTGGCTCCGTGGGCTCCGGCGAGGGTGACAGAGTCGGTTCCTTGCGTTTACGAGCAGCACTTGGGTTATTCTCGATCTCGCGAGCCCTTTCAAATGCATTCCAAGCCCGCATCTCCTCGAGAGATTCGGGTTCAGGCGTTGGGTTTCGGGGCACACGAGGTCGTGAAGGCCGAGCGGGCTCAATATCGAATAGAGAGGCAGTATCGCGAAAGCGACTACCACCACCCTGTCGCTCGGCGACTTCAAACCGACGCTGCCAGGCCCGGAATTCGCGCTGATTAGCCTCTTCGCGGCGACGTTGCTGCATCACGCGCTGCGCCGATCGGTCATCATCGAAGGGGAAGTCCAGGTCGAGGTTCAAATGGTCCCATACGGATTGCCAGACGCGGGCCCAGTGCAGGGAATTAATCTGATTCCTACTCTGTGCCTGGCGTTGTTGACCGCGAGTACGACGGGACCGCCGTTCATTTGTACGAGGTGGCCGAGCTGGTGCCTCTGTCGTAGGTTCTAGAGCACGTTGAGTCTCACAGCGCTCGCAGTACCATGACCCCGAGGGTACATCATCCAATCCCACACAGTACACATGGGAAGGAGCATCGCATCCATCACAGAGAAGTAGAACATCTTCGTTGTCACCCTCGCCACATACCGTGCAGGGTTGGTAGTCAACGAAGTCATCCTCCACGTAGTCGATGACCATCGAAGGATCGATCTCAGCAACCTGGACTCGGTCTTGGACAGCATATGATGAAGTGACAGGACCTATAGAGCAGACCAGATTAATTAGTAACGAACTTCCTCAATACGTCAAGCACCCGTTATGTAACCAAGGGGATCGAAGGGACATACCTCCCGGCCGGTCACTCAGCTCGACCATATTGAAACTGCGACGACATATCGGACAACTGTTTGCCCGTTCCACCCAGGGCTTCAGACAAACATTGTGCAGGATATGTCCACAAGGTAGTAACTGGGCGATTTCACCCGAACCCTCTTCGTCATCGAGCGTAGGCGCCTTAGCCGTCGGGTCGGCCGCATCGTGGAGATCGAGTCTAGGCACGGGCTCGACAGCGAGGGGATCACTGGCGCTTTCGCCAAGGTCTCCTAAACAGACAATACAGGTGTCGGACATGGACAGTATCGAAGACAGGGGTCGATCGGTTGAGAGACGGCATGAAGCATCGAAACGAACGCGCGAGGGGGAAGAGGAAGTGTGTAGAGTGTAAAGTGGAGAAGCGGCCGCCGGGGCCTTTTGAAGGTGGGCCAGGATTTCCAGTCTAACGCAAAACAGGGCGCCAACGTGACGGAGGCGAATCACCCGCCAGGCGGGCGCATGCGAATGTGAGGCCAGGGAAATGGGTAAATACCTGCACGATGATTCAGTAATTCTTCCTAACTAAATACATAGTCAGATCCTGTCGATCTTTAAACCTTGGGGTGGCCTGCGCCCTTGCTGCAAGGCGCCAAGGCGGCATGTCCTGGGAAACCCACTGTCTACACGGATAGTTGGTTGACCTTTGGCGGTCAACGACGAATCTACAAGGTTTCCTAGGGTATAGAGCAGCCACGTTTCTGAGGACCTCACGCGTGGGTTCAGTATCGTTTGAGCCATACAGGTGACATTCAGGGGGGTTGGGGCCATAAATAACCCCAAGCCACCCGGCATGAGCCCGAGATCGGGCTTATCCGAGGACCAGGTGAACGATCTCAGCCTGACCTTGGCATAGATTCCGGAGCCTTGTAGGGAATTCGATAGTGTGTAGTTGCACATGGGACGCTCGGTCGAGAAAGTCACTGGTTAGTAGATGGTAGTGGTCCAATGTGTCCGAGATCTGGCTTCTACGGTTGACTGCCCGGATCCTGCGTCGGGCTGTATTGCATGTTGGCCAAAATTCAACTCTTCAGGGTAAAAGTTGAACTGGTCCATGCAAAAGGCCAAAATCAGGACGGTCGGGCAATCTGATTCGCGGTCACTGAGCAGCACACTGCCAAGGGCTATCCAGGTGGCTGATGGCCAGGGTTGAGGCGGGTGATTTCAGGTTCTACGCAGCAATCCGTGGGGAAGCGAGGATGAGAAATCTTCAAGATTCCGAAATTTTCATTTTTGGTATTCAGACGTAGCCGTAAAGAGAAAGGAAACCACATTCATCACGCTTAGATCTCAACGATCTCACGGAGACGACGGATGGTGGAGCGGGTGGCAGCGGCGGCGGGGGTCCTGTAAATAGCAGTCTCGGGTTAGCGGTTGTGTCCACACAGTTCTCGAGACGACATTTTGTTCCAGATTGAATCCAATCTCATCTGCCTCCGTCTCCCAATCGAACTCGATTTTTTCTTCAGGTCCTGGTGCGACTTACGAGACGGTGTAGGCACCACCGGCGACGGTCTTGTTGCAGCCCTTGCACTCCCAGATACCAACAGCCTTGCGCTTCACGGTGTTCTTGCCGCAGAAGGTGCAGATGTAACGGGCGTGCTGCGAAACTTCGGCCTTCTTGACCTGCTTACGCAGAGAGGCACCGTATCTGTTGAAAAAAAAAGAATTCTTGGTCAATATCGCGTGCTTTTGATTCGGGGGTCGCCAATTCTCGTTCGGTATTTCACAGTCGTTCGGACGGTCGAAGTGATCACGGTGGTTCAAGGGTGTAGGCGAGCGAGGGTTCATGGGTGTTCAGCATACCTGGTACCGTACTTGCCGGTGATACCGACCTCTGAAAAAAGAAGTTAGCGACGAAAATGCAAAGGGTCGAAGGGCAGCGATGAATTTGAGGGATGCAACATACTCTTGGTGCGCTTGGTCATCTTGGCTGTAAGGCGGCTGTTGAGCGTGAAGATGGATAACGAAGTGATCGAAAAGAGGCTTTAGAAGAGTGGTTGTGGGTGGGCTCGCTTAGGGCTCGGGGGCCTTGGCGTAGTGTGGTCACCTGACTGGGGAGGATGTAATGGAAGAAAATAGAAATGGGCAGGCGGTGAGACCAGGCATGTTGGCAGGGAGGAAACCCCCGTGCTTATGTCATTGACGCAGGTCGAGCACAGACCACCTTCTGCTGTCGGCAGATCCTCGTCAGGGCCCTTGGAATTATTGGGCAGGTGCTGCATGTCAGATCTGTGAAGGACATTTATCTTGACAAAGAAGTTAGTATTGTACAATATCTTCCGCATTCCGTGTTATTGTATTCCTGCAAAATTAGCCTACACTTAGATACAACTCTCTCGACCATTTAAACATTTCCCCCATTCCTATACTTCTCTCGTGGCCTTTCTTCTGCAACCTCTCTCCGTCCAATGAAGTGGGCACGCAGCTCAAATAAGCACAAACCACCCGTCGGCCAGATTCAACTACCCGGTCACGTGAGAGCTTCCGCGGCTTCTGCAACATCTTGATGACATTCATTATTGCCCGTTGGACCAGCTGTTGATCTTTGCAGAGTAAGCTAACAAGGGTCTCTGAACCGGGTCTTAAACTCCCCGACCTTGTTTCTACACCAAACATTCTTACTTAAAATCTCACACTTTCCTTCATCGACCCCCCTTCAATCAGCGGACCGAGGCGCTTGTGATCCACTCGAGAGCTTACCCCTACCAAAACAATTACATTTGCACAACACCAAGCTACCGTCCCCACAACATGGCTTCCAACAGACAGTACGACCTGGTCCTCCTGGGCCCCACTGGCTATACTGGCCGCTTCTGCTCAGAGCACATTGTCCAGAACCTTCCCACAGATCTGAAGTGGGCCATCGCTGGTCGTTCGCCACAGAAGGTCGAGCCTATCGCCGAGGAACTCAAGAAGCTTAACTCGGATCGTGTTCAACCTGGTATGGCACAAGACCAGAGCCCCCCATAAGACTGGCAGATATTCTGCTTGTTACTTGAATGACCTCTAACCTTGATCATGTAATAGATGTCCTTGCTGTTCAGCTCAATTCGACCGAGTTGAACGAGCTGGCGCAGAAGACCCGGCTCATCATCAATTGCATTGGCCCCTACCACCTGTACTCGACTCCCGTGGTTGAGGCTTGCGCTGCGCACGGTACTCACTATGTGGACGCGTAAGTCGATGTCCTATTCAGACTTGCATCCAAGATCACTAACTCTTGTAGCACTGGCGAGACCCCGTGGGTCAAGCTGATTATCGACAAGTGCCACGAAAAGGCCAAAAGTAACGGCGCAATTGTGAGCTTTCAACCCTTATAATTTACCGAGATTTACATGCTGATTGAAGCTAGATTATCCCCTCTGTTGGCGTCGAAAGTGCTCCAGCAGATATGCTGGCCTGGGCTCTGGTCAAGCACGTCCGCGAAGAACTCGCATCTCAAACCAGAGAGATCGACTGCTGTATCAAGGAGATGAAGTAAGCTCTCTTTACTCAAATCCCTGTTCATGGCACATCTTTTAATCAGTCCACGCCAGGTCCTCCGGCGCCAGCGGCGGCACTCTCAACACCATCCTCAGCGTCTTCGACTGGCTGCCCTCCTCCGAGCTAACGAAATCAATGACCCCCTTCGCTCTCGCAGCATCAACCCCACCAAAGGACATCCCCAGCGAGTCCATCATCCACAAGCTCTTCGGCGCACGCTGGATCCGGGATCTCGGCACGGTAACTACCTCCCCCTCCGGCATGGCAGATATCACCATCGTCCACCGAAGCAGCACCCTCATGCCCGAACTCTACGGCAAACGCTTCTTCTTCCGCCAATTCTTGCACGTACGCAACTCCCTCATCGGCGTTGTCGTGCACGTCGGTTTCCTGCTGGGTATCTCGCTACTCATGATCCGGCCTGTGCGCACCCTAGTTCGGCGGTTCATTTTCGCGCCGGGTCAGGGTCCTACCATCGAGGCTTCGAAGAATGATCGTCTTGAGTACCATGCTGTGGCGACGGCTGATCAGGAGGGTCCTGCGCCTAAGCGGGTATTTGGCAAATTTACTTATCATGGTAGTATGTACGTTTTGACTGGCTTGTTGCTTGCTGAGGCGGCCATGGTTATTCTCAAGGAGGAGGAGAAGGTGAAGAAGGTCTCTCGTGGCGGTATCGTGACGCCGGCAACTCTGGGCCAGGACTTTGTTGATCGTATTGAGAATGTGGGGTGCCAGATTGATACAAAGACTTTCCAGTACTAGACTTTTCAAGCGCAAGTCAATGTGTCTTGGGTGTAAGACTGGCAAAGGTCGGCATCTTTGGGTCTTCTGATGGCCGTGGATGTTCTTTTACTTTTGTTTAATGTGATGACGCGAGTGTCTATGTGTTGACGAATCCAAAAGATCCATTCCTATGACGTATTCACGTAGAATAATACTATTCAAATAAGAATCACAGCAAAACTCGGTACACCTTCCCATCAAAGCTTTCCCGAGCGGCCATCCACAAGAGCAACCTCCTTCAACCAAGTCGAAATAATGCTATTCACCTCCTTGGGCTTCTCCCACAACGCCCAGTGAGCGGTGTTGACCTGTTTAATAGTCAAGTTGGGAACGTGCTTGGCCATTGATTTGCCCAAGTGAGGCGGGAGAGCCTGATCCTTGAGAGCCTGAATGAAAAGAACGGGGATGGTAATCTGGCGATCAAGAATGGCCAGTTCTTCTTCGTAATTGACTTTGCGGGTTCGATACCAATTCACTATCCCAGGTTAGCTGCAGCTGGATTAAACAAGGATAAGGGCGACATACATGGTCCGTGAACACCGCTCCTGGAGAACTCGCTCGCATAGTAGTCCAACTCCTATTCTCTCATCAACTCCCCGTCATATCTCAAGTCTTGAATCTGCAGCAAACTCACCTCTTCACTCAACAAACGCGAAGGCTTCAGCCCGGACACCTTATCCAATAACACGCCTTTCTCAGCATCGAATCCAAACTCCCCCTTCTCCGTCCGACCACCATAAAGCGCACTCAGGAACTGCTTAATCTCGCCCTTAGAACGAATAACCTTCTCAAGGTCTCCGCTGGCAAATTGCAGCTGATAGGCAAAATGCGGGGCTGCATTTTGCACCAGGTCCTCCAGCGGAAGATACGTCGACTGGGGCCGGGCGTAAGGCACGCAGACGGTGAAGAGGTGGCTGATCAATTCTGGATGCCAGAGGGCAATTCGGTAGGACAGTGCCGCGCCCCTGGTTGCTAGTTAGTTGAAATGGACTTTCTGGTTTGCGGGCTGGGCTGTCTTACCAGTCATGGCCGCCCAGGATGACTTTGGACTCGCCGAGATGAGAGGCAAGCGCCTTGATATCATCCGCGCAGCGTTTGTGAGAGTAAAGTTTATAGTCGTCGGGTGCGTCCTGGATCTTCATTAGCTGATGTTTCTTCTCGGAATTGGGTTGGTTTCTGTCAATATACTCACCGTTCGGCCGTAGCCGAGGCAGTCTGGTGCGACGACTCGCAAACCCATGTCCACTAGCATGGGGATTTGGTAGCGCCATCCCATGGAGATATCGGGGAAGCCATGGATCTAGAATCAAGTTCAGCATTGGACTACTTTGATATGACGACGTAAAGCAGGACGGGGTAGTGCAGCTTACCAGGAAGATTGTAGCTCTGTATTTGCCCGATTGAGGTTGACTGAGGATGTAGCCTGCGTTCAAAGGATTAAGAATTAGATACAGCACGATCTCTTTGCAAAATTTCATTGATCCATGTTCTGGGTTACTAGTATCGACGCTTTTCCTGTGGGCACTGACTGTATTTGTGGCCATTCACCGTAGCCGACTTGTACTCGATGCGAGCATCGCCAAAGACTCGAATCTTGTCAACTGGCATCGTGGCAGTTTGGTTCAGTATTTTGGGGTTGAACGCGATTCAAATGCTGCCAAAATTTATTTGGACTGAGGACTCGATAAAGGTCATGCACACCGGAGCTGGTGAAATGTAACTCGTGAGGTGGTATATATCCAGGCTCAAAGCACGCTAGTCATCACGTGAAGCCGACTAGACCAGAATGCAACGCAAAAGGTGCACGTTTGATGAATAATAACAAATGGAGACTTGAAGTGGCCGGATCGAATACATTGTTTCGTCAACGAGCTTACCTCAGGTTGAGGGGAAGCTCCATGGCAAGCCGAGGAGCCCCTCTCTTGACCGATCGGTATGCCTCGGCTGGAGAGCCTCCATTATTAAGCTACACGCTACAGCAACGGCTCCGCAGCGCCACCATCAATGCATAGAATAAGATAGATGAATGATTCTGATTGGTAAATGTCACATTTTAGGTATTCAAATCCGGAATATAGCATAAATAGAGTCAATATATGATCGCTAATAAATCACGGTATCCTCGTTGTCTTCCAACATTTCATCCCCGTCGTCGTCGTGAGCGGCACGGTGAGTATCCTTGGAATCCGCAGCTTCGACCGCGCTGGTAGGTGCCGCGTCAGTTGTTGTGGGCTCGGAGGGCTTCTCCTCGCTAGGCTGTGCATCTTTTTCAACTGGAGTCTCCTTTGGCTCGGCGGTATCAGCCTTGGGTTCTGGAATTGGGGCTTGCTCAGAGACAGGCTCAGCAGCTGGCTTTGTCTGCTGCTGCTCCTCTGATGCTCCCGGTGGCCCAGTTGTCTCTGTCGATATTGGCTCCAGCTTCTCGTACTTGAAGGCTTCGGGCGGATACCGAGCGTCGAATTCGGCGACTTCTCGGGCAACTGTCGCTTCGGCTTCTTCAATCTGTTCCCGTATCACTGCTTCATCACCTGATCGTAGTTGCCACGGCTTATAATACTGCACAACGAAAGAATTAGCCACTGAAAATGCACTTGGATGACGGATTAGGACTATCATACCAATACCGGTTCGGTTCGTGTTTTGAGGAAATGCGCCATGGCGATCAAGTTCGAGTGTCGAGTTTGCATCTATCGAGGAAATCTTGTTAGCACTTCATTCATCGTGATGCGCAGGAACAGTAAGCCCGGTACAAACGGGCATGGCCAACATACAGCCTCCCGTTCATAAAACGGCTTCTCTTTCCTCCGAATCTCATCTCGCCGCTCCCTCCTCCGCTTCTTCAATTCATCGTATTCATCAGCCTGCGACTTGAGCTTATCCTGCTGCCGCTTCTCGATATCAGCGCGCCGCTTCTGCGCCGCGGACGTGGAGCTCTGCGAGAGTGTGCCAAGTAGCCCGCCAAATAACCGCTGCCCGCGCTTGCGGTCTTCCTCTCGACCCTGACGATTAGGCCTCCGTTCGGCGGGACGGTCGGGCGCTGATGCTTGTGGCGAATGCTGTTGTCGCCGGGCTTGTGGGGAGAGATCGCCTTGCGAACTGAGGCGGCGGCGTTTCGTTTCATGCTCTGATACTGAGGACTGTCTCCTTTTCGTTGAGATCTCGGGCGACTGGGGTATATTTTCCTGTTCTGGAACAGCGACTGCCGATGCGAGGGTCCTATAAGTAGGAAAAGTCTAGTATCAGCGTAAACGTTCAAACGCAGACGACAGTTGATAATGCGACCTAGGATCGACGTACCCTTCAGACATATTGGGCCAGTCGATTGTCGCCAATCTTGAAAGAGATGAAACCAGGATTGCAAAGAAGGATGCAGAAAACCGGAAACAGTCTCTCTTCCTCAAAAGACCTGGCCAGAATTCTCCCACACCCTTTCGAATCGCGCCAGCAGTGGACACGCGCAAGCAGCTTGGAGTCGGGTGTGACGGGGGGCACGTGCACGGGCCCATCCAACTTCTGTTAGCTTCTTTTCCGCTCCAACCTGGACTCCCCGACAGCTTTGTAATTCACTCCTCCTCCTCCTCCTCCTCCTTCCCTCAACCCAGGAGTTGCACATAACACAAACACCCCTCTCTTCTCTTCTCTTCTCAACCTCACCTCCTCCTCTACTCTCTCCACCCACCATGTCTCGCCACCACCCCGATCTAGTCATGTGCCGCAAGCAACCCGGCATCTCCATCGGCCGTCTCTGCGACAAATGCGACGGCAAATGCCCCGTCTGCGACTCCTACGTGCGCCCAACCACGCTGGTGCGAATCTGCGACGAGTGCTCCTTCGGCAACTACCAGAACAAATGCGTCGTCTGCGGTGGCGAGGGTATCAGTGACGCCTTCTACTGCTTCGAATGTACGCGTCTGGAGAAGGACCGCGATGGCTGTCCCAAGATTATTAATCTGGGAAGTTCGAGGACAGATTTGTTCTACCAAAAGAAAAGTTTCCGAAATCAATGATCCCGGTCTGCGCTTCCTCTCTTCATGGCTGGCTTGGTGTCTTCTCTCTGCTACTGGGAGAAGCCGGGGAGGGAGGTACGCGCGGGCCTTGTGGTGTGTGCGAGTTTTTTTTCCAGTCTAAACGTCTAAGCCGTGGTGGCGTCTACATGTCCGACCGAGAAGGGCAAGTGATGTTCAGATTCACCATGCTTGGCGTTGGCAGGCTATATATAACGCTACAAAATACGTGTGTTTCTCGGGAAGGCCCTGTCATCAAACGTCGTGATCTACCGGCCTGGACGTCTGGGGCGAGCGAAACCCCGAGCAGGGCCTGAATCCTGTGCCGGGTACACCTCTTCCTTCAACCGCTCCCCAGTGATCTCGTCCGGTCCGGAAGCCTCGATCTGTCATCCACGAGCGTTAGCAACATTCCCGGCAACTGTGAAGGTCTCCAACTAGTCCATACCTTCTTCGTGATCTTGAGTCCTTCCCCTTCGGCGACCGTGATAGCATTCCTCCGCGAACTGGCGTGCAGCATGCGCTCTCTGATGGACGATCCCGTGGGGCACGTGTAAATGAACACGACCACGTCCGAGCTGGGGTAAAGGTAGAAGGAATACCGAGGCGAAGTGGAGGAGATGTGGGTGGCAACGGAGTCGGGTTGAACCTCAGACTGCTTGTCGGCGAGGATGATAGTCTCGGTGGGGATATCTACAGTCTGCCACCGGAAATCCAAATGTTAGCTTTGCAAATAGAATCCATGCCTCCCTTCACTTCTCCACCCAGTTCCTTGTAGAAGTAGTAGAATTCCAAAGCTTCTTACCAATTGCACCAGACCACCGTCTGCCAGCTCCTTCAAAGCCGACTTGGCCGCCTCGTCAACGGGCATAGACACTCTCATGCCCGAACCGGTCCCAGGCCCAAACGTACCCCCAATACCAATATCTCTCTGCGGCGTCCCATTCCGAGCTTCAGCCTCCGCGCGCCGAACAGCCTCCAACTCACGCTCCTTCTCACCCATCAGCGCCTCACGACCCACGCCCGCCTTATCACCATCACGCTCCGACCAGGCCTCCCGTCCGACGATCTCCTGCTCCTCCGTAGCAAAGACAGTATCATCGAACTTCTCGGTGCCCAGCTCACGCACCAGGGTGGAGCGAGTCGAGGCGAAGAGCATCTTGGGCCGAACGGGTGCATTGGAGGGGATGTAGGTCAATGCGACGAGGACGGTCTTGGCCGCGAGCGGGCGGCGGAGAAGCAGGTAGATTGGGGTCTTGGGCTGCAGGATCGAGGAGATCTGGGAGAGCGAGGAGAAGAATGCATCTGGGGTGGTGGGGGAGCCAGTGAAGGGGATTGTGGTGAGGGGGGTTAGGCTTTCTGCTGTGATGGTGACGGGGAGGCAGAAGATTGAGGGGTCGGAGGTGAAGCGGTTGAAGGCATCGTGGAGCTCCGAGGAGACTGTTGAAGCTGTTAGTCTTGGGCGAGTGGATGTTGTGTCAATGGGGGGATTGTGGGTTGGAGATGGACTGGATGAGGGGGTGTCGGTGTACCTGTAATTCCTGACTGCATGTTGGAGGTGCAGTTCAGGGCGTATGGACTGTGTTGGCTAGGGAGTTGTTTATGGAGAGGGGAGAGAGGGGAAGCGGTGAATGATGAGGGGCGGGCAGTGGCACTGCCGATCTGCCAATCTCTCCTCCTTCCGAAGGTTGTCAACACAGGCACAAGACTATCATCTAGCAAAGCTAGCAGAGCTATCATTTCATGACTGACTTGATTATTCTGCAACTACTAACGAGCCCTCGACTCTATAACTGTCATATTCTGACGAAACATCTACAAGGATCCAATTCGACCCGAACTTGACAACTGACTGATCCAATGATGTGGTATACACAGAACTAAGGAAACCAGAATATGTACAGAAATTGGTCCGACTGGCCTGCCTCTAAACGGCACAGTCCCTTGCAGGTATCCAAAACCCACGCTGGCAAAAAAAGAAGCATTCAAACAAAAATAGAACACGAAAGACAGCAACGCAACGCCACCATGCTTTGGTATGGTATCACATGCTTCCCACAACCAACAAGCCCTGGCTAACCCTCTCTCTCTGACTCTCCTTTTCCACGATCCGTTTTTTACTCCTCAAATGAACCACCCACAAAGGCCCAGTTGGACTTCTCCAACTTACCCTTGAGGAACTCATACACAGTGAAAGTGACAGCCTGACCGGGAGCCACACGCATCACACGAGGGGTAATACCCTTATAGAAAGCACGGGCACCCTCAGTCTTGAACATATCCTTGGCAATCACCATGATACGCGTGACAGCAGACTGGCCAGGCTCAGCCCGAGTTTTTTGCAACCGGGTCTTGATCGTATCGATGGGAGCGTTGGAGAAGGGGCCGACGGCACCGGAAATCAGACCGATGAGGGTGGTCTGGTAGGAGGGGAGCTGGGCGTCGGCGAACTCAGGCTGAGCGCGTTGCAGAGCGGCCTTGAGCTCGGTGTATGCGGTGAAGTTGGCGGCTTGGTTGGTTCCCTGGCGCAGGGCTGTGAGGGAGACGCCGCGGTACAGGACGCTGAAGCCTTCTTCGCGGATGATGGTGAAGAGGGCGTGCGGGGCGCTGCGGTACTTGGGGGCATCGAGGGGATCGGCCAGACTGTGGTGTTGGGCTTGGAGACGGATCTTGACGACTTCCATGGGGTTGACGACGGCCACGGCTTCGGTCACACCGGCGGCGAGACCAGCTGTTATGCGAAGGAGAAAGAATGAGCTGATTGATCACAGGGGGATTTTTTTTTTTTTGGAACGGTTTCCTTTTGACTTACCGAGGAAAGTGGCCTTGCTGGTGACCTGACCAGTCTCTTTATCGGCGAGAGCACCCTTGTACGACTCGTAGGAGGTGAATCGGATGGCCATCTTGGGAATGATACCTCCGAGCACGGCACCCAGACCCTTGTACAGACCCAGCGCGGTCTCCTTGCGAACAATCTCGGCACCAGTGGCCACGAAACCACGGGGCTTGACCTATTCAGTTGCGAGAAAGGGTGGTTAGCAATCGCATTGCAGTCTGGTTGTACATGATATGACTTGACTTACTCCAGGGGCCGTAGCTCTCCGAGAGAGTTGCATGCGGACCTTGATCGTATCCAGAGGATGGCACACAAGAGCCTCCATCATACCAGCAGCACCACCCGCTATAGCCAAAAAAAAGAATTGTTAGCATTGGCGCCATTTCTTCCGTAAAAGTCGAGGATCAGGAGCTCTACCGATCAGGTTGACCGCGGGCGAGGCCTTCTTGCTGTTTGCAGTTTTGGCAGACATGCTGTGAATGGAGTTGCGAGAGCTATATACACGCAAAGTGCAAATCCTCCTTTGCGACTAATGCTCGGAGCTCAATTGGTCTCAATTGGTGGGGATCCGTCCAGTTCGAGTGCCGAAAATCGCGGAGACACTGCGGAGGGAGTCGGAAGTATATCTTTTGCCGGAAGAGAAGCCGAAGATGGAGAACCGCAGTACGACAAAAAAGAGATTGTCTTTAATTTGCAAGTTTAGAGAAATTGAAAGAAACGAATCTCTCTTTCTCTCTCTCCCTTTTTTTTTTTTTTGAAGAAACGTGCCGAGGAGTTCAGCTCGAAGTGGCGGAATCCTAAACCTTGTGGGGAGAGTCTGGTAGCTTCTGACGGGGAAGCGGAGGGAACCAAGCTGGACGAGCGGAACTTGTATAAAGAAGAAGAAAAAGACCAAGATTTCCGTACCACGAAGACCACAAAAAAAGAAAAAAGAGAGAGAAAAAGTATCAAACGAGAAAGAACGAGAATACCCGCCGAGGGCCATTCGGCAATCTTATAACGGAGTCATTTAGTCTCATCATCGCCAGTCCCTCAGTCCCGAGGCCTTCGGGAACAAGGGCGGATGGGACGCTCTTCCACGGCCCTGGACGGCGGCACCGCCCAAGGTCTTTGCCCCGGATCTTCCAGCGGATCTGAACTTCACATGCGCGGCTGGAATGCTGGGTTGTCCTGTCGTCATACCTTCATGGTTAATCACAAGATGTTGTACTGTATACAGTTTAGTTCGATAGGTGATGAATATTATTAGACTTTCTTGATATCCCTCCTACTCCTATCATCTAGAGTGTCTCCTTCTCTTTTGCTCTGGGCTATTTCTTCCCCAGGCTTACGGGGAGGTTCTCGGGGGAGCTGAATTACTCCGGACAGGTTTAATTCTGGAGGAGATCCGCACGATCGATGGAAAAGCAGCTTCGAAAGGTCCGTAAACCGCAGCGAATTCCGCTGGGACAGAATGGGAGGGCGTTTCCCCGGGAGAAGTCGGACTACCCGCAGAGCTCCCCTCAGCCGAGGTTCAAGTTCAGGTTCAGGTTTCACTCTGTTGCTAGAGTCTTAGTTAATTAGTGGAGGACCGGGTTAACCCCTCCTTCAACATTCTATTGGCACAAATCCTGAGTCAGAAGGACCGTTCGAAAGAAACTATGGATGACCTTGAGAAGGAGGTGGCTGCAGGTCATCTGACGAGAGTCCGGGGGAGTACGGAGTACTAGTAGTCTACGGAGTACTTGTAACTAGGAGGTTTATAGCGAACTTCGGCAGCTTGTTGGCGGTTGAATGTTTTACCCACATTTTCAACCGAAAAGGGGTGAAGAAGCTCGTGCTGGTAATAAGAATAAAGTCGTTATACAGTATCACTATCTGGAAGCAACCAAGGAATCTCAAATACTCTTCATGATCCTCTATATGTCACCAAAGTACTCAAACGAGGAACCTCTGCATGATCATTGCATCATCAGCATGTGCGCTGAACACTTCACATGCCGCGCAGCTTTAGCCCCGACCGTCGGCCTGCGCGGGTCGGGTACCCGATTTCGGCGGGCAATCCCCGTTGAGGACGGTCCGAGTATCGAGTTTGGAGATTAGCATACTGTTATCGTGAGCTTGTATACAGTATTGTAGCTAAAGCTAAACAGACTCTGGATCTCTTGGATATATCACCTGGTAAATATCATGGCAGGGATATCTGTAAATAGTCCCACGAATCACGATATGCTTAAAAGAACCGCCGCAACCATCTCCGCCCACCCTCGGACCAAATCCGATTGTGCGATACAGTACCAAGCAAAGATGATCGCCGTTCACCGCTCAAGCCTTGACTAAATCAATCCAGAATAGTTATCTACAACACCCTCAGCACATCAGTTCCTGCACACTGTGCACACGATACCCGTGGATTGATATGCGTCCCTGAATCAACCCATCATGGCCGACACCCTGGCCACAGCAGATCCGGGGCCCCGCCGAGCCCCAGCGCGAGCCCTCGCAGCCCTCAAACAAATCTCAATCATGATCCTGCGCCAGTGGCTCCTCATCGGCATGGGCATCGTCTGTGCCCTCGCATATCTCTTCCCGGACATAGCCAAGACAGACGGCGGGGTGATACGCAGTGAATACACCGTGTTGTACGGGGTCATCGCCATCATCTTCCTGATTTCCGGGCTCAGCATCCCGCGGCAGAAACTGTTTAAACAGTTCTTGAACTGGCGACTGCATATTCTGGTGCAGGCCATCTCATTCCTGTTTATCCCGGCTTTGGTCCTGGCGGTCGTACATATCATCCTCGTAGCTGATCCGGGGGGATATATTGATCGTGCCGTGTTGGCCGGGTATATCCTGACGGCGTGTATCCCGACGACTATTGCGTCGAATGTGGTTATGACGAGAGCGGCCGGTGGCGATGATGCTGCTGCGCTGGTGGAGGTGTTACTGGCGAATGTCCTGGGTCCCTTTGTCACGGCCGTTTGGACGGTCACCCTGTTGCCGAAATCGGCCGAGTTTGATACCTGGAGGTATGGCGGGGGCAGTTTGGGGAGTATGTATAAAAATGTGTTTCAGCAGCTGGGGCTGAGCGTGCTGCTCCCTTTGTTTGTGGGGCAGTCGATTCGCTGGACTTGGCCGGACCGGACGGCGTGGGTGATTCAGAAGACGAAGTTGCCGAAATTGGCGAGTGCTTGTATGCTGCTGTTGATCTGGTAGGTGCTATACGCTCCAATCAAACCAAGCAGGTGTGCATTTCTTATCCAGTTCATACCAACGTTTACCCTAGGACAACATTTTCATCCTGCTTCGCAACAGGCGCCCTCCAAACCCTCTCTGCCCAAAGCATCATCTTCGTCGTGCTCTTCAACATAGCACTATACATCGCGCTCACAGTGATATCCTTCTTCAGCTCCCGACCACCAAAGTTCCTCCTCAATCATCGCTGGTTCCAGCCCGTACTAAAGTCCATGCCCCCCGAGGAAACGATCGCAGTGTGCTTCTGTTCCCCGGCGAAGAGTACTGCTCTAGGCCTGCCTTTGTTGTATGCCATGTGGGCGCCGGTGGACTTTTACACCAAGGCTAAGACGTCGGTGCCGGTGTTGCTTTATACTACTGAGCAGATTTGCGTGGCGCAGTTTTTTGTGCACTTGTTTCGGCGGTGGCATGCTAGGATTGTGGAGAAGGAGGGTGTGGATGGGGATGGGGATGGGGATGCTGATCCTAGTGGTCAGTCTGATGAGGTTGGACTTGGCATGATACAAAGACCGACAGAGAGTCATGGTGGGGTGGTTTGAACTAAGCATTGATGATAGGCCTTTATGGATTGGTGTTCAGAGTTATACAATGACTGTGTTCTGACTTCCTGGATGGGATACCGCTGGTATTGGGCTTTGTTCTACAATTTTTGGCCCTAGGGAGACACGTTGAATGACGGATCCCACGGCAATCAAGAAGCAGATCCACTGTCTGATTCAGTTGGCACGCTTTATGAAAGTGCATATCACTTAGTCAACTTCGTGAAAGTGGCGGTGATAATGCTGGCATGAATGGCTCTCATGTTCTGACATGTCATCCCGTGGCAAGGTGCCATTTCCTCACTGCCTGTTCCTAGATATCAAATAGGCCGGGAGTGCATTGCCAAAAGACCGCAGTTGTTGAATTGTTCCCCATGGGGCAATTTGGTATTAAAGAGAAGGTTCTTCAGAATTCACGGAATGAGCCCTCCGTGGGCTGCATCAAATGGTTATCAACTTTCAGTATATGATATTACTCCCTTCATCAGGTGCTTACTATATTGCGAATGTTATCTGGATTGGCAGTATAGTTAGGTGAACAAGTTCCCACTGTTTAGATCCTAGCACACCCACAACAGCTATTTGCCATCGCCTTTTCCTGCGTTGCAGTATTGCAGAGTCTGCGATGCTATGTTTGAATATAAACAATTTAAGTATTGTTTTCAGTTCGTTCTTGCAACCTTTTTCGTGAATGTACGTATCATAACCTTAAGATGTCCCACAAGCCTCACCGATAGCCTAGTGGTGAGTTAGTGGTGGGGAAGTGGATCCGCATACAATGACGTCGAGCAACAGGTCTGCTTGATAATAATCAATCAGATCTCTTATCAACGATCTGAAAAATACATAAACCCACCCTGACTCGATTCATTTTTCTCGGAGATACTCCAAAGTCTTGAAAATACCAAAGGTTGAGGCCAGCTTTTCAAGATGCCGCTCACTGGACAAACCGTGCTCCTGGTATGAGAACCCTCACCAATATGCGCCACGAATATTATTTAAACCATACTCCCAGGTAGACCGGAGCATCAATGGGGATTGGCGAGGCCATCGCAAAAGCCCTGGCCAAGGAGGGTGCCAATCTAATCTTTCTATCTCGCTCTGAAGTATGGGCAAGCAAGCCCCTTAAACCCCCTTGGCAGCAGCGGTTTACATGCTGAATCAGCCTCTTAATGTCTCTATCAAGGCATTGGACGTCGTTCCATCAGGTAAATTATCCATTCGGAATGTGAAGAGGCTTGTTATAAGCTGACACCATTTAGCCTAACGATCCCTCAACGTGTTTGACCGAAACTGGAATGAGCGGCTGCGCAAGTGAGCTTGGACAGACAGTACAAACATGAATATCTTCATTAGCACCAGAAGCCCAGGCGCTTGATCCAGGAGGAAGCAACGTCACGCAGCGACGAGCGCGGGCGATCTGGTATTTGATGATAAAGTACATGAATAAACAAAAGAATCACAGTCGAAGGAAATATATATGCGGCATCAAGCTCCCCATTTCCGAAGAGGGAGTATCCGTATCAGAGAACAAAATGTACATGATAGGTCATGTTGAAAACAAAAGAAACAAAAACTCACATCCCGAGTCTATATCTCAGATATAGCTCACCTTCACACCCATCCCAACCGTACCTTTCACCTTCTGCCAGGCCGAGCCCGTGATTCTGCGGACTCGTTCACGTACGTCCTGCCGGCTCATGGCCATCAGGATGCCAAGCACAAAGAGCAAGGTACGCGCTATTGAGAGTGGGTTGCCAGACACGCTTTGGATAATCTTCTTGAACAAATTGCGCAACATGGTCGCCATAGCCCGAGTCTGGCCTCGAGCTTCGGGCTTGACCTGCTTCTTTGAGCTCTTAGAGGCTGACGAAGAGAGCGCCGTCCGGGAGCTGGATTTGCCGCTCGGCGTTGACTTGTCTGTCGCTTTAGACCCCTTGGCCTTGCTGCGCGGGATATCTTTCTCGATCCCGTAGTCCACTTCACTAGTATTGCGCTTATGGCCATTTGTTTGGGTGGCCGCAGCTCTCGCAGCTTCTTCCTCAGCCTGCTGCCGCTCGTCGTCCCGCTGGCGCTCGAATTCTGCGTCCTTTTGGCGCTGGAGTTCGGCCGCACGCATTTCTCCTCGTTCCTTTTCTTCCTTTAGACCCTCCAGTGTTTGGAGGAATAGCTCTTTGCGCTCTTCATCCAAGACCTCGCTGAGGTTAATGAACTCTTGCGCATACTCCCACTCTTCGTTCCGAGGCAGCACGTGCAGAGTGAACAGCTCGATGATTCGTACTCGGGCAGCCAGATCTTTCGGCGTGTCGGTTCCATTGGCAGCCGATATGCGGTGCTGCTGGATGCCGTCTGATGCATCCTGAAGGCGATCTGTGAGGTCTAAAATGGGTTGCCCGTATGATGAGAGGTAGGTCTCGAGGCGTTGTTGGTTCAGTGACTGAGAGGAGGAGTGATTGAGGATCAGAGTGGCCCTAAAGAAGTTTCATTAGCTGGCGATGTTCTACAGATCCAAATGGGGGTGTTCGAGGTGAAAACTGACAAGTTGTAGACAACCTCGGCGTCCACGGAGCCTTCCCGGCCCCGGTATCCGACCTGCACGACGGTCTCCCAGATTCCACCTTCGCGCACTTGCGTCGCGATCGCTTTCCACTCCTTCTGGCCAAATTGACTCTTTCCCTCCTCTGCACCAAGGTCTACAATTGCGCTGAGAAGCGTGATGTAGAGGTTCCAAACCTTGATCCTCCACGTGCTGGGAGCGGTGGCGATCGGCGCGACCGCGGCGGAATGATCGCCATTGGTAAGCTGTTCATCTTGGGAAGACGGGACGGTGATAATCGGTTGCAATGAGGCAAGCGACTCCGGGAGACGTCGCGTGAGGTAGAGTTGGGAAGCTTTCTTGTATGTCCTAGAGCAGAGCTTCGCGGGGGAGGTGGAGGCGGAGGACGCGGAGGAGAGTTGGGTGTGAGAGGACGACATTCCGTCAGTCATTGTGCCCCGAGATTGCGGGAGAGAGTGGGTATATGGAATGTCAATGGGAGAAAGGATGAGAGAAAAAGGCCATGAGCACGAGGAAGGAGAGATGGGAATGGCGTTTCGGGAGAGCAAGACTGGGGCACTGCGATCGGCTGTCGTTTTCCCTCGGCTCGCCCAAGTCCGGGGTTGGTCACGGGATCGCCATTCCCCGACGGGCTTCCCCATTCGGACTGTGTTGTGTTTACATTCGAGATGTTCTATAAACTGACAAACTATGGGTAATTAGATATCATGTTTTCTGTCAAATTTTTGAGCAAATACAGCCTCAGGTGGGTTTCCACTAATTTGAATTTTTGTTACGCTCCCTTTCTAACTAACCTGGTAGAGGAGCATTAGATGTACTTCCAACATTGATCATGATATATTGACAACGGGCCAGTACGAAGATATATGCGTGAATTAGGATAGCAATACGCATCACTCTTTCAACTTACCTTCTAAAAGTATATCGCCTCGTTGAAGGACTGACCCGATAACTACCAACTACAGATAGCGAATATGCTCAAAGCATCTAGGATTCAACAACTGCCAACACTGATATCACTTCTGACTCGGCCAGTACTCCCAAAAGCCCCTCACATCTGATGAAGACTGATCTAAAGTAGCTGTCAATATAAGCAACGACACAAGCAACACTCTTGACGTGACCCTCGCCCGTAAGTGGCCTAGTTGTTTCACGATCATTCCTCTTTCCTCGCTATACTGGGCATGAATTTTGTCCCTCAAAGTCACCCACCTATGATATTATTCATTTGTTTCGTGATATTACTTCATTCTTCTCTCCTCCCACATTAGATTTGACTTTGATCCCACAAAGCCACCTTCCTGTACACTCACTAAGTTGTTTCTCTTCCTTGCGTCTCTTATCCTACACTCTAGCTAACCTTCTTCCTATAAGGTCACCAACAAATCAAACAACTGACTTGCTTTGAGGTATTCTTCCATCCTTCACCCATCTCACACTCGACAGAGCTGTCGTCATCAACTCCGCCATATTTCTTCCTTTTGTCATTCATCCCACTCTCAAAGTGATACTCTTCCTACAAGGCCACCAACCTGCGAGGTCAGCAAGTGGCTTCGTTATATACCTTCTTCTTTACTCATTTTATACTCGAGGTGACTTTCGTCCGATCAAATCACAAACCTATATGCCAAGTTTTGCTTCCGGATGCTTCTTCTATCTTTCTCTTATCCTTCACGCTCGCAAACAAACAATCACCCAAACAAAGTGATCAAGACGAAAGCACGATTCACAACATCCCCGATTTTACTTTTGTCCCAAACATCATCAAGCTCTTACACCATCTTATCACTCAAGTCCGCCTCTAATCCATTCAATTGCACACAAGATCCATTCACAATGGATTTAACGTCTGGGAATATTGCTTTCTATCTGCCCTGGCTACTCAGTGAGGTGGCTACCAGTTGCTTTGTTGCTATGGACCTCGAGATGTCCGGCATCGCCCTCTCTGTGAAATACCAGGGCACCAAGTCTCTCCAGAAGCACTACGAAGAAAACAAAGCTGCTGCGGAAAAGTACCAGGTACTACAGGTTGGATTGACAATCTGCCGTGAGGACAAAGAAAGAGGTACTGTTCATTGCTTGATCTATATTCTCTTTGTTTATTTGTAAAAGGCTAACTCCAAATAGGGAGCTATGTGCTCAGACCCTACAACATCTCGCTCAACCCGTGTCTGGACCGCAATCTCAACGTTAACCGGGATTGTACTTTTATGGGCTGGTGTATGTGCTTGTTATCCCTTGCTCTGTTATCGAACAAATTGACTGACTTGAAATAGCCATGGAATTCTTGGCTGGCCACAGGTTCGATGTTGGCAGCCTCTTCACCCACGGTGTACGCTATTTGTCCCGGGATGAGGAGATTGCAGCTCGGGAGGAAGCTGTCCGACGATGGGCTCCTACTGATCCCATGGATAATATCGAACACAAGCTTCGGGATGAAGCAGACATCAAATTTCTTGAGGCTGTCCGTTGTCAAATTGAGACATGGATAGCCGGAGGGAAGGTAAGCTCTTTCTAACTTTGGAGGTACCGTCTCGGAGACCCTCTTGTGAAGCTAACCCGTATCCTTAGACACGCGGTACGTATCTAAGCATCCCTCCTACTACCAACGGGCATGGAAAGGTTCGCCAGGGTTGCCCGAACGATTTGAGCAAGACACAGAAATGGCTCATACACAACTTGGTCAAGACGGAGTTTCCGAGCCTGAAGTCTCGAGGCATGCCCACGTATATCCAGATTGAGCAGCGCAACGGCGGTGCCATGGAGTTCAACGACAGAATCAGAGAGAGTGACCAGCGCATTCGAAAGCATGTGGGATTCCGATGGATCGTAGAGGCTTTGGCCGGCGGCGACCTGTCAGAACTAGAGCCGGCGACCTTCGCGGACCTTTTACCAGAGGACACAGATCCGTCCATCACAGCGAAAGTGCTCGCGGACCGAATCAAGGAACGTTTGAAGGAGAACCGGCCTATCCTCGTGGGCCACAACAGCTTTACCGATATGGTGTTCTTCTACAGATGCTTTCTTGGCCCTCTTCCCAATGCGGTAGAGGAGTTCATCGCCCTGATTCATGAGACATTTCCCATCCTGGTTGATACCAAGTTCCTGGCGACTCAGGATTTCGACGCTATGAATCTGTCCTCTTCACTGGAGGAGCTCAACAAGACCTTGGCAAAGATCACGAGCCCAAGGATTGGTATGTCTTTTTCATTACTCGCCGGGCGTTGGCAAGCTACTAACAAACTCTGTAGAAACCGACAGCTTGTACTCAAAGTACTTCTGCAAGAGAAGTGCCCACGAAGCTGGTTACGACAGCATGCTCACTGCAATCGCATTCCTCAAGCTGTCGACTCATCTCGAGGATGGAAAACTTCCCAAGGGAACGAGGGGCCGTCTGGAGGACATTGCGTATCGGCTCGTCACTCCTACTACAACTGTAGTACAGGACCTCTTCCCAAGCATCCCTCAGGACCCTTTCAGAGAGTTCTTCAATACCGAAGATGAAGAAAAAGAACAACAACAAGCTGAAGAGCTTGGCCTGGAGACAGTAGCGCTTTCCATCGCCTATACGGGGTCGAAGAGCGACAACGACAAGGTGCGGCAAAAGTTGTTGATTCCACGCCTAGGCAGCAAGTTCTGGCTCGAATATGGTAACAAACTGCGAGTCTTCGGGACAACTGAGAAGACTGCATATTTTGGACCGATTGAGAAGCCCGCGCACCTGCGAGCGCGGAAGAAGACCAAGAACTCCGGAGCAAATGGAGCAAATGGAGCAAATGGGGGAGTGAGCGACGATGAGGAGTTGGCGATCAACACGAACTTGATCTACCTCTAGTTAGCTGGCGGAGCATGTCCAGCATATCTTGAATTTGCAGTTGATAGCATTAAGCTATGGGGAGACAAGGAGGAATGCGGTGGGAGAGCATGGTTCTAGCCGATCATGTTGGTGCGAATCCTGCAATTCGCAACAGAGCAGACAGTATTTAGCTATGGAAGAGAAGGCATACGACGGGAAACAAGTTTGTTCATATTTGCAATTATCGAGGAATAACGAATGGTAGCGAAGGCAATGGAATGATCTGGTACCAAGCCCAGTGGCTGGAACCGGTGCTGAGATGTTTGCAGCAGCTATCTAACAGTACACCTTGGATTATGTGAAGGTACCGCTAGCGAAAAATAGCCGCAATTCGTTCTGAGCACCACTTAATGATCGACTGACCGTGAGGAAAATTCGAGGACAGTGACGATAAGGAAACGGGTGCTTGAAGAGGAGGAAGAAGAGTTTGAGACGCGACGAGCTTTTAAAGTGGCCCATCGCCCGCTAGTCCTGATGGAGTCTAGTGGGAACGTGACCGCCTTTGCCTTTGCTGGAACTTTTCTTGGAGACTCCAGAGCATCACGGAGGTGATAATAGGCCAATCCAACTGCCATTGTCATACACCGCGACGATGTCGACAGGATCCAATGGTGCTCGGCGCATTGCGTCGCTGATGCGTATGTTCCTTGACTGATCTGTAGCCTTGAAACCCTTGACACTGATGACCACCGGCCAAACAGGACCATCCAGACTCGACAGCGTCTGCAGAAGCTGTCAAGAGACCCTGGGTCGCCGCAACTATGCCTCTGCTGCTGCTGCGAGTGAAACAACGACTACTTCCTCGCCAATCCCTTCCACTTCCTCCATCACCGACCCTGTCTACACCATCAACGCCGGTGTGGTTCTCTCCCGCCCTCCCCAGATCACGCGCGACCTCGAGCCCTTTGAGAAAGCCTTTTATTTCTACCAGAAGCGTCTGAATGAGCGCCTGTCCCTTCCTTTCACCAAATACTTCTACTTCAAGCGTGGCACGCCAGCGGACGTGGACTGGAAAAACAAGATTAAGGAGCGCCGGACCCCGGCACGCGACATTGGCAAGTACAACGCGTACGACAACGATGCATGGAACGACGAGTTGCTCCTAGGATCAAAGGAGGCCGAGCCTGAACATCTAGTGGAGACGCTAGTGCAGGATGCCGAGTCCACAGCCAATGCCACTTCCCAGGACACTAGCAAGAAGGAAGAGATCCCGCGGCCATTCTCGCGACTGACGGAGGCGGATAAGAAGGGTGATCACAAGAGTCTGAACCGGTTGTTGTCTCGGACTTTGTACCTGCTGGTGCAGTCGAAGGAGGGCTACTGGAAGTTCCCCAGTTTGCCTATCGAGGGAGATGAGACCCTGCACGAGGTGAGTGTCCGCCTCGGATGACGATGCCACGATTTATCTTTGCGACTTTTTGCTAACATGGTCTGCTCTATTCAGGCCGCCCAACGTACCCTCTCCCAAACCGCTGGTTTCAACATGAACACCTGGATGGTTGGTTTCCACCCCGCTGGTCACCACGTTTACCACAACCGCAAGCCCCACGTCGACAAGGCCACTGGTGCCGCCGTCCACGGCGAAAAGACCTTCTTCATGAAGACCCGCATCATGGCCGGTCAGGCCGATCTCTCCGGTAGCGTGGAGGAGCTCAAGGACTACAAGTGGCTGTCCAAGGATGAGATTCCGCAATACCTGCTGCCGCAGTACTACAGCAACATTAAGAACATGCTGGCCGACCGGTAAATGGGCTTCCAGAGGGTGTTCCTGGTTGCTTCCAACGCCAAGCACACACTTTGGTCAAATTTTTTTGAAAACGTGTATGAACAAGGGGGAGCGAGAGCGCGGCGCGAGGTCATCCCAGCCAGGAAATGATGGATTTTTGCCTCCTGGCACTATGCGTTATCAGCAACGCACTGCATATACTCTTACCGCGCATGCCATGTATAACTAGATATCTCTTTTCTTCTCATTGTACTGTCAATCGAATTCATTTCATCGAAGGTCCCATCGAATATTTCCTCCTAAACTCCAAGCGCCATGCGATAAAATACATTGCCCAGTAAAACCCATCAAACTGCCCCCATGAATGGATCATTTCAAATTGAACTTCTGTCCCTGTACGACAGGCTGGTCCTTGGCTGACTTGCCAGCCAAGTTCTTCCCACACATCGGACAAGCTAGACGCGAACCAGTCAACCCAACAAGAACCCTGGACAAACACGACTCGCATGATACGTACCATTCTTCTGATAAGCACAGCGCTGACAATACTTCCTCCCCTGCTCAGTCTTGGTCTTGCACTGCTCGCAAGACGAGGCATAAGCCGCATATGGATTCTTCGCCTTTGCGCTGAGAAGCTTACTCTAAGCAACATGTTAGTGGCAGCCCATATATCAAGGTCTTCTTACAGATAACCACCAAAGGCCAAGGGAAGTAGAATTCATACCTTGCCCACACCCGTCGCGCCCAGAGTTGGCTTGGGTTTCCCTTTATCTGTGGATGATCCGCCTACTGTGGTCGCCGGCGAGCCGTAGTACATGTCATTCTTGCGCTTGACGCCCGGCGTGGCGAGCTCGGTGGCTTTGAGCTTTTTCTGACACTTGGCGCAAACCATGGTCGTCTCTGAAGCTGAAATATACTGAACTGGACTGGGATGGTTGATGCTTGAAGTTGGATATTGGGGGTTGAAATGTCGGAGATGATGTTATCGCTTGTGGTCCGCCACCGCCTGGCGTTGATGCCAAGACTTTGACGGAGGCGAGGATGGGGTGGGAGAGAGTGGGCAAATTGTGGGAAGATTAGAGGTTATCACTCTCCATAGTCGGAAGAGGTAACAAAATGACTCTTTTCAACTCTGTGTGCGTTTGCAGGTGAATAGCAAGCTGAATTTCCAAGATCGTATCTGGTTTAAGAATCTTGCCATAGCTACGCGGTGGTACTACCATGGTTCAATAGTTCTACAGGAAACTCAAGAACAACCACCATGTATGGACAAGAAAATCTCAATTATTTTAATCTGGGTATTGACATCAAAAATGGGTATTTCAAGCAGGAAATAATTCCAAAGCAAAATGACACACAAACATCCTCAATCAAATCACATAAAAAGTTGGAACGTTCTCCATCGAGCTGGCAACATCCACCAGCCCCATTATTAGAATCATAATCATAGAATCGCAAAGTCGAACACAAGGAAAGCTCAATCCCCAGCCCTATCGTGCATTCCTGGACAGCTAGCTAGAGAATCTAGTTCTCCTGTCGCTGCTGCTCAGGCTGGGGGGTATGAGCGACAGGCTGTTGATAATCCTGCTGAGCCGGCTGCGGGTATGACTGCTGGTAGTGCTGTTGTTGATAGGGCTGCTGCACAAGCACCGGGTTTTGTTGCTGGTAGGCCTGGTAGGCCTGGTAGGTCGGGTACGGGCCAGGACCGTAGTGGTATTGCGCAACCATGTTCTTGTCCTCGCGATCATCGACGCTGCGCCATTTCGAGCAGGCAAGCAAGATGCCCACAAACGTGCCCACGATGAAGAAGAACTGGAGGACGGACTGGACGCAGGACAGGTAGTTTGGCTGCGTGGTATTTTCGAGAGAGTAGCGGATGTAGACGACGGCGAATGTCAGGTTTAGTGCCATCCAGGCGATGCTGCCACCAAGGAGGGAGAAGATGGGGAACTATTTACGGCCGGCATTAGTCCACTGAATCAAGAGAAGTAGCAGGGATAAGGAAAGGCTTAGCTTACCTTGGAAGCAAATCGGTGCGATCCAGCCTTGACCACAATGAAAATGAACCAAGCGACAACCTCCAGCGAGAGAATCCACCAGATGATAGCGCGTGCGGCTTCCAGATTGTTGTACGAGCTTGTAAGGGGCGAGAAGTAGTCGTTCTGGACAATCTGCACCTGGAAGGCAACGTACAAAGCAAAAGTGGCGAGGGAGACGACAGACACCAGACCAAGAATGACCCAGTGGATGATCGCCACGACGGCATATGGCTTGCCAGCATCAGTGAGGCGATCCAGCACGCTGTGGATGAGATGATAGAAGATGAAGAAGATGAGACAGCCAGCGACCAGGTAGAAGAACTCGTTCAGCATCAGGTCAATGACATAGTACATTTCAACATTGGCATTAGCGAAGAAAAAGATCTCATAAACCAGAATCGTCAACATGGATCTATTGTTCGTCCCCGGGTTAGCGACATATCTTTGATTTGTGGAAGAATCGCACGTACGCCAAGTAAAGGAGCAGAGCAGGCAAAACGCCCTTCAGCTGGCCTCGGCCATTGTGGATTAAGCAGGTCCAGATGAGGAAACCGATCAGGGCGAGAATGGTGAGCACGTCGAATGCAAAGCCCGCGATGAACAGAGTCTTTGATCTGAGCACGTCCAAGGAGAACTGAATATCTTGAGACCATGGGTTATCGTTATAGTAGCTGCTGTAGCTACTGGAGCTTCCGCCCGAGCTGCGACGCGGGGCCATCTTCGTTCAGGGATTGGACAGATCAATCTGGAGTGGTTGGAGAGCAGAGACTTCTCTCAATGAGAGTTCAGATTTTGTCTAGCTCTCTAGACTAGCTATCTGCTGCGCGAGGTGGTTGTTTGTTGCGGCCAAACGTATGTCGCGGGATGAAGAGACAAACAAGAAATAAATCTACACTCGCAAAGCCTGCCCATCGTGGAGTCATTCCAACTTTTTAACGACTTTCTTCCCATGTTGCAAATCGACGCTACTAGACCCTGAATACGAGGCTGAGCCCCCCTGCGGCGAAGAAGGAGGCCCGTCATTGGCCGGAATGTGTTTAGGGCAGAGAAGCTGGCGCTAACTATACGAACGAGTGCAAAGCCAAAATCTTGGCTGCGAATTAGTTCGCCCAGTTTTAGGGGCTGTACTTCGTAGAGAGCTAGACTGGCCATTAGGAGGGCTCGTTGCTGGGCTAACTACTGACTTGATTCCCTTCCAAATGTAGCCCCTTTTCGCCCGTTGCTCATGTTACTCGTTTGGCCCCCAACCCCTCGACAAGTCCAGAAAGTATCGGCAGTTGGCCAGCTATTTTTAGTGTTTCTTCATCTCTGCTGTGCTTAGAGTGACCAGCTCGAACATTAGCGATCTATGTATCAGTTGGATCCTGTTAACTTGGCATAGAGTCATCGTCATCGATCACGTCAAGACGAAGGTCTTTGTCAGAGCTGGGGAATTCTCAGTGACCAAGGTCGTGTTCAGGACCTCAAGTTGGCAGCTCGTAAAGATGAGAAAATGAGTTCGCTTGGGCCTATAGGCGACCCATGCCAACTCATCACTCGTTGAGTGGTGATGACGATAGTAGAGAAAGACAAGGACAAACACGTCTCTTCGTAGAAGAAATCTAGGATCGCATTCACGGAGATATTGTTAGTCCTTGTATAATTTGATTGGGAACCACTTGGGGGCTTTTTGTACTCCGGACACACCAACACTTAAAGTAATCCCAAGGAACCAAGATCTTGGAACGACAGTTTGAGCTGATATCTCTCGTCTAAGATGACATCGCCACTTGGATATCGCAAGTCGGCATCTCCGACATGGCCGCACTTCTCAACCCTTGATGCTGTCCACCGGGTCCACTGCCGATTTCCTTGTTCAGCGCAATACAGCCGTGGAGCGCAAGGACACATCCACAACTGGCGTGGAGTGGCTGAGCCCGCGGCCACCGCCACCCGCCCCCAGCTGAGACGCGTCTTGCGCGATCCTTTCGCGAGCTCAAATGTACCAAGTTCCACTTGCCAGACCGAGGTCAGAGTCAGCCGAGTCTAGTGGATCAGACTAAAGATTCGCCAGGGATTCCCCAGCCCAGATATCAGATCACATCCGCCGACCAGGGGATATCCCAGTCCGGGCTCCAGCTCGCGGAGAACTCCATAGACTCGGAGTACACGAACTTGAAGTGATGCTCTCCACCCAACCCAACCCAACCCACCCCAACCAGGAGACAACAAAGAATGGAAAAAGACACTAGTGCACACTAGCAACATGTTCGCCATGCATTGACCCGACCGATCGCCTGGGAACAGATCCAAAAGTATAATAAACAATCCACACGGCATGCGCCGCCCGTGGCGAACCTGTCAACGACCAACGTCGCACTAACTGCCCTAACTCCTCCATCCAAAGGGTAATCCAACCGAGTCGAGTCGAGTCCGTCAATATCATCTTCAGCTCCCCGCTATCCACGCGTAGAATATGTCTCGCTCTTCTCCGAGCTGCCCTTTCCTCCTACTGGACCAAACGACAATAAACGAGCCCTACCGTCTCAGAAAGAATGGGTCCCTGAATCGCTTTGGTTTCCCCATCGCCCTACAGTATCCTTATGGATTGCATCCACTCACGCCCCTTGTACTAATCCCCGAGATCCTTTAGATCGTGCGTCACCACATGATTGATTCCCCGGAGATGCATGGTGACCCGCCACTTGCAAACTGGTCTGCAGGATCATCTCTCGCCGAAGCGATCGAGCGCCGACAGGGCTCCTGGTCCACAGTATCCAGCTTACCACGTCCACCATGCTGGTTATGCTCGGCATGGCGATAATGAAGCACTACTCGAAGACCGGAGTAAACTAGTCTCCATATTTATCGCCTCAGTGGCATCGTAGCTTTTACTCGCTTGTTCGCGGGTCTCTGTTGGTGGATGAAGAGGTTCGAGGCTCGGTCAGCGGGCTAGGCTGCTCCTTTGATCTCCCCTGAATATGAATGGACCTTGGTTTTTTTAAGATGCAGGGGGGAAGGGCGTTCGGAGGCAATCCATATAAATAGTTAAAAGTCACGATGCAATAATAGGTTCAATTCCCCTTTTGCTTTTTTGTTCATCGTTTTTGGCGAGTTGATCTTTCTACTATCTTGACTTGTTTTTTGATTTCCGGTGGATGTAGCCCCATGAATCAGGTCTCGTTATAAACCTCGGGGATTTTAATCTACACTTGGAGTTTCTTTTTGTTTTTCGATACTTACTCTTTTTCGCTTCTTTTATTTTTCTTTTCTTTTTGGGGTCGTGTTCCCTGGATACACTTCCCTCTGCCGGATTCGGTTCCATCCGCGGAGTCCCGCACCGCGACGGTACCTTGTCAACTGCATTTCTGAGATCATATCCCAACAATCCGTCCTACAAGGCTCGCTGCAATCATTCCGGTCTTGGACTATATTTTCCTACCTTTGTCCGCTCTTATCGCATCTATATCGTGAAACAGGCGCTGCCACGACCCGCCCCTCCGCCTCGACAACCAGGCCATCCGTCTATGATCTGCAGAACATCAAAGCTCAATTAAGTGCTGGACACTCAGCTCAGCCTCGCCATTGACACGCAGTCCCTACGATCCGCGTCTCAATCGATCTCTCCCCGATCAAAGACCATCAATCGGGTAACCACGTCTATCTCAAGATCCAGAGAGAAAAAAAAAAGAAAACAATAGCGCAGCCAAATCGTGGAACCACCACATCCACTCACCCAAAAGAAAGATAATCATATCTCAAAATGCCCCCAGATGGCTCATCCTTCACTACGTTAAACCTCCCGCCCACATTCACCCTCCCCCAATGCATGGAATACTTCGAGCTCAAAGCGGGCCCAAACACCGATCTATGGCGCAAGCCACCTAACGGCGACACCTCCACCGCCCCCATCGTCTTCACATCCCTCCGCCACCCCTTCGTCGTCGCCGAAGTCACCGTCAGCGCCGACTGGGAAATGGAATGGGACCAGGGCGGGCTGGTCATTTTCGCCGGCGCAGCACCCCAATCTTTCTCCTCGGATGCGAACACGACGCCAACTGGGAACGGACTACCCTCGACACGCCGCTCGTCCGCGCAACCGTGTAAATGGGTGAAAGCGGGAATGGAGTTTTCATCAGGGACGGTCAACGCGTCCTCCGTGAGTGCCACGGCCGATGGCGCGGACTGGTGTTTGTCGCCGTTGGCGCAGGGCGTGGCTGGGCCGGCGATTCAGTCGTTGCGGATTAAGCTGGAGCGGGTTGGCCATGCGCTGTGGATTTGGTATCAGATTCCGTTGGCGGTGCCGTATGCGCTGTCCCCCGGTGCGGTGGGGGGTACGTGGAAGAAGTTGCGGGAGGTGACGTGGTTCTTTTATGGGGTTGAGGATAAGTTTGTTCATGTGGGTGTTTATGCTAGTCGGCCGACGAATATTGCCCGGGGGCAGACTATGTGGGATGCTATGCATGGGTTGACGTTGGAGAGTACCTCGGCGGCTGGGTCGTCGGATGGGTTGGTTGTTGAGTTTGAAGATCTGGAAATCTTCTAAACTAGTAGTGCGCCTCGAGGTGGTTTGGCCCTTTTCCATTGATGGGGTTTGTCCTTTTCTTTCTTGCAGCTTCTTGTTCGATGTCATTTTCCTTCTTTTGACCCGGGAGATCTGGGCTTTTTTCCTGTCTATCACTAATTCTTTGATACCTTTCGTCTTTTCAGCGTTTGAGCAAGCGAGTCATGTGGCATGATGGAGTTGCTTTCGACTTGAATCATCTATTCGTGTGATTAAGCTTAGATGTCTGGTTACTGAATCTATACCGTTTAGCTAACTATGTCTCATTGACTTGACTAAATCATGGTCCTTCGAATGATACCTCTGCGTTCTGTACTCTGTTGCCTACTGTTTGGAATTTGAACCCGAGTCTCGGTGATTATACTGGAAGGTCATGATAGATCAATTCACAGGCTATACACTGAAGAGAGCTAAAAACAATGGCTCAGTACAAAAAGGTGGTGTAAACCTGAAATGAAGGTAAATATGAGTCCGGCTAGACTCGGCAACCGCCTGGATATCATGAGCCGTCGACGAGACGTTGCAGAACGACCAATATGCAGCACACTGAAACTTGGGGATTGAAGCTACAGCCTTCGATTACTCATTGTTGTGTTTTTTTCGGTTCAAAATAAGGTAGAAATGTTAGGGTCTGGACTGTCCTATCCTATCTGAGCAAGTCGGGCATGTGCAGGATATACTTCCGCTGGCATTGTAACGGGATAAACACCAGCTACAGACGATCACTTTCAACATCCTACCAAGCTCTCAGAACGCATTTCTTTTTCCGGATATATACCACAAATACCCTAGACAAGTTACTTCTCTAAATAAGATTCCAGCAAGAATGGCAGCTCGATAGTTCAGCCTTAATATACTACTGTAATGCTCGACCGGATCCGTCGTTGATGTCATGCGGCTGAGTCATCCGGACCCGGCGGCAAGCGCTTCCCCGAGGTCCCGGAAGCTAGTGCGAGTTTTGCGCTGGGGATTGCCGAGGGAGTTGAAGCTGGGCGTGCACCTCGAAACGTAGCGATATAGGAATAAAAAGTAGGACAATCGATAGAGTACTGTACAGATAATATCCCAGTCAAGCATTGACCTCCAATGCCTCCGCGTTGGTGGGTGGTGGCCGTTAGAAGTGTACACGTTTCCAGTTCCGCTGAGCCGGAAGCATCGAAAACCTGGAGAGACAGGGGGGAACTTCCGATGGATGTCCACCCCCAACATTGCAGGAAGCTTGGGAGATTGAGCTCTGCAAGAGGCGTTTCTCGTTTCTGGGGGTCTAGAAGCGTCGAATGCGACGGATTTTGAGTACGATTTACAGAGAGTAGCGAGTACAAGCGCCAGCACAGCGATCATGGGTCCAGAAGACAAAAGAGAGTCGTAGATAAGCTCAGCACGAAAATGACACAAGCTAGGGGGAGAGAGGATTTGGTGGTGATACACAGCCGGAGAGCGAGACTCTCAACACACAGAGTTTTGGTTTGGCTCGTTGGAAGTTGGGATGGGTGGGCCATATAAAGACTCTATATGTACATAAAGAAAAAGGTGTTGTAGATGACGCTGAAAAGTAGTACATGGTAATACATCACGACCAAATACCCTCCCCGGCAAAAAAAGGGAACAAAGGAAAAGAAGAAGTCGCAAAAAAAAGGTCTATAACGAGGTTTTTTCTTTTTCCCACTCTCTTTTCCCCTCTGGGTTCTCTTTGCATACCCTCTCCACAGTTTCTCATCTCGCTATACAAACCAGCGAGAAGGAAACCGGGAGCAAGTATTTTTGCCCTCCATATTTCAAACGCTTAGACGTACTTGCACATCATGGCAACCATGAGATCGAACAGACCCATGGCCTCGACGAAGGCGAAACCCAGAATGGCGTAGGAGAAGAGCTGGCCACGCAGAGCAGGGTTGCGGGAGACACTCATGAGGAGAGCGGCGAAGACGAGACCGATACCGATACCGGCACCACCGAGACCGATGGCAGCGGAACCCATACCCAGGTTCTTGGAGACCTCAACCATGGCGGTGGCGACCTCGGAGGAGTACTGACGGCGGGCAGCGGACTGGAAGGCCTGGCGGGCGTTGGCCTGGAGGAGGGTGGGCGAGGAGACGCGCTTGGGAGCAGCGAAGGTGGCCACGGGGGCCTTCTTCTGGGAGGTGAAGGTGCGCTTGGTGGCAGCGTTGAGCTGGAAGCGAGCAGCGGGGCGGGCGACCTTGGAGGTCTGGGCCATGGTGGAAGCCAGGCGCTGGGCGAAGACACGGGAGGCCATTGTGAAGAGTGAAGATTGGGAATATAGGAGGGTGGTTTGGTTTGGTTTGGGAGGGGAGAAAAGGAGGATAGGTTTGGAAATGGAACTTTTCAGGGAGGAAAAAGCTGGGAAACTATGGAAGACGGTCTGCCCAGGACATAAATACTCTCCGGGCAAATTTTCGCCGGTCCGCCCTCCCAGTCGAGGCTAGTGCGTTGGTTGGGTAAAAAAAATGGGAAAAAAAGGGAAAGCCCTATTCTGTGCGGGACGGGAGTATTTCACGAGCACCGTATGGTGTAGTACCAATAGTCTCGTAGTCTCATCCTCCCACTGGGTGTGTCGATGGAATGTTGGGGGGGGAACTTGGTCCTTGGGTTTGGACGTGGTTTTTCCGGTTATTTCATTTCTTACAGCAGGTATGATACGGAGGATATACAGAATCGACAGGAGATAAGATACACACTGGACCTGGGTGAAACTTGTTCGCTGGTCGGGTTCGTTCGGGTGCTTCATTGAGGAAGGGCGATTGGGAACTTGGTGGAGCTGTTCTCTTGCAATAATACACGATGGAGACAACCGACCCAAGAGAGCTCCATACGGATCCATAATCTCCCAGACCCAGTTTCAATTCCCCCTGCATGCTGTTTCTCGACTATCCATCCCATCTATCACATATACACCAGTCGAACTATCCATCTCGTCTCTGGAGTCCTGGGAAAGCCAACAATCCCTGGAAAACCCGAACTGTCATCAGCTCAAATCTTTTTTTTTTTCTCTCCTTCCCTGCGGTGGATCATCTTCTAATTAAGTGGGTCGATCCACCCGATCCATCGAAATACCCAACCAATCATAACCCTCAGCTGACCCACTCCGTTTCTGGATTTCTTCCCGGCGTCGCCCAATTCGGGCCGACTCGGATTCCAGGCCCACCAGGGCCAGTGTCACTGGGCAACCATCGGCTGGATGGCTGGTTCCGGTGGATTCTCGCTCACCCTGTTCCTCGGGACCGCCATCCTCACCGAGTCGTCTCTTTTGGAGCCACGTAATTTTGGTCCGGATCCGGCACCCGTCGCTTGTTCGCCAGGGCCAGTCCAGTTTCCACTGACCAGTTCAGAGACAGGAGAGAACACGGTCATCAATTCTACAGTCCGATTTCTCGCTGGGCCACGTTATACACCAGAAACTACGGGAGATACGCCTCCCGCATGAACCCGCAGGACCGGGGGGGGGAGGGATCTCGGGCGGCTTTTATACCTGTCGCAGGACCAAAGTCCACGACGTAGGTGGAAAGGAAAGACTGAACCCAAAAAGGTAAAAAAAGGTAAAAAACAAAAAGGGAAGAAAATTACGGCCTTCCCTCGCTTCCCTCGGCCTCCACCGAGTCTGAGAAAAAAAGAAATAGGATTCCCGACCCGCCAGAACCCGACTTTCACGCGCACCATCTGGCAAATCTGGGACCCCCTTCCACCCGGTTCACCCCAGCCCAGCAACCGCCGGCCCCAAACGGGGTCAATTCGATTCAGCGCGACGCGCTGAATCGTTTAACATCCATTTCGCACCCCCGGAGCAGCAGTGCTGGCCAGCGCATGCTGGCCAAAGTGAACAAACCGAAAAGGGGTCCGGAGGCTCTGCGATCATTCCGTGGGAAAATCTGCGCCGGCTGCAGGCGCGGCGGGATCGAAAGGAGCTTGGCGGGACCCACACAAGCTCGATTTTTTTTTTTGGCGGTGCAGGGATCTGCTGGCAGGGTTTTGCTGCCGGGACCGTTGGCGATCGGGGCTCCTTGCTGAGCCTCGTTGAGAGAGAGGGAGCTATGGTGAGGATGGGGGGAAGATGGAGACTTTTATATCTTGGGTTTTTTTGGGAGCAATTGAGGGTGGTAAATTATTATTATTCTTATTCTTATTATTATCTTGGTGGTGTATACTCCGTATACGGAGTACAGTATGGAGACTCCATTCTCTGATTCCTGTGTATGGAGTTGTGGATTATTACCATGAGACGGGGAGTGAAGCCATTCAGTTTCGTGGGATGTGGAAGGGGCTCCGCTCGGGTGTTTGCGGGTAAGCGGATTACACAATACGTACACAATACGAGGTCACGACTCATCGAGGCATCATCGACCCGCCGTGAGGTCATGCGAATGGACAGGACACACTCAGGACAGTTGGCATAAACCCAAAAACCCCAGCCAGAAAAAGAGAGAAAAAAAAGAAACCTGGTTCTTCATTCTGAATGGTGGACCGCTCATTCCAGTTCCCTGAGCTGTATTCGGGTATATCTGCTCGCTGCTATACAACTGATATGGCAACTCCCAGGTCAGACGACTCCCAGGACCAGCACTCCCCAGCACTCCGACTCCGGAGCTCGGCTTCACCTGTCTCAAGGAGGTATTAGGGAATCCACTGGATGGGGCAGTTGTGGACCAGTGGAACCTGTATACATACGTAGTCCACATACACATAGTCCACTCTGAACAGTACGGGATGTATCGACTCCGTTCTCAGGTACGAGAAACGGGAAACTCCAGAATTACGCGCTTGTCCCGAACGCCCGTGATTCTGGAAAGATTTCAGCTGGATAGATTTCAGCATTTGGTGCGGTATCTGCAATGAATTGGCTGTTCTATACACTCTCACGGTACTTACTAAGAAAGGCTGCTTGGCTGCCGCATGGGTTGGATGATTATTACTAGCCACGCCTTGAAGAATGGACGTTCCGATCCCGTAGGCCAATCATCGTCAATCGGGCTTCCACGAGGGCACCGCAGATCGAAGGAATGTCGGGAATGTGAACTCGAGTACTCCGTACATACTGTAATGTATGCTCTGCAGGATAGATCTCCCGTGATCCTGTCTGTTGGTCGAGCCGAGGGATAGATATAAACATGCCTCGAGTCAGTAGTCCATACAGTACAGTATGTACATCACTATCTGCAGGAACCAAGTAGATCGTGCATCCTGCACGCCAGGGTCCATGCACTAGCGAAAGATCAATGTCTTGGCCTGTCCTCCGTCCTCCGTACCCCGTTTACAGGCGCAGAACTGATACACCTATCTCCGTCCTCTTGTCTCTCGCATTCTCCATACTCCATGGTATTACTGAATGAACCTGATCGGGTCCAACTTCCTGGACCAGGACCCATCCGTGCCACACTGACCTGGGGCAATTGCCCTGCCGTGCCCTACCCCCAAAGCCACAACGGGGTTATTGTCTCTCCGGCCGCCCAGCCCAAGTAAGTTAGTAACCGATTTCGTTTAGCACCACTGCAAGAAGGGCCACTTTCTGGCTGGATTCTGGAGAATGGAGAATGGGATGAGATTTCCCCAGATCTTGTTCGTGATGAGAGATCCACCTCCGGTTTTTGCTAGACTGAATGGGTGTAGCGCGCTTTGAAGCATTTTGCCCTGGAGATTTGGGGTGATTGCTTGCCATTGGGGTTTACGCGCGAGTTGGCCAATAGATGTAGGTAGCTGTAGTCATTTTCTGTAAATGCTCTGTGTTTCCGGGACTATTTTCGGGCTTGTTCCTGGATTTGGGGACATGCCGTTTCTAGCCAACTCGAATAACAGTGCAGAATTCTTCGAACTTCCCGGGAATGTGCCCTGATAGAAGAGCGTCTAGCCTATATGAACGGACTTTGCACAATTCAGACGAGGGCTACATGAACCGTTACTCTTGTGGAATATGCTAGATTCAATCGCGGACTTTTTCATGGAGGCCCAATGGCCACGTAAAGCCTGACGCTTCCTTATTTACTCATCCACCAAAGACATTTGGTAAATATGATGGAGAGCTTTATGATGCTTATTAAATTCCACACTCATATCAAGAGTTTGCAATGGTAAATCATAAGATGTCTAAGCATAGTAACATTATCTATACAGGGGATTGCTGTGATTGGGAATATGAGAACGATGCGTTGGCCGTATAGTAGTACGCATGGCACTAAAAGAAGAGCTATAAGATACATACGCCTGTTTCAGGGAATTTTAACGTACCAGAGAGTCTGGTCTATGATCCAAATTACATCCCATCTCTTTGGGATGAATGTTTTGTCCACTGTCCCGATCTTGACCTGATGCCCATGACATCCCGTTGAACTTTCTCTTCCCAAACCATTACTTTCCTCCTCCCTTGAGATTCCAAGAAACTGCAACAAATCTATTCTCCGTCCCTCCCTGTCTTATAATCGACCACCTTCGATGTAACGCCCACAATACCACGGCAGCTTTCTTGCTTCGAGACACCTGAACAGTCGGCAAGATACCACGTCAATCCTCTCTCTGGAGGAATCTTACTCACACTCCACCAGTCCTGAATCGATGGCCGAGACATCACCGCGACTTATATCTCTACGATACATTCCTCTCTCCTCACACCACCCAGGAAAGTCTGCAACACAAAAACACAACTCTCTCTATCTTATACCTTACCAACCTCGGTTGGAAGGCCACAGCGCCGCATCCACTTATTCTTCTCCAGGAGGCTTCTTCCTACTCTCCTCCAGTCCCCCTCCGAAGTCTACAACATCAACTGAACTGGTCACTCCGTGGAGGAGCTCCTTCTTTTTCTGACTCATTTTGAGTACCAGACCGGAATTTTCCTTCTCTCTTCCACCCCCAGTTTCGTCTCTACGAATTCATCTTCCTCCGGAAGATCTTTCCCTTTCTCCTTCCCCCTCCTCCCTTTGAAAGCTACGACCGAACGATTCCTTCTCACGCTCCTCTATACACGAATCGACGACCTGACAGCCACAATGCCCAAGAATACCAGCACTCCCAACCCCAAGGGGGCCACCGAGCTGCCAAAAGCACTCGGATACGAGCTGAAAGAGATCCAAGAGATGCACGAGAGAATGAATTTCAGCATCTCTCAAATGATTCGCACCGCGGGAGCCATGACACTGGGTGAACTACATGAATATTGCCGGATCGCAGAAATTGTGAATCACAGAGCGGCCGTTCTCCGGAACCAGCTGGAGAGCATTGACCGGATCCGCCTCAACGAGATCTGCAAGAAGCTCTGGGACGTTGAGTGGTCCGCAAAGCGGCTGTCCGGTATATATTGGACACACGCAACTCTCTTCAGTGGCTGGATGGAAGAACTTCGCAAGCAGTCGTCTCAAGAGGCCTCCCACCTCCAATCCCTCCTCCACGACCCCATTTTCGAGCCCCTGCGCGTGAACGGTGTCGGAGTGGTATATCAAAATGACCCGGATATTTCGCCATATACTCCCGATAATTTTCGGCAGATGGCTGATCGGAGTTGTCTTCAGACTGATGCCGTCGAACTCCCCCGCGCTCCCCAGATGCCCTCCCCATATGCGACATGTCCCGCACCGCTGCTTGGAGATGGGCTGGTAACATATCACCGTCAGCCCACAGCCTCGAAACTGAGAAATCCACCACAAACACCAACCATTAATCCTGCTCTGTTGCAGTTGAGGGGTCCCACCAGCATCATGAATTGAACCTCAACGCAGAGCATCGAGTGAATTCCAGCGAGAACCTCCCCGAAAACCACCGACTTTGCAGCACAATGGACGACATGAATTCACGCAACGAACCACTTATGAATACAGGAGGCTGAATCTATGCGAACATCGCATTTTATACGCATGGAGGGACATTTTGCATTTGAATTTTGTTTTGCATCTACATTGAACCGGCAGGGCCGCTATTTGCTTTCGTGGATGAATCGCAAACAAAATCGATTTAATTATTAATCCCATATCCACCTGTTTCATGATGCATAATTTCTAATAAGTTAAAAGCCGAGGAAAAAGTCCCCTAAAAGAGTCCAAAAATACGAGGATGGTTCATCGACATCAGGGTCGATCCATTGACAGCGGATCATGACATCGGAATTTTTGCATCGTAAGTAACATTGCTGCCTTTTAGAACGATTCCGTCATGATATAATCAAAAGCTCATGCACCATAGACTATTGATGGAAATTCCCCTTCGGCAGGTTCCTTGTTTGTTTAGGCCCAGCGCCGTCTGTCCTTCGGCCTATAAGAGGCCTCTGCTTTCCCCTTTGCCTTCTGCTCCCTTGGAGATCTCTAAATTGACCGATCGACTCTTTTTCCCCCTATGTTTCTTCCTTACTGCCTCCTGTGCGTATGCATATATGATGCCATGTACTAGCCCGTCCTGTTGAGGTAGTGCTCAACAGATGCAGGGGCAAGTTTGCATTAGCAGGACTGTCTAACTAGGGAAGGCCATTTCCTAATAGAGTTAGCGCAGCCCTTAGCGTGGCGCTACTACGACATACAAGAACGCTGATTGACCCGCGGCATCTATACGGATCATTTCGTTTCACTGGCACTATTCAATCCAAATTCATATACTCACTAATTCGTCTACAGTGAGATTTTCCTGCAATCTCAATCATTGAGAATGATGTCTCTTAAGCTTTTAAATATATTGATACCCCCCTTAGTATGCACTACTCGCAACACCGAGCAACCGATCCCTTGACAAAAAGGAGGAGGACGGCAAGTAAGAGATCGAGGTGGTCGAGCAAAGCACATTGAGCTACGCCGCACCAAAGACAGACATCGATAAGACTGAACTCTAGTTGAAAAAGGACCACATTTATGACTGGATCACAGAGCCCGAGTTTTTGTCAATGCTCCAGAATGACAACGTCCCCACGTTGGATCAACTCCCAGAGACATGCGCTATTCGAGACCGGGAAAACTTCATAGCAATGTGGTATGCGGTTGCTCTCATGAAATGCAATCCCAACCACTATCCAGCAGCAAAGGCACAGCTCAAAGAGGAGAACCCAAAAATCGACCCATATGGCGCTGTGTATGCAGTCGCATTTCTTTTGTTGTTCCACAAGCACGCGACACGGACTAGCGAGAGCGAGTCCAGCAAGAGCTTTGCATCAAGGGCGCCAATTGCGCCGAAATATGGCCCATCAGGATCCCATCACAGACAGATTTAGTGCTCACCAAACTTATGGCCACTGCTAAGAACGCTGTCTTTTTCCGCGAGCATAGTGAGGAGGGAATGCGCGATGAGCGGATCTCGAAATTTGGGGATCGGAAGCCTGGATGCAGGACACCCAAAATCTGAGGAAGGTATCCGCAGCATTCTGGCCATTGCAGGAGGCTTGCGATTTTGCTGGATTCCTAGACAATCAGAAATAACAAGTGCAGGTATTCTGAGAAAGCAGAATTTTATTAATGAAGACCAGAGCTATGTTACAAATCTTCTGGAGGGGACTCGATGCTTCGTTCGTCCCAAAGTGGCTCTGGCGGATCTTTTATGGAGACTCATCTTCTGCAGGACTACACCCGCAATGCTACTGGATGCTGGGGAAGTAACCTGGTGGAAAATGAGAATAGCATTTATCGAGCGAATTCTCGTTGGTGATGTCTCGATCAGCAAGGCCAGAAGCGACCGACATGCAGTAACGGTATCTAAGTAGTTGACGCCTTTAGATCCAACTCCCAAGATTCGCCCACAAGGTTGATTCCAAATGTCTCGTGCTCCTCCTCCTGCACACATCGATACCCTTCGGATGTATACAGTCGACGCGCAGGTGTCAACACTTGATTCGTCCACAACACTATTCTTTCGTAACCGACCTCCTCGGCGAATGTCCTGCATTGACGAACAAGGGCTCGAGCAACTCCGAGGCCACGCGCACTCGGCTCAACCAGTAAGAGGCGAAGTTTGGCGGTATTTGGGCTTGATCGGTCTTTGACGAGCATGATGCAGCCGAGCGGGTTGCCATCTTTCTCTGCAATCCAACAACGCTCTGATTGCGCGTCGTATTGGTTGATAAATTCTGCAGCGATGCTGGCCACAAGGGCCTCGAATTGTACGCCCCAGCCGTATTCTTGATCATAAAGGACGCCGTGCCTGTGAATGATCCATCCTATATCGCCGGGTCGGTGGGTACGGAGGACGAACTCGCGACCGGAGGTTTGATCGGCAGGACTCATGGTACTGTCCGATCGCAAAGATAATAATTGCTTTAAAAGAGAAAAGACTCCATTCGCTGCTGAATCATTTTCTAGCTAACAAGACTTGTTTCAGAGGGCCGTGAAAATAATAATAAGATCCTGCAATTTCTTCCAGATCTTTCCATCTTCCATGTCAACCGAAGGGCGCGAGCTTGATTGGGCTGCGTTGGGAAAAGAACTCCGGAGAGCCGAAGCCGAGCAACAAATCAGATCAAACGGGAAAACAAATCTTAAGTTATCGACACATCGACTTGAACTACCGTGAAGCAATTTTTTGTCGCAATCGCATAGCAAACCAGGCATATAAACTTGATCACCCACGAAACATTCTCCTCCAACTAGCCTCTGGTCGCCCAAAGATGGCCGAAAGGTCCTCGGCAGGACCATCATCCCTACGATACCGATAATAGCGTAATTCACCCACTTTAAGATGTTCGCTATAAAAATATCTGCTCATGATTCTTATGAATGGGTTGATTTGAATGGCCTTCGACTTTGGCCTTGACTGGAAGCCAAGCCTCTGCTGAATGGCGCTGGAGTTTGATATAACCTTGTTCCAGGTTTTGCATACCCGTTGGCAACGCACTAAGATGGTACGTGCGTCGATCTGAATAATGATTTCTTCTAGGATCTCCAAAGGCAAGCGATTGACCAACCCGGTGCGCACGCTCTTGTTCTTTTGACGTAACTGATGCGCCTTGCGAGACTTCTCGGGTGTATGTTTGCGCGACGTAACTGGCGGCGAGACGAATGGCTTCCAATGTTGCCAGCTTCGTAAAGTGCGACGTCGAGCCGAACTCTGACCACGAGTTGTAGAGACCATCATTTGGATCCTTGTGGAGTAAGCTTGTCGTTTGTCTGATCGTGGTCTAGTGCTGAGCCTCAACGCTGTGACGAACACACCGAGGGGATATGATAGCCTGGATGCAGAAATCTGACTTGAAAGGCAAAGTACTGAAGGAGGAAGAAACCCGAAGAGAGAATGGGGAAATCGAAATGCCCGTCTCCGATCTCTGTTTAAATATCGGTGGAAGGGGGAAGGCGGCTTCAAACTATACGGAGCTCGGACCATGGGTTCGATTAGGCAAAACAGCCACAACCATGGAAGAGCCGAAGCTGCCTAACCCGACGTTGAGCTTCCCATTGAGTCTAGACTAGATTGGACTGAAGATACCAATAGTATTTGACTCATTTCCACCGAAGGAATAGATGATTCAGGAAGAACATGTGTCTATTATATTGCCCACTAGTTTCTCTGTCCACATGTATCTAGTTAAATCTATACTTCTCCTCTCGGTCCTGTATATTGCGTTAGCATTTATTGCGTTTCGAGCAAAGTAACCGTTGGGACATTTGCGAATACATACCCAATACTTGTTGAAGCCAACACCTTCACACACCTCGTCGTAGGTAAGAATCATGGGTGGCGCTCCCACGGTCATGCTTCTCTTCAATCCGTCCAAAGCCTCCCGGACGCTCTTCAGATGAGCAGCAACCAATGTCCACGGGTATGCCACGGCGCTGTACCCGAGCTCAGCAAGCTCTTTGGCTGAAAGGTTCTCCGTCTTGCCTCCTTCGATAATATTCGCGAAAATGGGGCAGCTGATCTCATCGGCGCAACGCTTCATCGCCTCTCGATCAGGTAGAGCCTCAATGAAGATGGCATCTACGCCGATACGCATGAATTCCTTAACCCGAGTCATAACTTCCTCCCAGCCGTACATCAGAGCATCAGTCCGAGCAAGGATGAAAATGTCTCTTCCTTCATTGCGAGCGTCGACGGCAGCCTGAATACGGGCAAATGCCTCTTCGCGAGAAACGACGTCCTTTCCCTTGGTGTGCCCACAGCCTGTCAAAGTCAGTTATAACTTCTTTATATGACGCAACACGGGACTGTAAGAGTTGTATCTTACGCTTTGGCCAGCGTTGATCCTCAATCATTACACCAGCTGCACCCGCGGCTGCGAAACTCTCAACAGTTCGCTTCACGTTCATCGGACTTCCGTATCCAGTATCTCCATCTGCCATGATAGGAACCGACACTTGACGAACCGTTTCCTGAATCTTGTCACACATCTCTGCCATGGCAATGTATCCAGTGTCAGGAAGACCGTAGGAGCTAGCCACGGCATAACCTGCAAGGAAGACCATAGGAAAACCGGCTTCCTCCACAAGGCGAGAGGACAGGCCATCGTACGTGCAGGCGTGGGCCAGGATCTTAGTGGGATCATTGCGAGCTTCCAGCATCATTATACGGAGACGCGCTGCCTGGAGAGAAGGGATCTTTCCGCGTACATTCTTGATATTGATATTGACATTGGTGGTGGTTCCATCCTGAGGCCCACTGGTGGCAGCGGAGTCGAAGTGGAAAGGGTAGGGAACGGTGTTTGCCGACATTTCGATGGATGCTCAGAATAAATGATCAGTTGAAGCTGATTCTCCTGACTATTGAAACAATATCTGGCTTTTTATATTAGGAAAATGCATGCGATATCGGCCTCAAGTCATCTACACTTGACCAGAACTACGAATCTCCGCCCACGGGTATTCGATCGCGGATAATTGGCAACAGCCGACGCGGAAATTTCCTTCGCGCCATCCCCAAGGCCCAAGGTCTGAGCGAGAAGCTAGTGAATCCTCATAACCTATCAACACCCTGATATCCAAACGAAGGTCAAAATCGACGATGCGCAGCTGCGGGGATGTCGGCAGTTGTAGCGCCCACGAAGAACCTTGATACCCCACGGGGCCCCGGCTTTACTAGGGCCAAGGGCGGATGAGTGTGCTCTAGCCCGATGGAAACTCTATTCAAGAAATTATTTGAAGCGACATAATTCCCCCTTTCGATCTATGTGAACTTTGAGGAGTCATTGTTGACTGACCCAGCACCTTTTTCTACACAAATTTGACCCAATTCTGAGTAGGCCGCCATGTCAAAATCTACGGACGTGGAGCAGTTCGCTAGTAGTCATCACATCGAGGGTGATACTGCCGCAAAACCAGAGCTTCAAGTCAATGTCCCCGAGGCACGACAATCCTTTATTCGAAAGAAGGTATGCTTTTGAAACCCTTGAATGAGATATCGTTTGGATGATAACCACTCTCAGTTTGACCGGAGGGTCCTGCCAATTGTCTGCATACTCTACGTTTTGTCTTATCTGGATAGAAGTAAGTGTGACAAGCCGACAACAACACTTGTCACTGACATTTATCACAGGCAACATTGGCAATGCAAAAACGGCCGGTCTCGAGAAAGACCTCCACTTGAGCAATTACCAATGGTCATGGGTCTTGTACTCATTTTACATTTGCTACATTGCTTTCGAATGGACCACAGTCCTTTGGAAAATCTTGCCTGCGCACATTTACGTCGCCATACTGTGTATCTGGTAAGTGCAAAGAGCCCCAATATGCGAGTATGGTAAATTGATGAGCCACGGGATGTAGCTGGGGGCAGCTGCCATGTGTACCGGTGCTGTCAGCAATTTCTCGCAGCTTCTTGTTTGTAGATGTCTACTTGGCATCTTTGAAGCCATATTCGGCAGTGGAGCACCTTACTTTCTCTCTCTGTTTTACCAGAGGAATGAGCTTGGCTTTAGAGTTTCTTTGCTTCTAGGAATGTCTCCTGTTGCGAATTGCTTTGCCTCCGCCCTTGCGTACGGTATCACTCAGATTAAGGGGTCACTTGAACCATGGCGATACCTTTTCATCATAGGCAAGTATTCCTCCTCTAATTGCGCTCGTTTTAGTTCTGATTGATCTCAGAGGGTGTGCCAACGGTTTTGTTTGCTCTCGTGGTCTTCCTCTTTCTTCTAAAAATTCCTGGGTGAGACCGAGCAGACCGAGGCCGTGGAGCGTCTCCAAACGATTGATCGGACGGCAAAAAACAAACTCCAATGGAAACAAGTGACCAGTGGTCTGAAGGACTACAAGAACTATGTCCACATGACTATTCATTTTTGTTGCAATTTCTCCTTCTCAGCTTTATCCAACTTCCTACCAACAATCATTCAGACGATGGGCTACACTTCGGTCAACGCTCAGGGCCTGTCAGCACCTCCTTATTTTGCTTCATTCCTCTGTTGTATTGTTGCCGCGGTAGTATCTGATCGCTGGGGTAATCGTGGCCATGTGGTCACATTCTTCGCCATCTTAGGCACAATTGGATACCTCATACTGACTTGTGTTACGGATGGATCAAAGACTGGGGCGCGGTATACGGGAATCTGGCTTGCAACCTGTGGGATCTTCCCGGCATTGTCGATCAACATCGTATGGCTGTTGAACAACCAGGGAGGCGAAAGCAAGAAAGGTGCAGGAATGGCCATGCTCGCTATTTTTGGACAATGCTCGAGTTTGATCAGCAGCTCGGTTTTTCCGAACAAGGACGCGCCATTCTATACGACAGGATGTGCTCTTGGTTGTGTCTTTACTGGTTTGATTGCTATCCTCGCCATGGGTCTTCATATATCGTTGACTCTGGAGAACCGCAAACGAGACCGATTGTACGGACAAGTCAGTGAACGTCACAGGGTTGATGTCACAGAAGGCGGGGACCAGAACCCTGCTTTCCGTTACTTGACCTGAAGTCTGGGGAGTCTTGATAATGGATAGCACTGGCTAAGAGGAGAGGGAAATTATATTTGAATGCCCGTGTCTGGTAATTTGAAATATAAATGCACCAATCCCAATCATTGCCCTATCTCTATCGTCTCTGGAGTAGAACCAACTTATTGGCATTTAACTTCGGATACCCTCCTCCAAGCGTAGGACAGATATCAAGACGCACTCTGAGACATCTCTATTACCTTAATTTCTGTAAGGCCCGGAAAATCAAGACAGAGAGACCCAACCCTAATTCGATTGCTGGTCCTCCTCAATCGCGGTAAGTATCAGGTAACATAAGATCATCTCTGGATCGCCATGTATCTTCATGCGGGAATTGATTGCAGCATGCTTTGTCGCCGGACGAATATAATAGTATAGAGACCCTTCCCAGCCAGGGCCTCATAATCAAATCCCATTGTCACTGCTGCGATTGACGAATGACTAATGACTGACCTGACTGCTCTCGGAACGAAGCCGACCGCGGATATTTCCATAAAACCCGCACCCCGCTTCCAAATACCCGCGATCTTCTCACTCACATCCTCGTCAACCCGATATGACGGAGAACAAAAGGCCCCCTCGAAGTCGAGAGCCACGTGAGCATGAGTTCCAGAGGGTTTACAAAGCATGCATCCCTTGTGCACGTCGGAAGGTGAAATGTCGGCTGGAGGATGGCAACAAGTGTGCGAGATGCAGCAAACAACGGCTCGAATGCGTCTTCTCAACGAAGAAACCTTGGTCACGGGAATCAAAGAGTGCTAATACACGCCAGAATGAAACTACTGGTGTTGAAGAGAGCAATCGAGAAAGGTTTGCTCCATATCCATTGTCTTCCTGATTATCTGCTCACCAAGTCAAGCAGGCCACAACAACGCGGATCTCAACAAGCCGAGACCAAACAAGCTGGACTGCCCACATCGATGCTGCAGAAAGTCGTTTCAAACAACAGTGATGCTATGAATATTCTCTATGAAGCAGCACTTCTCGAAGAAGAAGACCGTGGGATGGAGGGAATGCCAGCCGCCGATTCGTCGTTGTGCCTGCCTCGAAGCTTAAATGAGACGGACGCACTTCGCATCTGGAATGCTTGTCGTTTTGTCAAAATGGGCTGGTTCTCATCATATGAGGCCATCACACTGGTCGACCAGTTAGTGTTCCAATATATTGGATTGAGCTTGATTCTAACGGGGATAGATTTTTCGCGAACTTGAGCCCACTTTCTCCCGTGCTCACGGACTTTTTCGCCTCACATAAAAATCAATTCTACTTGGTGACGCAAGAGCCAATGCTATGTTGTACCATACTCATGATATCCTCACGGCATCATATTCTGCCTGGAGTTGGCGGCCGGTCCCGGGCATTCTTCATTCATCAGCGCATGTGGCAGCATTGTCAACACCTACTGATGCGACTGACTCTCGGCCAAGAGAAGATATCCAAAGCAAAAACTCGAAACATTGGAAGTATTGAAGCACTGCTATTGATGTCTGAGTGGTTCCCACGACACCTACAATTTCCTCCTGAGACGGATGGCTGGGACTCGGACTTTATTATGACGAATTTGGATGCACGCGATCCTCCCTTGCCAGTCGAAGAGATACCAGTCTCTGATACATGGAAGCAAGATGTCGTTGAACCAACTAAACGCTTTGAACACATGTCGTGGATGGTCTTAAGTCTTGCTTTGGCGCTTGCCCATGAACTTGGCGCCTTTAGCCCCAATGCTCGGGTGTTGAAACCTGGCGACCTGGTCGGTCTTGATGCTGAGATGTACCTTCAACATCTTGAGCTGCGGAGGCAACGTCTTCCAGGTCTTCTTTTTGTGTTTATCAACGCATTGTCATCTAGACTCGGATGCACATCACCGATGCCTTCGGATGTTGGTCTCATGATGCCTGATCCGGACCTGCTTCGACTGGACACAAGGGGTAGCGAGTGGCTGTCGTTCATGAAGTCGTGGAGAGAATTGAGTAAGCTGACATCATCAATCATGGAGACGCTCTTTCCATTGATGAGTACATCTCTTGCGACTGGATCCGCGGATGCATTTTTCTCTATCCTGGAGCAAAAGCAGACCTTATTGGCAAATTGGCGCCAAAGGAACATGCGTATCGCCGGTATGAAACCCCTTCGTTAATTCTTCTGAATCTGAACGCTACTAATCTACAAAGCTCCCGGGTCATCTTTTACCGACATACTGTTTATTGAACATCAACATCTTCGAGTGCTCATCAACTCGATAGGAATGCAAGTCGTTGTGCAGCGAGTCTTGGCAAAAACCACCTATGGCGAGTCAACAATTGATCACTCATTCATAGAAAGAGCACGGCAGCTGAACATGACTGCTCGGGAGTATGGCTTCATCGAGGAAGTCATCGATGGCTGCTGCCAGACACTCGAGACGGTTGCTGCTCTCGGTACTGCAGGCTCCCTATACTTCTCTCCGATGAGATTTCTCTTTAGAACGATCAGTTCATCGATATTCTTGATGAAAGCTCTTGCGTTGGGCGTGCGGAACAGTAAATTGCAAGAGGCCTTGCAAATCCTTGACCGAGCTATAGAATCCCTGCAAGACAACAAAGAGGATGACAACCATATGAAACTACGATATGCTACCCTGCTGAATACGCAGGCCGCTCGTCTACGGAGAAGTTTGATGTCCTCAACTTCAATGATAGAAGCTTCCGGTGTCGAATCCGGGCTACTGCAAAGGCCTTTACCGACGCTGGACTTATATCCGTCCATGAATCAGGCTCTTAACAATGACCATGAGGGTTTGTCGAATCTGTCGGGGTTTGATCCAGAAGGGCCCCTTGACTTTGATGTCAATGACTGGCTATCTTTACCCTTTGAGCCGTCGATGGTACCATTTGGACCAAACGAAGGGGATAGCTGGGCTAGGCTGGATGGAGTTGATTTAGATCTAGAGTTCCTTTGGCAATTACCCGCATAGTGAGATCCAAAAGTCTTGAAAGACGGATGTCCATACATTTTTGAGGTTGACTACCTTGTATTGGCTACTGCCAGTACCTCAATGGACCCTGACGTCCAGGGATGATCACAAAGACCTCGTATTATTCTTCGCCATATATGCTCGTTGACGTCTATGTAGAAAAGGAATAGAAGGGCACCACACAGTAGCTTAGGTATCACCGTGCGAAATTCCTTTCTTCGGCCATTCACCAGTTATCTTTTACGTAGAGCACCACCGTATAAGTATGGATAGCTCTTTTGCCGATATTTTCCATTACAGGTTCTGGAAGCATAGAGAAACCAGGTCCAAGGTTACTGCACTATTTCAACTGATCATATCCGTTCATTAGGTTCATAATAAGAGGCCTCATTAGATACACACTGGCGACTAGCCATCTCGAAGACTTGATCTATTTCGAGCATCGACCTTGTCCACCAACATGAGAGACAAAAGAAATTCATAATAAAAAGACACAACGCAGAAAACACAAACACAACACAATCCGAGAGAAACGAAAAGGAAAATCGTAAACAATACAGGGGAATAAATAGTGGAGATAAAATCGAAACACCGACAACTTTTTGTCAAAGTAACGCGATCAATCATTCTCGAATGTGATGACAGCGAGCATCATCCAGGAGACTCTCAAAAAATGAGGTCACGCAACAATAGGATTGCAAAAAGAGGCACCGCAGCAATGGCAATCCAGAACAGGGTCCTGATCAAAGCAATGTTAGTAGATTGCATCATGATGGAGAGATCACGCTAAGGAAACCCCGGATAGCATCTCCTTCAAGGTGCAGAATCAAAATAACGAGGGCAAGTATATGGATTGATAAAGGCTCTCGTCAAGCACAGCCTTATTTTGCAGACTTGCGGCGGCGGCGGAAGGGGGAGAAGATAGTGCCAAAGAAGCCCACAAAGACAGTGCGCAGGAACGCCTTGAGCCAGTTGTCTGACGCACTATTTAGAGAAACAGCTGTCACTGACCGGTTCTGGCTCACGGGACGAGCGTCTTCCTCATTCGCATTGCTAGTCGTAGCATTCTCGGGGCTGAGCTGGCCAGAGGTCTTCTGGCTAGACTCAGGGGTAGGCTCGACTTCGTTCTCAACACGAGCTTGCTTGTCGCCGTTTGTGGTGGTGGCCGGCTCGGTAATGGCAGCGGTCAACTGGTCGGTGGATGGCTGGTTGAGCTTCTGGAGAAGGGCTTCACGATCGCCTGCGAGGGCTGTAAGAACCGGATCAGCTTCGAAAGACGGCATAGACACATTGTGTGAGATGGAAAATGGCCTCGGCTTACAGTCTTCGGTTTGCTGTTCTGCGGCAGGGGCTTTGGTTTCGGTCTTGTCGTCGGAAGAGGTGCCGTTGATGGCGGGAACGATCGAGTCACTAGGCTCGGTCTTGGGCTCCTTATGCAGTGCAGAAGACACGCCGACTGCAGCAACACTGATGGCGGCAGCAGCCGCTCCGGCACCGAGAATTTCTGGTGTCAGGATGTTATCCTTGGCAGCTTCTTCAGACTTCTCTTCTTGGGGAGCAGGGGTCTCTGCCACTGACTCCTCAGTCTGAATAGGAGCAGAAGGAACCTCTTCGGTTGCGACATGCTGCTCAGAAGCCTCCTCCAGCTTGTTCTCCGGCTCGGGTTCCTTTGCGCTTTCCTCGGCCACAGCAGCTTCTTCCTTGGCTGTCAGAGTCTCCCCGACGGGGACAGGCTCCTCAATTTGAGCAACAGTCTCAGTCTCCGCCACAACGGGGGTGGGCACAGGCTCGACAGATTCAGCCTGAGCAGACTCGACCGGAGCAGCATCTTCCACAGCGGAGACAGGTTCCTCCTTGGTAGTCTCCTGGACAGACTCCTCCACACTGGGCTCAGGAGAAGCCTCAGCAGCCTCAGTTGTAGCAGGAACCTCGGGCTCAGTAACCGGCTCAGCCGACTCTCCAGAAGTGATATCCTCTGTCACAAGAGCATCAACAGGAGTAGCCGTAGTAGTAGGCTCCTCTCCAGCAGCAACGGGCTCTTCAGCAGCGATTGTAGAGAGACTCCTCAGTCGTAGCCGGCGCAGGAGTAGCCTCCTCAACAGCAACAAGAGTCTGCTCATCGATAAGGTCCTCAGCTGCGGGAGCTTCAGGCGTGACCTCAATCACTGCAGGCTGTTCGACACCAACTGACTCGGCAGCAACAGGCACGGCCTCCACTTCCTTCTCTTGGGCTGGTTCCTCGTGGACCTCATCCTTAGCAGCATGGGTCTCAGCGGGCGTGTCATCCTTCACTTCGACAGCCTTGTCCTCAAGAGAAGGCTCCTGAGCAGGAATTGCCTCGGGAGATTCCTCATTAGGTGCTTCTTCGATAGTCTGGGCAACAGGCTCTTCGACGACAGGCTCTTCGACGGCAGGCTCTTCGACGGCAGGCTCTTCGACGGCAGGCTCTTCGATAACAGGCTCTTCGACGGCAGGCTCTTCGACGGCAGGCTCTTCGACGGCAGGCTCTTCGACAACAGGCTCTTCGACGGCAGGCTCTTCGACAACAGGCTCTTCGACAACAGGCTCTTCGACAACAGGCTCGGCCACCTTCTCTTCGACAGTAGGTTCGGAACCCTTATCCTCGACGGGCTCAGCCGCCTCCTCCTCCACAGGCTGAGAAATCGGTTCCTCGACGGCGGGCTCAGCGACCTTCTTTTCAACAGGCTCTAGAACCTCCTCCGTAGATTCAATAGGAGCAGGAATCTCAGTCTCAACGACAGACTCCTCAGCAGCCTTAGTCTCCTCCTCGGCGGGAGCAGAATCCACGATAGCAGGCTCGCTAGCAGCAGGAACCTCAGCAACAGCGGGAGTCTCGACTACAGGCTCAGCCTGAGTAGCAGGCTCCTCGACCTTCTGATCCTCAACAATAGGGGCTTCCGGCTCCTGAGCAGGGACCTCCTCGGTAGCAACAGTTTCGGGACATACAGGCTCGGGAGCAGCAGTCTCAACTTCGGCCACCTTTTCCTCAGTAGGCTCCGGGACGGTCTCCTTCACTGGCTCCTCCACAGACTTCTCAGCAGTCTCGGGAATAACCTCCTTAGCAGGCTCATCAGCGGGAGTCTCATCGACGGCGGCAGGTTCAGCAATGGGCTCAGCAATGGGTTCAGCGGCGATAGCAGGGACAATCTCCACGGTGGGCTTCTCAGTAGCTTCGTCGATAGTGAGGTCCTTGGCGGATTCTTCGGTCACCTGCTCGACCTTGGCCTCCTCAGCGGGAGCGGGAGTATCTTCGGCCTTGGGGGCGTCAGTAGCTTCCTCGGTGGTGGTTGTCTCGACCGGCTCAGCGATGGCAGCCTCTTCAGCAGCCGTAGGCTCCGTGATCTCGGCGGTTGGTGCAGGAGTTTCCTCAGTCTTGGAAGTAAGCTCTTCGGTGGCGGCAGGCTCAGTAGCTGAGGGCTCAACGGCTGGCTCCTCAATCTTGGATTCCTCCTTGGACTCCTCGACAGGGGCAGCCTGCTCGGTGACGGGTTCTTCAGCCACGGGCTGCTCAGGAGCAACTGTCTCAGCGATAGGAGGTTCCTCAACCTTCTTCTCGGCGGAGGGAGCTTCAGTGGACTCCTTGGCGACTTCGGGGAGAGCCTCGGCGACTGGCTCCTGGACTTCGGGTGTCACTGCGGCAGCGGTTTCGATGGTGGTAGAATCCTCTACCTTCTCTGCCTCCTCCACGACGAGGGTCTCGGTGGGCTTCTGAGTGACTTCAGCGGCTTCAGGGACCTTTTCTTCGAAAGTTTCTGTGGTGACAGGTTCCTTGGCAGCCGGCTCTTCAGCGGTAGCCTCGGTAGTTAAAGGCTCTTCGGTCTTCTCCTCGGCAGAAGGGATTTCAGTAGATTCCTTTGGAGCGTACTCGTTGATAGCCTCTTCAGCAACAGGCTGCTCAACGGTGGTCTCGGCAGGGGTAGGCTCTTCGACCTTTGCTGTTTCCACCGTCTCCTCAGCAGCGGGAGTCTCGGTTGTAGTAGCCTCCTCAACCTTCTCCTCCGCGGCAGGGGCTTCAACAGACTCCTTAGCAGCCTCTGAAGTCTCCTCGGGGGTAGTATCTTCCGCAACGACGGCGGCCTCAACCGAGGTAGGCTCTTCAACCTTCTCTTCGGTCACAGGGATCTCAGTGGACTCCTTGGGAGCTTCCTCGCTGATAGTCTCTTCAGCAACAGGCTGCTCAACGGCGGTCTCGGCAGGATTTGGCTCTTCGACCTTTGTTGTTTCAATCTTTTCCTCGACGGCGGGAGTTTCGGTCGACTCCTGAACGGCCTTGTGGGCTTCCTCGGGGGCAGTCTCATCGATAGCGGGTTGCTCAACGGTCGTCTCGGCCGGAGTAAATTCCTCCACCTTTTCCGTCTCAACGTTTTCCTCTGCAGCAGGGGCTTCAGTGGACTCCTTGACAGCCTCAGACTCCTGCTTGGGGGTAGCGTCTTCGGTGGCAGGCTGTTCCACGATAGCGGTCTCGGCAGTGGCAGGCTCCTCAACCTTCTCCGTCTCAACCTTCTCCTCAGCAGCAGGGGCTTCAGTCACCTCTTTAGCGGCCTCGGGGGCGTGTTCGGTGGCAGTCTCGTCGGCAACAGATTGTTCGATAGCGGTAGTCTCGGCTGGAGCAGGCTCTTCACTCTTAGTTGTCTCAACATTCTCCTGAACAGCGGGTGCTTCCTCGGAAACAGTCTCCTGAGCGATAGGCTCCTCGACTGGCTGCTCAGTGGTAGAAACCTCAGCAGATTCCTCTGCAATAGGCTTCTCCTCAGAGACCTCCTGGGGTGCTTCAACGGGCTCTACCTTGGCGGACTCTTCAACAACGGCATCCTCCTTGGCCTCGGTTGCGGGGGCCTCTGTGGAGGGCTCTTCGACAGGAGTTTCCTTGACTGGCTCCTCGGCGATGGTCTCTTCAGTGGGAATCTCTTTAGTAGCCTCCGGAATCACCTCTTCCACCTTTGTCTCTTCGGAAGCGGTCTGAGTGGTAGGCTCCTCTGCGGCGGTCTCGACAGTCTCGGGGACAGCCTCCACCTTCTCATCGGTAGTAGATTGAGGCTCCTCCTTGGTGATAGGCTCCTCGACAGGATCAGCAGACTTGGGCTCATCTGCAACAGGATCCTCCTTGGTAGTCTCAGCAGTCTCCGGGACAGCCTCCACCTTCTCCTCGGTTGTGGCCAGTGGCTCCTCTTTGGTCACAGGCTCCTCGACAGGCTGGACAGACTCCGTGAGCTTGGGCTCATCTGCAACAGGCTCAGGTGTAGATTCTTCGGCAGCTGCAGGTGCCGGAGCATCCTCCTCGGTTGAAGGAGTCTCGGTGGGGGTCTCCTTCTCAGAAACATCGGCAGAAACAGAGCTGATGCTCTCCTGTTTCTTCTGCTGCTTCTTCTTGTTCTTCTTGGCCTTCTTCTTCTGCGCCGCGGTCAAGGGAACCTCTGGTTCGGCAGGAGTCTGAGCAGTTGTGGTTTTTGAGTCGGCAGTGGTGGACTCGCCATTTGTTGCGGACTTCTCGTCAATGGCGATTGGGGTGGCCGCATGGACGGGCTCCACCGAGACAGGGTCTTTGGGCAGATGCTCCTCCGACACTGCGGAATCGTTAGCAACTGCATCCACACCACTCCCCCCAAAAAACGCCAAATCAGCACTTACCACTCTGGGTCGCAGCAGTCGCCATGGTTGTAGGTCGTTAAATCGTAACGGTCGTGAAAAGAAATGAGGGGGGAATCAAAAGAACAATAAAACAGATTCGCAATTTGACCGGCAAAGCAGACGCAGGAGCTGTACAGAGGTGCTCGCAGAGCAGGCAAAACAGAATTTTTGGGAGAGGGAGGATGAGGGGGTAATAGAGTAGGAGCAAGATTGTATGATTAGAGAAGATGAAGAAGAGAGGAAGAGGGAAGAGGGGAACCAGAGGGTAAAAAAAAAAAAAAGGCAGAAGCTAGGACCACATGGAAGAACAACAATGACTACCGCTCTTGTACGGAACTACGGAGGATGGGCTTTGACTTACCACGGACACCCGAGAGCCCTGCGGAGTACCTTACGAGAAATGGAGAACTGATAGGAGGCGAAGCTAGAACAAAGTAAAAAATCTATAAAGAATAATTAAAGAAGAGACCAGATAACAGTTTCATATGCCCAACCTAAGGCCATCAGAGCCCTTTCCAATGCTTTGTCCTCTGTACATCTGTACTCCTCACACCAGTACTCTGTACAACAAGCAAGCCTGCAGCCAGCATATGATTGACGAGAGAGAAAAACAGAGTAACCAAAGTGATTGGTGGGGCCAGTTGTCACAGTGACCAGCTGTGCTAGCCTCCAATGGCCATTTATTTCGACCTGTTAGCTCTGTTAGTCTCTTTTAGTTCTGCTCCCGTTGGGCCAGCAGTGGTTAGGTGTGAACGAGAAAACCCTTCAGATGCCCAATGGCCGCTGGGCAGTTGGGCCCACCGAATGGCGTCCAACATGCGGTGAAGCTGCCTTGCCGCCGAGGTTCCCTTGGATGTGGTCCTTTGGCCGTTCAGGTCCTGGAATTGACTCAATTGAGTGAGTTTAGTATTGCAGCAGTTCCCCGGGCATCCAATGGACAATGGATCTCGGTGCAATGCATGGCTGATCCTCGCGTTTAGGCTTTTTTCTCTTCGTTCTGAATTTTTGGAGGGGGCAACCAAGCACACCACACTGTCAGAGGCAGCTAGCAGCTCCTGCGGGACCCCTGGAGACTTTCTCAAAGTCTAAGGACCGGGGATGGCGTGCGACGGAACTGGTCATGCTTCCTTGTGATACCCAGGTATCGAAGCACGGAGTACTTTTGGATGATCCAGCTTCTTCATGCGCTGCTCAAAATACAGTACAACTGTTCATCTGTCCCGGTCGCACGACCTCTCCCGAGCAAATCCGCCAATATCGTCATGGCCGAGGAAAAAAAAAAAAAGTAGAGGCCCACTGTCAAAGGGCGCTAGTGACTAGCGGATTGTAGACCGCTGCAGTAGTTAATCAGAGGCCAATAGGGGGCCGTAGTGCAGGGATTCTCCACTCCACCTGTCAACTGATCACCTGCGAGCACCAGGATGGAGCGGCATGGCCTAAACAATAGGAAGTTGTATCGCAGTGAGTCAAAGGACTGAAAGGGTGCTGTATCTTCATCGTTGGAATGGAGAGTGGAGGAAATACTTGGACAATGGCAACGAAACTTGGTTCAGGTCCAGGGACCAAACGGTCGGAGCCAAGAAAAAGTTTCACGGCCCAAGCCTGTTCAAGCCAGTCAGTCCCATGGAACCTACGCGGGCCGACTCGAGGGCATGACACTTTGGGATACTTGCCAGCGAGGCTTGGGATCTCGGGTTTCAGATAGAGTCATAGAGACTGAGGTAGGAACAAGAACGCTAAACGATCTGCGAGAAAGAAATCCAAGTCAATGACATGCACATCATGTCCAAGTGATGTTCGAAACGGAAGTGGTCGCGCGGGATATGCAAGTCATGTGATCATGCTTGATGCCTGACACAACGACACAACGGGCATTTCCCGAAGAGGAAGATGGTGAGATGACAACTGGCACCGCCAACAATGAGTCATTCTCAAAAGGATTGATCTGACTTTTCATGGTGAATTGTTCATGGTGATATTATTGGCCCAGGATACTGGTTAGGACAAGTCATTTCAGTCTGCCAGATTTGGCTACTCGAACAAGTCGATATGATGCCATTGATCAGGATCGGGCAGATACTACCCAGTCAACAAGATGCAAGTGCCTGAAATAATCTAGCTCAGTCTCATGAAGATATATGGCAGCAGGATGGCTATGGGACAAGGGCCCTTTTCGGCCTTTGCTTTGATGACAATGATGATTCTGCATGTCCAAACTATACTTCATGCTCATCATTCACCTAGCATTAAACTATAGACCAATTATAAACGACGACGAACATGTAACTGCATGCTTTTCACCTCCTAGCAGCTTCCCTGAATTTGAACCACCTCTGACTGGGCACTCCCAGAGATTTGGACAGCATTGACTAGAGCATACTTACTCGAAGTCTGCAGTCGAATCTCCGTCTCGAAGCCATTATAAACCGCAGTCGTCGCTTTTTGCAACTTATCCTTCTCGTTTCCAATATAAAGATCCCAGGACTGCACATCAGTCGCTCCATTCCAACTGGCATACACCCGTACCTGTTCAACGCCATTATATTTTGCAAGACAAGCATAGACACTCGGTTTCGCAGTTGGCTTTCCACTCCAAACTGCGCGGAAGGTACGGTATGATGACATGATATTATCGTAGCCAAATCGTGCGCGCATCACCACACTGCCTGCATCGTCGTATTCCTCAAACTTGGGGACCGCGCCGTGGCCAAGTAATACATGGCCATTGGTGAGGTTCTGATAACTGCCCTGGGTAACGGGGTAGACGACTTCCTCTGCATCCCATAGACGTCGAATTAAGCTCGCCGTCATGGTGTCGAAGTCCAAGTCGAGAAGAAGTCCAGTCGTTGCTGCTGTTCCTTTCAAAAAGGGTGCGTTATCGTTGTTGTGCATGCGGAGGGTAATTGTATTGTTTGTCTGCGATTCGATCCTCACGGCGTGCTGGAAGCAGAATCTTGAACCCGCCCCTAGTTTGAAATCACCGCCCGTTTGCCCCTATCAAGTCCGTTAGAAGAGGAGTGCATGTAAGAGAAGAATGGGCATACATTGAGAGTCCACTTGATATCTCCCTTCGAGTCAAGCGCATAGACACTACAATAGCCATGCGCCGAAAGGATATACTCGTCTCCGTATCTCATGACCGAGTTGAGATGCGCGAAATCCCATGGATTGCTCTGATTATTCCCAGATCCGGCAAGGGGCGTCGCTGAGTCTGATAGATTCAAATGATCCGACGCGCTCCAGCTGAAAAGCACATCGTTGCTTACAATGTCAATTTCATAGAATTGACCATCATAAATCCAGCCATCTTTCGGTCCACCGACGCTCTGTAGATCAGCGCTGGTTACATTATATGCAGTCACCAGCACCGAGTCTCGATTGGTGATCGCATCTTCATGGACATCAATGTAAGAGGGGAATTGTGATCCCATTGCGGTTTTGAACGTTCGATTGCCATCCGACAGCGTGACTCGGTAAATCTCGTCATATGTTTGATTCAAGAAGTGGATTGATCCATAGCCAAACCCGAGCATACTGACAGTCCCGTTCCAGTATGTCAGGACAGGCTCACCGTTTAGTGTCTGGGTCTGGAATCCAGTGATGCTCCCCGGCGGACCTTGCCAGACGAGCTCGCCGTCGTCTGTATAAATGGCAGGGAAACCATAGCCCTTGAGTGCGTCGTATGGAGATAGGAAGATGTAGCCTGGCTGTGTCTTGCCATTCTTTGTTACGTTCATTACGGGGGCTGAAGTGGGGAGCTTTTGAAGAGCTGGATGGGCCATTGTTGGGAAGCTCCAGCTGGTGAAGCTCCAGCTGAGGATCCTTCGGCCGGGGTGGCCGCAGCTGCGAGTGCAGCCATGAACAAAGACAAGACAATGTAAAGAGACAAGGTCCGCATTTTCTGTACTTGATGCGAGTTTTCAGAATACAGCTTGTATATATGAAATATGCTTGACAGCCGAAGAAAAGAGGTCGAAGTTGTAACCTAGCCACCGCAACAACGGTCACCCTTTTATAACCATGCCTCCATAGCCTCTCGACAATTATTGTATCCAAGCGCGTTTTCTTTGTTCTGAACGAGATGATATCTCGACACATCCAACAAAGAAACTGGCATTGCGGCTGTCAGGAAAGTTAAATATACGAACCATATTTTTGACATCCAGGCTCCTAACCCCGAGAATAGATGAGGCCAGTGCTCAGATTTAACCAAGCAACCACGGCATAGGAATTATTTCCAAAGATTCGGTTAAGCCTGTCATATTCTTCAGTCTTCACTTGGGGCTTGTGAGGAATCCTGGGGTTGGAATGCGGGGAATGCGGGTTCTCCGCGGCATACACCACGCGTTCTTTGTTTGATCGGATATTCCGTGGTTCTCTCCACTTGGAGAGTTACCCGGAAACTTTAATTGAATGGAATGATTAACTTCATAATTCTGCATTAGGGGTGGTCTTGGTCCAGAACTGGATATCTTGATTTGGACGGAGATGATGGCAATGATCCTTATTGTGAGACGGCGATATACACTCCCTGGCCACAGATTTGCCCGACAAGATAAGTAGTGCACTTTTGACCCACTCGTATCTCAGTGACCAGATCAATCTTAACTCTTTATGATGGATATTAATACTCTTGTTGAATACTGCTAAGTTTCAAATTTTCAAGTATGCGGCTCTAACGCACCCGTGAGAACATCAGACATCTTTGGCCAGAGAGTGTAGAGTAGAGCACTTACCTCTCCGTTTAGGCCACATTGGCTATGTTTTGCTCTAAACTCTGGATGTTTGCCAGCTTCGTGCCCCGGGACAACTTTTCAGCCAGGTTACTTGGAGAAAGAAGTCTTGGCAATGGACCATCATCTAGTGCCGAGAGACTTTGTTTCTGATTTTAAGTCTATTTGAAATTGTCTGGTAGAAATGCGGTCTCATATAGTAGGCACCTTCACAGCGTTGAGTTTGATGCGTCTATTCAGAGCTTTTTCCTGCAAACAGAAACTCGCAACTAGCTCTTTCGTGTCGGTTCTCTCCGGCTTTCTCAAGTCTTCCGAATTTTTCTAGTTTCGGTCTCAGTCTCTGCGTGTCCTCTTCGTTTTCCTCACTCCGATAACTACCACCTTTCAGCGTCGTCCTACGCTCGGAAAGTCCCCCTTTCCTCACAACAACCGTTCAGTTTTACCTCATCACCTCCATACCGGAACATCACCCTCTCTTCGCAAGTCATGCAGGTTTGTGGTCTTCTAACCTGATATTTTACTACAGTTTGCTGATAATACTTTCTCCTATTACAAACCAGACACAGATGGAGTCCAATGATCTCGACCTCAGTGACCCCGCCGTGGTCTCTGTAGTGATTGATGTCATGCAGCATAACGACCACCAGAGAAAACGGCTGTATCCAAAGGTTTTCTACGTTGGCGGTCACTGGGTTGGTCGAGTTCGGCCCCAATACTTCCCCATTGCACTCAAGTCCAATGACCTCGGCATTCGTTACGTACCCGACAACGTCCTCGATGAGCTGATTCCCGAATGGAGAGAATACATGAACGGAAAGCTTCTCCCTATCAATTCGAGGACCTTTGACGATGCATGGTTGGCCTGGTGCGCCCGCGAGCGACAAAAGTATGCCGTTAACCGTGTACCTTTCCCCAAGCCACGCTCGTCTTCGGCCCCAAGCAATGCACATGGTGGAGCTACGACTGCTCCCCCACAGACCGAACAGACTCAGGGCACTGGACAGTTTTCGACTACGACAGCACAGGGCAGTCAAAGCATGGAGGCTGTGGCAGTCATGATGGAGACCCTCGGCAGAAGTAACCAGCAATTGGCTCGGATGGTGTTCCAACAAGGCGAGCAGCAACTGCGTCTCGCCCAGATGCTACGAGATCCCAGACGCAGACAGTAGAATCAATCTCCGAGTGATTCACTGCGATGCTTTAACATTGCCAATGACAGATCTTTCATACGTCAGTATCTCGAATCGACGTCGCTGTTCGCAACCGAAATGAATTGGACGCAGCAATTCTCAGTCGGCAAGCTTGGGTGATTCGCAATCCTGATGGGGTTCAGATAGTATCAATGCAAGCTTTCATATAGACTTGTTCTGATCTTCTTTGTAAAATTCTTGGCTACCAACTCGCTGCATTGTATTGGGAGAAGGATGTTTCTACCGACGAGACTTTATGTCTATCAAGACACTTTCGTTCATGCCAATTCCTCTATAGCGAATATTGAAGCTTGAGCATGTCGAGTAGGACAGTGGTAGTAGTGTACAAATATTATTTCTCAAGTCGAGTCTATCCCATATCTAACAAGCTTGGGATTGATCATGCATCGGGGCTCTTGCCAAAATCTGAGTACCATAACAGACCCAAGGACACTGATCGTGATTGTGATTTTGTTTACTCAGAACGCGTGCTTGGTCGGTCACTAGGAAACGCCATCCTGTGGGTTGTTTACCTTCTCGTCGAATCCCAACCTTTCTTCACTTTTCTCCCTTCATCTTCATCTTCACCCTCTTCACCATCCTTGCCCCGCTTTCCTCGTTCGACCGTCTACATCTTCCCTTTGCACCCGCCCTATTCATCAGATCCGCTTTTTTTCATCAGACCCGCTCTTTTCAGACCCGCTCTATCATTGATCAGACCCGCATCGCATCGTCATCGTCCAATCCAACGATGGACGACAAAGAGGACCCGCCGAGCTTCAAGTACCGTGGCTGGCGAGCTGCAGCTGCCGGGCTCGATCCTCATCAACTTGGCTCCCGTCTTGCTGGTGAGGTCCGATCTGGTGACAACCTGCCGGTGCCCTCTCCATCTCCGGTTGGACGGGACCCCAACAGCCCATCCATCCTTCAGGGTAACGCCTTTTCTATGATGAGGGCAAGAGGCGACACTAGCAGACTCCCGCGCAAGAGATCTGGTGAGTATTTTAACCCAAATAAGTCTAACACTTTCCTTTCTCGAGTCAACAAAGGACTTTGACCTCTTCAAAAAGAAAGTTGCTAACTATTCCTTCCATTCAGAGGGCTCAAACCTCGCAAGTCCAAGTGAAGACTCTCAGCCCAGAATCACCAGATATCCATCTGGCCTGAATTACGATCAGGAACTGGCAGTTCCCATGCCCAAGCCACATACCAGGCGTTACTTGCCTACTGATGAGAATTCTCAGAGTGGTATAGAGAACGTGCTTTCCCAATCTCGTCCTCGCACCCTGCTCAAAAAACGTTCCATGCCAGACGCGGTTCGTGCAAAGGCCACTCCTGAACCAGTCCCATCTGCAGATGGGAAGAAAAAGTCCCGGCTTGAAGCTCTCAGGTCAAAGCTCAGCTTCAAAGATCTTCACAAAGAAGCTGCAAAAGATGAATACACAGACATTGCCGTTCCTCCGCTGCCTTCCAGTGAGAAGCAAGATGGCACCCAGGGTTCCACCACCGGCGGTGGTATTACAGGGTTCACGCCCAGCATTTTCCCATTCCAAAATAAGCCCAAGCCTATGCAAAATATCAGACCCTCTGCAATTCCTCTCACCTCTCCTGTCTCCACCACGCAGCACAGCTCACCACCCAGCAGAATCGCACTTGCTCCCTCAGGAACATACACTCACGCTCATGGATCCATGACTCCTTCGGGATCTTCCAATGACCAGCAAATCGGTACCTGGGAACAGGTGAAGGCTGCTGCAGGGCGTGCGGAATCCAAAGAGAAGCTTACCCCTGCCACCAAGGGAAGTATCCCAATTCCCATTGGCAAGCATAAGCCTAGCCCTCTGGCTACCCTCCCTGGACCTGGGGCTTTCACCACAGATCGTTCTCCGGTGATGCCAAACTCCCCGGCAGCTGACTATGCTGACTCTCCCCCTACTGGAGACTCGCCTCCGAAACCGAGCGATCTCACAGAGGGCTCGGGCAAGGTCAAGTACATTCGCAGGACCTATGTTGAGAAAACCTCTCCATCAACCCCTTCGCCAACTGTCAAGTCCGCGCTTCCGGCGCCAAGTCCATACCAGGAGGGTGCATTGAGCTCGGGTCTGCGGTCTGGCTTTATGCCCGGATTCGAGGAGCGTCTCAAGGGAATCAACCAATCGCTCGACAATCCCATTTCGCCAGCCCTCAAGATCTCGGGCACGGAAGCGGGTGCGAAGGATTTCGATGAGATGGTCCGAATGATTCAGCAAAGAGCTGAGTCGGGGATCAGCAGCCTGACTGCACAAGTCAATGATCTCTCACAGTGGACTAACAATGAGATCAAAAGTCAGGTCCGGAGCATCAAAGATCTTGAGCGCATGAACAATCAGCTTTCTCTCCGACAGACGGAGATTTCTCAGGATATCAAGAAGTACAAGCTGGATATCGACCTGGACAAGGTCGTGAAAGACCGGCGTATTGAGATCCTGGAAAGCAAGTTTCTGGATGAAGTGGATGTGGAGCTACAGAACATGGCTCTATCCATGCAAGAGATGACCCAGAAGCTTGAGAACGCGATTGAAAGATTCACTGCTGAATCTGATAAAGCTGCAAAGATCGCGGAAAAGCAGGAAGCGCATATCCGAGCGATGGAGAATGAGATTGCGGAGATGAAGCAAAAGGGGGCGTATCAATCCAAATTGCTTCCTCCGGGGCTGGCTCAGCGACTTGGCAACCAGCCTGCCAGTGCCAGTGCTGAGCCCTTGCTCAAATCGCCAGAGTCTCCAATCCCGCCGGTGCGCATCTCCCCTCTGCCGCGATCAATGACAGCCGCTCAGGCTCAGCAGAGAGAATCATCCATGGCTAAAGGTGAGGCTAGTCCACCCTTCCAGCGCAGTCTCTCTATCAAGAAGGGACTCGCCATAATCCCACCCAACGATTCAAAGACTCGTGGAAAGGTTGGCAGTGCTGAGGGACGCAAGAAGTGGAACATCTTTGGCACCCGCCGTCGTGATGCAAACAGCAACGGCTCAAGCAGCGGTGCAGGCAAGATTTCCTGGCTCCCTCGTCGCTCCAAGGATGGACAAGCCTCGGATAAAGCCAGTCAGCGCTCGGAGACTCCCCCTCCGATCCCACGCGATATTCTCCAGAACATTGAGAATAACATTCAGGCAGCAAGCCAAGTGCACCCTGCACTCCGAAACAGGGTTCAGCAAACCGTCATGCATGACGAGTCGTCCCTGAGGTCCCTGAGTTCCCCAAATACCCCAACTCACACTGCAGCCATGCCTCCAGGTATGACCCGTCTCGCCCACCCCGAGAGCCAGAATATGGGTATCATTACTGCGTCCGTCGCTCCCAGTCTATCTTCCTCTTTTGAACGCCGGGTCGCGGGTGGGGAGTTGCTTTCTGCTGACCGGTGCAAGTTGACACCAGACCCATTCATGCAGAGCCCCAGCACGCCCGCATATTATCGTTCGATTGAAGATATGCGCAGGCCTCTTCTCTATCGTGCGGAGGATGAGGCTCACGAGTGGGATCGGTGTTCATTGCGCGAGGCCAAGTCTACTGCGTCGTTGCGGTAGACTCGTACATGTTTCATGACATGTCTATTCGATCTTCGAAATTCTGGTTTGTTCTAATCTTTGTGGATGTAATACCCCGTTCTGTTTTCATCTTTCTGGCTCATGCAACGCGATACAGTGATGATCACCGGTACTTACTGTCCACGGCTCTGGTGATCCAAACAAAGTTGTTTCACAAGGTTGTGTTTGATGGAAGGATGCAGAGATCTCTAGTTCGTGCAGCGTACCCAGATTATTCTTATGAGTGGACGATATTATGATGGAAAGATAGCTTTCAGGCGTGCCTGAACCCTCAAAATGTACAAATATTTGTAAAATGTCTAATATCTGATCTCCAGTCGCTTTACAGTAACTCTCCTCCCAACAAACTACAGTGTAAGGGAATGTTCAACTTCTCCCTTCAAAATCTAAACATTTTGTAGGATATAACCCCAGTATCGGTATTCCAGTCACTCTCCCCCCTCATATGGCCTAGTGGTCTCCCGTCGGTGATTACCTTTGGGTGTGCCTTGGAATGGGCAAACATATGGGTATGGGTACAGGCCTCTAGTGTTGAGCATGACTCCACGAATGGTCTAGCTGGGGAGAGTGGGCGGGTGGGATGCGAGGTGGTGGCAGCACCTCCTCGCGGATAAAGATCTTTTTTTTATATTTCTTTTGTATAAACTTATTATGAAAGCTTTAGACTCCAGTTTATTGATCTTATTCTTTGAAAGGGCCTTTTTAGTAGTTTTGTAAGGGCGTAGAGGGGATATCGTATATTGAATGTAGCATCGAGTGGCTCGAGACGATGTACTTCGGCATCGTGAGATGGCGACAGAGCATCGTGATGAAGTACATAGGGCACTATACGTACCATTTTTCCTCTGCCAGGTGGGGCTTTCCTATCTTAGCTGTCGCCGCTTTAATGAGGGCGCTCAGAGTCAGGCTCACTGAGTACATTTCAGTCTGGGCTCAGACTCACTGAGCTGCTCAGTGCCATCACGTGATGATCAGTGGGGTCCAATGAGCGCTCAGTGAGCGCTCAGTGAGTGCTCAGTGATTGTGATTGGCTACTCACTGATCTGTCCCGGATTAATTACTCAGGATTTATCCAGGGCATCTATTGAGCACTCAGTCGACACTCAGTCCATACCTAAAAGAGCGCTTGCCCCACAGTACTGTTTATCTTGCGACCTACTTTTTTGATGGACCTAATTTTTAACCGTGCCCCTGTTTTTTGAGGTACTCGATCTTCTCGTTCCCCTCTCAAAAAATAACGCACTGGTGCACGATGACACAACAATGGAGGACTTGGGTCCTATCTGCCATGCACCGGCGCAGAAAAAAACCCTTCCTCGGTCATCGGACTACTAAGATCTGTGCCCAAGTACTGAAGTACAAATTAAAGCTATGTCTCTCATCTCAAGCTCCCGCACAGATTTTTCTTCATCCTCTATTTCAATATCCCCCTCAATTGATTTCTTCTGACGTTTTGTTGGGATTCTTTCAGTCATGGGTCGGAAGCTCTTCTTTGCTCAACAAGATGACAACGCCAAAGAGAATTGCCGAAATCAACTAGCAAAGAGCGGCTATATTTTTGGCGCTCATGCAGCTGAGGACTCCATCCGAGAAAAAGACAAAAGGATACCTAAGACAAAGAGGATGTATTCCCAAGCTGTCCGTCATTGGATGAAGTGAGTTTGGACGCAATTGTCCATGAGGAGTGCCCGCCGTGTGAGTTACTGACTTGCTCATAGCTTCGTTGTACAACATGGAATCAAGGGCTACGAAATCGGGCCAGGCTGTCCGACTCCAGATCATACGCTCCTCAAAGAATTTATTCGCTGGTACAGTCATTTTGCGCGAGGCAAGAAAAGCAAAAATGGACGGCCAGTGATGACATCGGTCCTCAACTGTGCTGAAAGGCTATTTGGTGGGTTTGAAGAAGAATTGCAAATCAAAATTGTGATGGAAGACCGGAGCGAGATATATAACGTAAGCTGTTGTTAAATCTCACAGTGCAAGCAAAACTAACCGCAACACAGTGGATAAGGAGAACATTGGCAGGAAAGGAAAGGTGGATTGAGAATGTTGAAGACCCGGACCACAGCTTTACCAAAAAGGATTTTCTCCGAATGATATCGTCTATGTGGCAAGCGGATCATCGCCGGTTCATGCCTGGATTACTCAAGGCTATCATCCTGCTAGCTCTTCAGTTATATCTGTTTACGGGAGCAAGAATTGGAGCTTTTATACCGGCTCATGAGGATAAAAAAGAAAGAGGCCTAAGATACAAGGTAACGACACTGCGACGTTGGGATTGTGCGTGGCTAATTTCTAATCAAGCACATCGATCTGGTTTTGTTTCCATCGTCTACGTCACCTTGGAAATTAGAGTGGAAAGTCAACCAAGTGTGGCTGAAAGGGAATCGAAACCCAGACTATACGGTGTAAGCCCCTACATATACAACCTTGAATCAGCTGACTTAAATTGAGAGCTACTCGCTGACCGATAATTAAGGTTTGGAATCGGTATACGTGACACCAAGAGACCACAATTCGCTTCTGGATATATTCTCCTAGCTATTGCCCTACAGCACGGTGCCCTATTCGGCATCGAAAAGGTAGAAGATCTTGCCAAGTTTGACCTTTCAAGCGGAAAGCCCATTGAGTTGCGCTGGAAGGATGAATATCTGGAAAAGCCTGTTCTCAGAAATGTCACAGCCGACGGCCCACAAGACGTTCCGCTCCATAAGGAGCGATTTTGTGAGTTACTACGCGGAATAGTCACGACCGCCGGGTATAACAAGAGTGTGACTGTTCACAAAATTCGGAAGTATCTGGGAAGTGTGATTGAAGGTGAGGCAGTCAAAGCTCACATCCTGTCGAAAGAGAAAGATTTTGCTAACAGCTGGCATAGGAAAGCATGGTTCTGCCTTAGTATCTCAAATCTATGGACACAAAGATGCGGGGACGTATCCTAAAGACTATGTATTACATTGCTCTTCAATGGATACAGTCTCAGCTGTTCTCGGCGAGGAAGACCAGTCAAGTCACATTGAATACTTCCAAGGATTTGAGAAATTTTATGAGCGTGGACTTCCGGGGGAACTGCCGGCGGAAGTTGAAGAGAATATCCTGCAGAAGCCAGAACTAGTCGAGATCAGAATTCGGATTGCGGAACTTGAAGCACTCAATAGCAGAAAAGGATCTATAAATGCCGAACGGTTGAACTACAGAAAGGCATTAGTTCGATTCCGACTTTCTGGGTTGAAGGAATACCAAAACCGCTGGATACGGGAAAGAAGAGACCAAAGAATTCTCAACAAGGGGAAAGAAGAGCCAGTACTTGAGGATGGTGACGTTTGCACGCGGGCTCAGGCCTTGATGATGTCTGAATTTGCGCGAGTTTCAACCTTGATGTCTTCTGACAAGGAGCTTTCCTTCAATGAAATGCTTCTTTTCGTGGAAGACCTAAGAACTCATTGTGATCGCGATTTCGATGTGGTTTATCTTCCACATGAAAGTCCCATTCGAGGTCGCTGCCCCACTAAAGGTTGTCACAAAGAGATCAAATGGTGAGCTGCTTAGTCGTATAATGATGGAATTATGCTAATGTTCTCAGTCTGAAAAAAACTGACCGCAGTGCCCACATTCATAACTGTGTTCGACGCGAGATGGCCTTGCATCTTCAAGTCTCAGAATCAAAGTTGAAATTTTGCTACGAGTGCATGAAGTGGTTTCAGTCAAATCAATGGCGAGATCATTGCTCTTTCCACCTCCAGTCATGGAGAACTCAGCACTGTGAGGTGGTCGTTTACCGCCACACTGTGATCCGTCCCGGCTACTGCCCTTTTTGCCTGTGGAACGAGGAGGGTGCCGCAGAAGATCGATTAAATTATTGGCTGAACAGTGGCAATTTAAGGCAACATATTGAAGAACAGCATATGAATAGATATCGGTGTCATGGAACGAAGCCACTGTGCGGATGTGGTCAAACGTTCGACGAAGAACGTGGCCTCCGACACCATTTGCACGACACCCACAGGCTAAACAAAGCCATATGGCTAAGTCCGAAACGCCAGAGGAAGAGAAAGCATCCCTGCAAGGTGGAAGCGCAAATGTCCTTATCAGAGCCAGAGCAGGGCCGCTCCAAGAGGCTCCGCTTCTACCGCTATCCACCTCCGCGTCACGAATATGAGCATCAATTGGCCGACACCACTTTCATGCCTGTCCCCGCGCTGTGTTCCTTTGTGGAGGAGCATCCACAGTACTACTATTGTTCGAGTTTGAGTGATATGTCAACTAAAAGCAGCAGAACTAGCTCAGTTGGTTCCTGCTTTTCTGCAGCAAGTTCTCCACTCAGCTCGCGACCAACAACTCCTGAATTGGAGAACATTGATCCGAGAATCCTCGGGCCTTTGGAGGTTCAGAAAGGACACGGACGTCAGCTTTGTGATCAAGGTTCTATGCAAACGAGCTCCCTTGAAATCCCGCTGGATGAGCATGATATCAAACCATCCAATGATGCAGCACATTCACTGTCTCGTAGTCATGGTGTTGATATTCAGCCCTCTCTTATTTCCCAGGTGACTGATCGTCGTACTCTCGACCCGGCTCATCGCCACAAGGAGGATGCACACCAATCTTGTGATCCCGTTGCTAACCAGCAACATTCTCTCAATCCATCTCCTAATGGGGCTCAGGTCAAGACGACGACACCCATTGAATCGCGAATTCGAGAAAGCCCATCAACGAATACTATTGCAAACGAAGTGAACGAGAAGAAGAAAAACTTGCGAAATGAACGCCGGATTTTCAAGTCGGGCAACCGCATATGTTCTGTTGTGGAGAAGGGGCCTGAAAGTCATCTTCCTGCCCATCAAGAACTCATCGATGGGACCACACCTCTTGGTTGGGATTGTATAACTAATCCCGAGAAACCTCTTACCCGAGCCCAGGCAAGACAGCGACCGATACAGCAGATTTCGAACCATTCAGCGGTGAAGACACTTCGACGGAAACTTAAGTCAACGGAGAAACGGGAGCTTCGTGAATTCAAGAGGAAGAATATGACACTGAGGCAAATTGGGCCTCATTTTGCGGATGTAGATATGATCTGCTTACGGCAAGCTTGGATGGATATCAAACCTCCTCAGCGATGCACTCGATCACGGGCCAATCAGATAGGATAGTTAAGCAACTGTAATTAGATCAAAAGATAACCACACCTTGGTGGTTAAATTACGATTTGCTTGTAAATTATGTATTTCCGATCATATCGACCCCAACCGGATCCAAACTTTCTAAAGTTCGAAGTCTAGCAGGCAACCGCTGGCGTGGTTAGTACACCAGTTTAAGTAATCATTGGCTGGCAATCATGCCACAAGAAATAAGTGCATGACAATCCCTTGTTTTACTGTAGAATTGCAACCCTTGATCGAAGATTAAAGATCGTACAACCCTTTTCGTCTTGCAAAGATATATATTACACTAAATTTACAATAACAAATTTGTTACAGCACTGCACCGCCACACTCTGGAGAACAGTTTTGCCTGAGGCTTTTGTAAGTGGTACTGTACTGTATGACTTACGTTTCGGCGTGACCAGTACAATACCACGAAAGACCGCCTGGCAGCCCATCACTCAATCATTCTGAACTCTGAATTGACCACCCAGGTTCCCGAAATGTGTTATGTCGACTTAATCGCTCTAAATACACACTTCGTTTGTCCATCCTGTTCTCCACCTTCTTACACGACTGATAACTCTTGCCTTTGCTTCCCCTTTTTCTCTCCCAAAATCTTTTTCCACTTTTGCATGATCCGTTTTTCTTGTGCAGTTTTAGTGTATTGACTTAATTATGCACCAATATTCGCCACTGGCTACCCATTCTGTGCTCCTCCATTACCAGCGTACCAAGGGTGGTCAATTCGCTGTGGCCAGTTTACAAATGTAAATTTCCAATATGTCTAAATCCATATGAAGGCAATTTAATGTTCTAAATGCTGGCATTGTATGTCTTCTTCAGCCTACAGTATCGTATGGGTGAAGTTAGGGGATATTGACAGTATTTTTGAAATTGACTGTATTTATCTAGCATTTTCATCCGTCGGCTGATCCGATCCAAACATACCATTCTCGACAATGATTTCCGTTTGAAACCCTGGATTCTGAAGCTGAAGTAGCGGTAAAATCATAAAGTTTTCCTGAAAACTAAGCTGTTATTGTGAATATTTGTGCACTATTGATGCGCGAGCCAGCGGATTGCCAATAATTGATCAATAAGATGAGTGGTTAATTGAGAGTCAGCTACCTTGACGGGCAGGAGCAATGCATAATTCAGGCGGTATTATCATCCTTGGGACTTTGGTTGTTGAAATTGGACTGACTTGTCTTGTCTGTGGTAGTAAAGAAGTTTGTGCGGGCTACATGGCGGTGTAACTTTTATGCGTTGAAAGAGAGTTTGTTTCTGCCAACGATAATCGGATTTGTCTAAATTATCATCCCATTTATTACACAGACAGCGCGTATTTCTTTATGATGACCAGTTTAACATAGTCAATAGATGCAATTGGAAATGAGTAATCTAATTTATTGGAAATTGGCAGGCTGTCCATGTTCCACTTGGATTGGGCATGAGCGGCCAAGTAAAAGATGCATCAACTTTGATGACTTTAGACCTGCATAAGCAGTATGCTAGGTCTCGATGATGTCGCTAAACTATTGATCGAGTAGCTACTCAATCAAATACCTCCGAGTTTTGAACATGGCCAATTAATTATTCTTTTTGAATGTCAGGGTCATCTACAATAAATATTCTGCTGTCACCATCTTGTCCTTGTATCACATTTTCCTGTGGTCAAATTGTTTTACAACCACATTCTTTCCAAAATGTCAAGCTCTCTCTCCAATAGCTCTATCGGTCAAACTTGGGACTATTCGCTCTGGGCATGCTGTGACCCCACAAATATTTGTAAGCCTCCATTAATGAGAACGTGATCTCAAGAATAACATTGCAATAGGCTGTTGTGCTTGTCTATTTCCATGCTGTATCTTTGGAAAGACGACTTCGCGGTTGAAGGGAGAGAGGGAAAGCCATTGTAACGTTGATGTAATACGAAAAACTTCCTTCTTGCCGATAATGACACTGACCATACGCTTCTAGTGTTGTTCATTTTCGTTACTTACCACTTGCGGGCTCTACTGGATACCAGTAATGATGCAAAGAACAAAAATTAGGAAGCGCTTCCACATTAAAGGCTCACCCTTCAGAGATTGTGTGGAGTCTGTCTGTTGCACTTGCTGTGTTTTGGTGCAACATGAAAAACAGTCTCAAGTCCAGACTAATAATCAAGAGGGATATAATTCGGTGACGCAAATGGCTTACCCAGGGAATCAAAGGACTTGAGCTACATTATCTAGCGTGCTTTGTGGTTGACTATTCCGAACCGAGAATATGATCGATGCTTTTTCATGGACAAACAATATTGGAATGATTGTGAACAGCCTTACCGGCTTGATATTTCAGGGCCTGAAATAATGCTTATCCATGAACCATCTATCACAAGATACCAAATACCCTTAAACCATGACTATGTCGACCGACGGTAGAGAGCGGCTCGATCCGATTCCAAACTTGTCCATGATAGCGACGCTACAGGTAAATTCGAAATTGCCTACCATGTTCTCCACATAGAAATTTGTTCTAGAACCCTGAGCCAAGACATGGCATTCCAATTTCGGCTAGATAGTCCGGGGTTCGATCCATATCATAGGTCGAAGCAGTATAGCTGGATCCGTTATTGCCCTAGTGCTAGGGTCCCAGATAGTTTCTCTGTGTAAAATGTGGAAGGCAATTTCGAATTTAGCTGCAACCACAGAAAGCGAACACCCAAGAGAGATTGGGATGGATTCTCAACTTCCAGGCCCCGGGGCAGGCAGGAAGCCTTTCCCAACCCTCCGCCGACCGTCCTCTATCTCCAAATCCGCGACTCCCCCCACTCCACCCGAACGACCTACCCCACAACGTACCGTCGAGGAGAAATTCTTTATCTCGACCTCCTATTCCACCATCGCTGCCAGAGCTCTGTCTTTCCAAGGACAAGTTCTCAATGGCGTCACTCCGCTTCAACTGGCCCAAAACGGCTTTCACTACAAACCATACCCAAGATTCGGTGGTCTGGCCTGCTGCTTTGCTTGTCAATCCTTCAAACGCCTGGACAGCTTCCAAAGTGCACCTTTCCGAGAGACTCAGCAACTACATGTGGACAACTGCATATGGGAGGTTATCTACAGCGAGATAAAACAACATCTCGAACATACCACCAGTCTCGACATTTCAACCAACGTATCCCCTCTGCCTAGACAGTCAACTCCAAGCCACCATCCTACGGAATGCGAACCACTCAAGAAAACAACCACCGACGCCAGCACACAGACACCAACCCAATCGACACCAGCAGCACCCGCTATAGGAGAGAATTCTCCGAACACTAACCTCGACTCCTTCACTCAATCGCCGTCCGCCACAACCGACCTAGAACCACAAATAGCCCCACCAACCTACTCTCCGCAGCCTCCTCAACCGATCCCGCCTAACACCTCGCCCCAAAATCAACACACGACCTATGCTTCTGTCCTCCGGCAATCTGTCGCATCCACGCCAGGATCGATTCCTTCAACGCAAAAGTCTATCACTCTCGCAAAACCCGCGAAATCCGTACTCACAATCGAAGATCTTCACCGCCGTTTTCACAATAAGCCGTCACCGTTCCAGCTCGAGGATAAGCCAAAGCAACGTGCGACTAGACGAATTCGAATCAAAACCACCTCTGCAACACAGTCACTGTCCAAATTCTTAGCTTCAGCTTTGCCCGCGTTCTCGCGGTTCTTAACAGAAATGCAGCCAAAATCGGACGCTTGCTGTCCGTCTCACCGCAATTCCACCATAGCCGCGCCATAAGGGCAGCCTAACACCACAAATGGCAACAAGGCCACGACAGGCTTTACCAAGTGAGGCTCAAAGTTCACCGTTCAGGCAGTTTGGATCAATCTCAGGGATCAATCAAGTAGAAAGTAGTTGTATCCTGCATATCGTTCGCGAAGTTGGATTATAAACCACAGCCTGCTAGGCTAGGTACGGATTCGTATTTTGGCCTAGTTTGGTAAACCAACTGGTTATGAGCCCGAATTAGCGTAACCTTTGTGCACGCTGGTTCAAATCCCACAGTCAGCAGCAGGTTCAAGCACCCAGAGCCACCAGAAGAAGGCCTATGATTGGCCGCACAGCCAGGCAACAGAGCTTCATGCACCGCCCAGCCAAGCGTCTATGGTTTACGGGGGAGAGTTGGATTATAAACCACAGCCTGCTAGGCTAGGTACGGATTCGTATTTTGGCCTAGTTGGGTAAACCAACTCGCGAGGGGTCAGGGTAAATGATTTCACACACACACACACACAGCTGTACAGTCGTAGTAGTAGTAGTAGTATTCATTTACACTGGCCCCTCGCCGAAGCGATATGCAGTATACGACAACTATATATCCGAGTATGTACATTGAGAATGATCCACTTCCTGACATGAACTTAGAGCCTCGTCACGGCCTTTCGTGGCCCATTGCCGCTCCCATTGTTAGGCTGCCCTTATGGCGCACGACTGCGAAACCGCTGTGACGCCTCGGCGAAGTCCAATACGGCCTGAACCGTCTTGGCCCTCGAGACGATGTCTGGTTTACCTTGCTCACCTTCGTTTGAGCCTCCCAGCAGACTCGACACGCCACTCAGCGCGTCCCCAACTTTCCGTCTCAATTCTACCCTCAGCTCGCGGAGCCTCGGGCACTCCATCAGCACGTGGGCGACTGTCTCCTGCACACCGCATTCACACAGATCATCGTCGCGGAAGCCGAATTTCTTCGCGTAGGTAGATAACCAGTTGTGACCCGTGCGCAGCTGCGTCAGCAGGTAGGCGCGATTCCTAGGTAGATTCCCGTAGAGCTTTCTCGTGTACCGCGCTGGTAGGCCAGCGTCTATCTTTCGTAAGTGAGCACCTTTAGTGCTTGTCTTCCACTCTTGTCCCCACTGGGCATAAATTTTGCTGCGGACAAACGCGTTCTCCCTCGATAGTAGTGGTCGGAAGGGGTGGGTTTTACCCGGTTGCGCGGCTTCTTTGGCGAGTCGATCTGCAGTGTCGTTCCCTGGGTTTTCACAGTGCCCTGGAATCCATTGGAGGCGAAGTCTGATGTTCTCCCCTTGAACCTCGGTAGCTGCCTGGAGGATCGCATGGACGATGCGTTGTCCTGATTTATTCTTCACGTTCTCGATCGCCTGCAAGGCCGATTTACTGTCGCATAAGATTGTTGCTATTACAGGAACCCTGTTTACGGCGTTTGAGCGTTGGTGGAACAGTTTGAACACCATGTTGACCGCATAAAAGATGCCAATGAGTTCCGCTACGTGAACTGACCATCGGTCCATCGGCCCCACCTGAATCTGTTGAAATTCGGTCACCTCGTCATTTTCGTTGAGTGTGACGATGGCCGCCCCGAGGTGGCCCTCGCGCCCTGAGGCGTCCGAATAGACGATGGGGTCGGATGTGGCCCGTATGGTCTCAGCCCGTTGCCTTGCTGTCTCCCGGTCCGAATTGACTTCAATCTCCGCGAACGCCTCGGCACGCCATGGTGGTAGCGGTCTCGGGTCGATCGTTTCTAAGGTTGCTAACCTAGATGGGTCCATAGTCTTGAGAGTTTCCGCGAGGGGGAACCTGTAGCGTGATCTCATATTGTCCCTGCGTCTCTGGGCTCGTGATAAGGCACTCCAGATGGGGTGATCGCGAGGCAGAGTGTGTAGTCTTGCGATGGTGCGTTGCGCTCGGTGGCGGAGGCGGAGGTGTGTAGGAAGAATGTGGGCTTCCACCTCTAGCGTTGTTGTCGCTACCGTCCTGAATGCCGACAGAATCCGGATCAATAAGGCTCTCTGTATTGTGTTCAATTGTCGGAGGTGGGTCTTGTCCCGAAGCGGGTCATGCCAGACTGTCGATGCGTAGTCCACGATAGGCGTGACGCATGCTTGGTAGAGCTGTCGCATTTGTTCTGGACGCAGATGTCGTAGCCCACTCAAAGCGATAGTAACTTTAGTAGCACGTTTGATGGCCTGCTGAACGTGTTCCTTCCAGCGGAGTTCCTGATCAAACATCACCCCCAGCAGTTTTGCTGTAGGTGACGGCTTAATGTCGGTTCCCTCAAAGGTAAGTTGCCCTTCCAGGTGTTCTCCCCTCTTTCTGGTGAGGTGGATAAGCTCGGTTTTCTCTGCGGCGAAGCTAGATCCGGTTCGCCGTGCCCACTCCTCGATACGAGGGATATCTTCGGACTGCATAGTGGCTAGGTTTTCCTCGGCCGAGCGGCCTACTCGCCATCGGAAGTAGTCGTCAATGAATGCCGACGCGCCTCCGTGGGAGTCGACAGGTTGGTCGACTAGATCGGCGTTGAAGAATGCAAACAAGATAGGAGAGAGTGGAGACCCCTGCGCTAGTCCTGCGTGCGCGAGGGGCTCTGTCTCGGTACGGAAATCGTCGAATCCGATGTTGGCATAGCGGTCACTCATGAAGCTTGCAATCCACTTCCGTACCACTATCGGAATCCCTCTCGCCTGTAAAGAGTAGTCTAGGCTCACCCAGTTCACCCCGTTGAAGGCACCCTTGAGGTCGAACGAAATTAAAGTCACCACCTTGTGTTTGTACCACGCTTGGTCGATCGCATTAGACAGCACCAACAAGGCTTGCTCGGTGGTTCGGCCTGGGCGTCCGCCGAATTGGCTGTTCGGCAGTAGGCCGTGCTTTTCTGCCAGATAGGACAGTCGTCGCGCTATCACTGCTTCGAGAAGCTTGCCGAGTGTGTTCAGCAGTGAGATTGGTCGATAGGCGCCGGGAAGCGAGTAGTCTGGCTTGCCTGGCTTCCGCAGCACAATGATCTTCGCGCTGCGCCATTGTTTTGGATGGTGTCCTAAATCTACACATGCCGTGAAAATGCGGACGATAAAGGCTTTCAGGTGTACCCATAGTTTTTTCCAGACCAACATTGGTAGATTGTCCTCCCCTGGCGCTGTCGTCCCTTTCGCTGTCCTGAGTGATCGCTCAATCTCAAGTTCCGTGATTGGGTGCCATGGAAGCTCCGGGAGTGGCGAGGCTGGTGGGATGGGCTCGGGTGTGTTCATTGCGGGGAAGAACGCATCGAGGAACGCCTTTGCTTTGTCTTCGTTCTGGGTGATCTCCTCAGAGCCAGCTCGCAATGTTGGGGTACAACCCCATGTTTCCCGAGGCTTCATGTAGGTCGCGGCTTTCCAGAGCTTTCCTTCGCCCGCCTCGTCTAGGAATTGTCTCCAGTGTGCTGCTTTGGTTTTCTCGATAGTCCGGGTCCACGCTCGCCGCTTTTGTTGCATAGCCTCAAAGGCAGCCGTGGTGCTAGCATGGTCTCGGCCGAGCTCCGCGCAGCTCGCCTGCCACCTCCTGCGTAGTTGATTGACTTCAACTTGTTGCACTTTAAGATCGGGGGTAAACCATCTCTTGGAGTATGGCGTTGGACGCATGTCGGGTGTGAATCGGTCAACCGCCTGGGCCGTCGCTGATGTGAGCTCCTCCACCACTCGGTCGAGTGTTGGCCGGGTCTTAATCTCCCTCCATGGGGACATTTGACGAGCTACTTCCTCGCCAATTTTAGACCAGTCCGCCCGCTCGTACGCTTTCCTCGCTTTAGTTCTTGGCTTAGTCTGAGGCTGCAAATTCCATTCTGAGTAGGTGGCGCGGTGGTCAGATCCGTAATTCTCGTGGTATAGATGACATTTGACAAGCAGGTTCGGATTGTCTGTCACTGTCTGATCAATAGTTGAGTTTTGACCCGGGTTGTTCAAGGCCCAGTAGGTTGCCGTGCCTCGGGGGAGGCAGCCTTGGAGGTTGTGAGCCTGGAAAAAGTCGATTAGGTCGCTGGCGTCTTCGATGAACCTAGGCGCGATGTGATTGCCGCCCCACATCGGATGGTGTCGATTGAAGTCGCCGGAAACAATGATACTGGTCGAGCGCTGCTCGTTTTGGGTGGCAGCTGCGATGGAGCTCTGAATCGCGGTGAGGACTGGCAACGCTGATGCGTCATCGCCGGTGAAAAGTGGTACTGGCGGTATGTAGATAGAAAAGAGAAGTATTTGAGAGTTAGCTGTCCATATCTTGATGGCTGCGGCGTCTGGGTGGTCGCATAGTATTTGACGGTGCGAGGAGGTGGAGATTCGTCTGTTGACGTAGATCAGGCTGCGAAACCGACCAGCGTCGAGCTGTGCGGTAGGCCGATATAGTCGCCAGGCGCTGTGATTGACGTGTGTGCGGTACGTGGTGATGGAGGGCTCCTGGATCAGAAGAACATCCAGATATTGACTTTGAGTATCATTGATCAGTGCCTCCATTCTTGGTCCAGATTTCATCATGTTCAACTGTAGGATGCGGAGGTTTCTCTCTAGCATCTGACGGGGTTGGAGGTCGCTGGTCCTGGACACTGTCGATCGCCAGTTGGATGTTCGCCATTACAATCCAAGCACCGCGCTCTCACTCCCGGTGGGCATCGTTCACGCTCGTGCTGACCTGCACAGTGTCCGCATCGAGGCGTTTCCTTGCACGCCCATGCTAGGTGTCCGAACCGTTGGCACCGAAAACATCTCTTTTTCTTGATCTCACGTCTCTCAACGTGAGGAATGTAGTGCTGGTTGACAACGAAGCCGTTCCGTAACATATGTTCTGCTCCGTCTGCGGAGTCAAACCAGATTCCCAACGATGCGAACTTCCCCAAGGCCTTATCTTTCGCTTTCATCCAGGCCAGTTCATCAATGTGGAAACCGAGTTCCGCCAAGTCATTATCGTTGATGATCTTCTCCGCTGCCTGGGTGGCCCCTGTTTCCAGGTCAAATTCCTCGGTAGGGGTACGGTGGACTACAACGCCGAATCGTGGTTTGACCAGTTTCGTGTTGTTGCCTAGTTTACGTAGCCATCCAGTGTTATTGCGCGCTGCTTCAGCCGACTCCATATTTTTGAATCGAATAAGATAGCCGGTCTTGGTGGTGCCAATGCCTGCCACTTGGGCGTCTTGCGTTGCATCGTCGCTTTGCAATGCAGTGCGAATGTGGGTGTTGACGACGTCGGTGGGAAGATATCGTCCAAATGCGTTCCCGTCGCTGTCTTCATTGTCTCTTGGATCAACAAAGGTTCTCTGGGTGCTGATTCGGACGCAGTTTTGCTCTTTCTCGGGTTGTTGGGGGTTCGGCGAGGGTGTGGCATTGCTGCCATTGGCTGCGACTGCTGCCCAGGACTTAGTCGCGGTCGCTGCTGGGGCGCTTTCGAGCTGCACCCGTAAAGCTTTCACTTCCTCGTGGAGCCTTTCGTTTTGTTCCTGGAGGACGTTCTGGTTGTGTTTGATCTCCTGGAGTTCGTTTTGGGTAGCAGCGATGGTCGTAGTTTGGTGGCGGATGACGTCCTTCAGCGTGCTGATCAGTTTCCACACCTCCTTGGTAGTGATTCGACCGGCTGGATCCGACGGAGCGAAGATATCTCCACTCCGGGTTCGCTTCCGGCTTTCGACGGTAGTTCTGGCTTCGAGGTCGTCCGTGAAGCTGGCGATGGTTTCTTGCGTGTTTGTGGGAGGGGTCTCGGGCCCTCCCGCGGGTGGGTCCGCCATCCGTCAGGGGTTAGTTCCCGCTCGGTACACAACGCAGCAGCTGTATATAGCCTTAATATCGACCACAACGTTCCTTGATGCGGTACTTCGATTGATCCCATGTACCACTAAAGTACCTTGAAGTACAGCTCCTGTGACTCCATCAGTTACAGTAGGTTCATGGGATACAGTACTTCCCCAGCTGTACAGTCATTCTCGAAATCGCCTTGACCAATATACACTGAGAAACTCTTTCCCAACCCCACCGCCAAGCCCTTAGCGCAGATCATTTATTGAGCAACCGCACTTAGTTGAGGGCCGTCGTAAATTGCGACTTATATAGTACAGTGATTTATAGCCTAGGAATCAAGGCGCAGACAGCAATCTTACAGCAGGGAATACAATACCCTACAAATATATTTTACCACCGTGCTCAACTAAGTGTGGTCTGCTCAATACATGATCTGCGCTAAGGCCTTGGCGGTGGGGCCGAGAAAGAGAGTCTCAGTGTGTACTGGTCAAGGCGATTTCGAGAATGACTGTAACCACAGCGCCATCCACCCCCTCTATCTACTGTAAGGATGGACTAAAGTCGGTTTCCTATCCTTGTGTTCAGTCGTAGGCAGCAGAGACAATCTGTAGGCAGCAGCTGTGCTACCTTTTGCTGTGTTGATCACGCTATACGTGAATTCGTTCACGATACCTGATCTTGACAATACTTAAAGAAATCTACACTAGGAGAACAGATTTCAAAGAGACAAGCAAGTAAGATTTGCCTGCACATAGTCGAAGGCATCCAGATACCCTATCAACTGGACCACAGCGGCGCATACCATCAGGACGTGGAAGATCGAATGGGAGCGCCATAGGTCGAATTTGCCTTGATATCGACTTTCGGGAAACCTGGTCTTCAGAACCACATGTGTTAGTATAGGGCCAATTCCTCAAGGTAGTTGCGGCGAGTGGTAGGATCAGCGCCCCGATCAGATGAGTATACACATTGCAAGACTCATTGTGCAAAGAGGTCAGGCTGTTAAATATGTCCATATAGTCTGCTTTCGCTGGTCGATAGCCACTGAGGATATACTTGTTATCGAACTGCCATTCAGAGATATCCTGCCATGTTACAGTACGGTTCCTGCTTTATCCACACGGGGTACAGTATTTCGCAGTGCTCATATTGACTTTCGGCTTGAGTTCTGGCTTCTCCTGAGATATCTGAACTGCACCGCCGATGAAGCGCCCCCAGGGGAACAAAGGGGGAGTAGACGATGTAATTAAGATGCACCAAGAGATTTGGCTGGCCAAAGGAGGTAAGAGGAACGGAAAAGCGCGTTGGAAAGAATATGCGACGTAATAATAGTACGGGTAAAGGCGTCTTAGTGAAGAAATTGCTGGGCGGAGATATTTTCCATTGGCCGCTACGGTCACAATCCAAAATCTAACAGACCTTCTGGCTATAGCAGACAAATACAAAGTTGTGAATCTGTGCACCAGGAAATTAAACGTGATAAACTAAGTGTTACGTATTGTTCATGTTCATCGAGGCAGTGTTCGTGGAAGAGGGTGTGCGCTTGGGATAATATTTGTGCAACATACTATTTGTTCATGATGTTGTTCTGTTAGAGTAATCATCATTCAAAATCATATTTGTTAGAATCATGTCCTCCAAGAAAACTTCCGCCGTGATAAACTTCATTTAAAGTTCGTTGGGCATTCTGCTGTCGCTTCTCTTAACCAAATGGGGGTAAACAAAAGGTCTCACGCGTTTCAGCCTCTGTTCACTGTCGATGGATCCCAGTGGCGCTGTTGTCTGTACGGTATTGCTACCGTGGCAACAGCAGAATTTTTCTGTACTACTCCTTGCATAGGGTCATGGCGCTAGCCTGTCGTAGTGTGAACCTTCCGTGTGTAATAATCCGCTGGTCGGTGGCTTTCCAGCTGATTAAAATTCGCCCAGTCTTCTGGAGAGGACCGTACAATTGTTTAAAAAGTAATCCGTTCAGGTGACAGATTGACCCGTCATCAACATCAGAGTGTCCTATGCAGTGATGATGGGGCCGTCCCGTTTTGGAACACCACCGAGTAAGTCACAAATTCGGCCTGAAATCTTAGCGATATTCTCTCGTATCAATGTCTGGCCCAACGTAGCGTCAATTTGGCAGAGAGATGGATGCAGCCCAGCGTTTTCCAATGGTCGTACTTGTTGGGGGAATTCTTATGGAAGCTTTCTTTCACGGCACCGATCAATAAGTGACATCAGGGATTCGCCATCATTTGCTACGATTATACACGCCTCCACTGCGCCACCTTGATGGTCAACTTGCTTTGTTATTACAACGTGAGCTAAACTTTTATACGAATTTCAGCGTTCAGTTACTTCGGTCGTCCTCACCGTATCTCTGCTAGACGGGATCATAATAATACTACGATTTCCAAATCGAATCATTCCATCTTCCGTTCTTTTGCTCATTGAGCACTCTTGACTGGACTGCGGTAGCCAACTCGTAACTGAATGATCCACCATCTCCATGGATTTGTCTACACTTTCAGATACGTCGGGGACGGATACTTTGGGTTTGCGCATCTCTTCCTCGATCTTGTCGCTTGGCGTCTTGCAGAGCTCAGTCTCGACCACCCCGATGAATCCCATCGACATGAAGTGGGAGCATGAAGGCGAGACACTCGGAAAACCTTCAGGTATATGTTCTCGCACATTCGCCAAAGGACCTCCATCCAATCTTGGTGACGCCATACCTGCCAAGTTGGGCAAGCATCCCCGACGCACCAAAGTAACGATGAACGGTTCTGCAGCGTGGCGCTCGCCGCGTCTGCTCGGGAGCCTCCAGCGGAAATCAAATTTCGTCGATAGACTTGTCGGTAAGCTTGATTGTTGCGTCTCCTTCGGCATCCGTGCCATGCCCCACACCCCGCTAAATCTCTCATTTCGTCCTGGAGACTTAACATCGCAAATCGTGGAACATACCTGGCCGCTTTCCGCTGCAACATCGCATAGTTATGCAGCCGGTAGTTCTATTACCGTTTTCCCCTTGCGTATATTCATCCAGGAAGTCCTTCGTCGCGCACGTACTAGCTACTCGACCCTCCGCCTGGCGTTATATTACATGATTAAGATTAAGCCCAAGCTGCTGCATGACTTGAACCAGGGACAGTCTCGGGGTCAGTCGCGTATGTGGGCCAGGCAGTGTGGCCGCCGCATGTTCTTGACGGCTCTGATTCTGGCTTCCAAGTATTTGCAAGACGATAGCTATTCCAACCGCACATGGAGCAAAATCTCCGGCTTCGAAATATCGGAGATTAACAACGATGAGTTACTGTTTCTTGACGCAATTTGTTGGCGTCTGCACGTCTGTGAAGCTACCTTCCGGCGTTGGACCAATCTCGTCCTGAAGTTGACCCTTAGTGCTAGCGACCTCCCTTGTAGACTTGAATATATCATCCACTAGCTACTAAACTTGTCGATTCGCTCCACATTGCGTGGACAGACCCCAGCTAGTCACCAACATGCCTAGAACAGTGGAGTGCCTCGCTTGGGAACAGGCCATCTGCCACGACCGACACATTTTGAAAGAGAAATCTGGAAGGCACATTGATTGAACCTCACAGTAGGTAGGTTCTTCGCTGTGGAATCCGTCTGCTCCACCGACTGAGTCGCTCACATCCCAGCCGTATAGCACCGCAAGGATCAAGCAGCGGCTCTCATTACAGCCCCTAAACAGTCGTTTGCAACCGACCTGGCAGCATTTCCGTGTATTAGAGCGAGATAAAATGGGTAAATAAAGTCATCATCTTTGAATTGGGAGAATATCAGTTCTCACACAGGCAGGCCAAAAGCGGAATCTGGGATCTTTTCGCTTCCTTTACTGTAGGTTAGCTGAATATACTCTTGTATCAAGAAATGTTAGGTTTTCAACAGGTTGGCAGTTTAAGGCAAGATAAATGTTTAGTATTGTTCACTAAGCATTTTGTTCTGTGATGTTCAAGTCACATCATTTATAAACAGCAATGTAGTATGTATCAAAATCTAAGCCCAGTAAGGGATTATTAAACAAGGATTCGATCATTAAACATAGTAACTCACCTTCAACTAATGACTGAGGCTTTGGGAGAAATATAAAGCCTTGCTAGTACAATTGACTCTTCGCCCATTCGACTTTCCATTGCATACATCCCACTCCAAAAGGCAAACAACCCATAAGCTCATGAAGACGACGAATAATGTCGCACCATTGCCCACCACGATCACAGAGAGCAGCCAGATCCCAACATCTCTCATGTCAACCCTCCAAAGTGTGGCTACCTGAAGAGGACATTAAATTAATTCATCTTCGAAGCAAGGGATGGCAATGGCCCGCGATCAGCCGAATGCTACCTGGGAAATCGCAATCGTGTTGTCGTCTCCGATACAAAGGCCACCTTAATCGATCTCCACAATGGACTGAGGAGAGAAAAGATTCTCTTTCACGAGAATACGCAAAGTTAGTAAATGATACTGTATCTTCTTCTTAAGCTAATAATTCCGGTATTTAGGCTCCGGGAGCATATATGGTCGATGATAGGAGAGAAATCAGGCATTCCCTGGAGAGCAGCGGAGGCTATGCATTGGCATCTAGGGGAGCAGGAGATAGCACGTCGTGCTCAAGTGACATCTTTCAATATAAACTATAGTGAGGAGCGTCGCGGCACGCGCGTTGCGGACCAGGGTGCGAAAGACGCTTCAACCAAAGGGGAAGGAAGGGTGAATAGAGCCATTACGTTGCCCTCCATTACAACACTTTTCCCAGATATTCTCAAGAATTGCCAGTCTACTGGGTGATTTGCTTGGACTGAACATTGAAAGTGGAAGATGCGCAAGACACTCAGAGCTTCTCTTTCCTGGTACTTGCTGTACTCTCACAATTTTATCAAGAATTATTCTCATCTCTTCCGTTATTTGCCGCGAAATAAATTATATTCCAGGAACTATAATACAGTAGAGTACCTTTCAGAAACAAGAGTGACTTATCGTTGTAATTGGTATTGTACCAGCACACTGCCAAGAGAGTATTTTGGGACCAGGGTATCGGCGATAGGTAAAGAGTACTCTTAATTTAGAATTTCAGATTGATTTGAAGGTAAATGAAGTATGTAAACTAATCTCGAGCAGATCTCAGTACTACCCTGTTCACTGCGAGCAGTTTTCTAGGCAAAGGCACCTTCCAAATTACATTTTGCTACGTATATTGTTAGGTCCATCTAAGTTTGTGCGCACGACAGTAAGCCATGGCCTAGAAGACCACAGAACCTTTCATTTGTATTAATTCTCTGCTCGAGCGGGATACTGTACAAAGGGTATATCGCTCCCAGCACCTGTTCCTTGAAGGACTTCGTGGATTGATGGAATTGTCCATCTTCCTTCCACTGGGTGGGACAGCGGTGAATTTGCAAAAGTTGACGCAGGTTGCTGATTACAGGAGCCCACAGGGCATACCGTAGAAGGGTCTCCATGAATAGATCGGTTGTCGTTCGGCAACCATGCAGTGCTTCCAAATCCTGAGTTTTCCCTGTTGATGGATTGTGGGACTGGCGAACGACTGCGACGAACCGCTGTTACATCAATTTCATGTGCTGGGCTGTGTTCGGCTCGAAGAAACCGATTGTAGACACTGGTCTCCGTGTTATTTCCAAGAGGCCTTTTGCCTGCTGATATGGCCATGGCCGGAGCTTTGGGTATCTGCCAATTTGTGGGTTTCTTGTAACCCTCACACCTCTTACCTGCCCCCATACAATTCGCACCTGAGGTTGTCTGTCAGCGAAGCACTCTTGTTGGAGGATGTAATTCTTCACTCTGTGTGCAAAATGGCTTACATACAAGATGGCTTCCGCTCATCACATTTCTTTCTTCTTGAGCGACAGGTTATACAGCCAGTCTTGGACCTGCGGCTGAATGCACGCTTTCTCTTTGGTTGAATTATATGGTCTCGGGCATGTAAGTCACTCTGCAGAGGCTCAGCAGCCGGTGCAGAAATCGTACTACGATGTGTTTCCTCGCTTGATATCTCACCAGCGGACTGCAACGCAAGGTCATCAGTGAGTGGTGTCTGTTCCGCGTAGCTCGAGTCCCGCACATTGTTTCCCGGCTGTCTTTCCGCGGAAGTCGCGGAACGAACCTCATCTCCATTGTTATTGATCTCCTCAAAAAGCTGCCATGCGGAGCCATTCCGTGCATTTTGCTGGCCGTCAGTAGACGATGGCTTCCCTTGCCTTCCAATCGTCAAATCTGATTCAGTTGCGACCACAAATTCCCCCTCACCACTCGTCATTTCTCTAGAAGGAGAGGAGGGTGTTCTTGACATTGAACCCCGTGTCCCCACCTGATTGTTTGAGATGGTTTCGCTCGGCGAAAATTCCTTTTGGCCAGCGACGCCCGTGTCCTGCGGTGCCCCGTTGTTCCGCCCGGCTGTGTGAGAATCGCCATTTTGTTGCTCTTGGGATATTGAGTTCAAAGTAGCCACTGGCAATGGTAAGTGGTTGGCGGACTTGAGATTGAGCTTTTGGAAAAGAGTCGAGCCAATATTTGCATTATTGCTTCCCTTTTCGTCTCCCGGAGCTTTCTCTTTCGAGCAGGCCCCAGTAACGTTCGCATCATCCGTCGTCGCCGGGATGTGGTGCGGAATAGGAATGGAAAATGTGTCCGTGGTAGAATTTGGACTAAGCGTTGGGCTCCTTGGTACTGTACAGTAAACAGTCTTAGAATTCTGATGATCATTTTGAGAATAGCACGTACTCACTTCCTGTGTTGGCTCCATCGGAAGACTCAGCCGCCGGTAAGATTCTTTGTTGGACTGCGATAGGCTCGTCCAGATCCGATGGCACGGTTGACTGGCAACTCAAGACAGAACGGTCCGCTGGCTCTATACCCAAAAGTAGATCAGCAAAGTTTTCAACGCCATTCTGCGATCCAAATGGTACGTAGTACGTAATTGGAAACAATTATGGGACTTCTCACCTGACCATGAGTCTTGCGATCCATCAATACATTGATTGTCTGAACCGCATCCAATTGGCTGGAAGACCGAAGACTGAAGATCTGGGGAGACTGTTGCCAGGGGTTCTTTTCTTTGATGGACTTTTTCCTTCGAATACACGGGCACCTCTTGAACAGCAGGTCTATACCCGCAGCCACCCAGTCGGGTAACCGCCAGGTGCTGGCAATCCGGTTCAACGACCGGTTCAGGACTGCTGTCTCCTTTCTCTGGGAGTGATCCGCCTTCTTGGGGCTCTTGCCACGGTGATGCCTTCTCGAATGCAGTCTCCATAGTCTGAGTTCCTGACGATATCTGTTGGCGTGGACAGAGCGATCTAGAAATGATGCCCAACGCCACAGAGAGTTGGGTAGGATCAGTAGATTCCCCGGGGACGGGAAGTTTCACGGCCGGAGGAAGTATCTCGGTGGCGGCATGCCTTCCATGCGAAGCCTTATTCTTTTTGTTGCATAAATAGCCACAGCCTTGTTTGTAGAGTTCGGCTTGTAATGAGTCATAGCTTCGATCCAGGCCCGAGCACAGAAAGTATTTTTCCTGAATTTCTTTCTTGGAGAGGTTCCGATGTTGCTCAAACCAGCCGGGCAAATCCCTGGCCTCTTCGGGAGTCCAGAAGTGGTTTTGGCCTGAAGAGGTTATCAGTGGTTTTGCAAAACTATCTGATAAATGTCAGGTCTACCTTTCCTTTTCCTGCCTTGCTTAGCCATGGGAGATCCATCTGGGTTCTTGGATGTAATGGTTGCGCCCGAGCCGGTTGGAGTACATTCACCCGAAATATTTCCCTCCAGCCCGAACATTATGTACTTTTGTTGCAATTTTTCCATCCTTCCAGACAGCCCTATCAATACGTCATCGATTGTTTGATTCACTAAATTCGCACAGGTCAGCAGAGTGGTCGGCTGAAGGTGGACTGCACGAACATCGCTCAATGAGATCTCTCCAGGGCGCTATTTGAGATCGAGTCAATTTGACAATATTGACTTCCGATGCGACATCGCTAGGATATGAATGAGGGTCAGCAATCTGCCGTGGAAGACCGGTTGTAATAAACTCATGGTCCTGTTTTGACACCTCCACTTTACCCTTATCCACCCGGACATGGTAGTTGCCATCAGCCTGCTGTTCCGATTCATATGTTGAGGATAGGACAACATCGGCCCAGTGAATAATGCATCTGGCCTGGTCGGCCTCCAATGCACGCGGCTTGCTCTCTGTGAATAAGGACTGAAGTCTTTCCGCTTTGAGATCGCTGGCAAGAGGAACTTCAAACAGTCGCGCAAGGTTCATGTCTGCTTGCAGAACAGTTTGATAAGACTGCAGTAGTTCAAGAGTAGAACGCAACGCTGTTTCTGGCAGAACCAAGTGACGAAGATATGACCGAGCATGTAAATCCCCGGTGCTTGGGCGAAGTGCTTCTGTCTCCCTACGCTGGGGTTCTTGACTCGGGTCAGGGGGCATTTTGGTCAAGCCCTGCTGGTTATGAGATACCAGAGCAATAGATGTCCGCGACACTTTGCACAAAGATGAATGATGGAACTTTCAGTGGGAGTAGAGTGCAGTCTGAAAAACGTGCCAAGTCACAGGTCGCAGGAATGCGCGATTGGTGAAGGTTGCTAGCTTTGCTATGGAGGGATAAGTTAAATCAGGAGGTGTGCCAAGGGCAGGGAGGTATCTTGCCGCAATGCGATTGAAATTATTCCTATATTTTCTTTGAGGATTTGAGCGAATTTGCCTCGGGCCACACGAGAAGAACGACGGAGATCACACAACCCAATCACCAACGGCGCGAACAGGATCACCTCCGATTGGCCGGTATGTGCCGATCATCAATTTTGGCCCCAATTCAGGAAACAGACGCTTTCTGGGTAATACAAGGAATTACCATTTCAGTTGTCAAAATTGTAAGCGATTATGTGCTTGGGAAGGCCGGATACCTATCCCATAGCGAGAACAGAGGCGGACTGGTCTATACGTACGTGTGCGCCGGCCGGGTTACTCCATTTCCCAGACATGGGTAAGGATGGAACGCAGCATTTACCCACCGCGGACGAGACCGATGGCTTCGAACCTTGAACCATGGATGGGAGGCCTATTGTGGATATTAAGCTTTCAGCCGGGGCTGATAATCCGCCTACGCCGAGTCTGGTAGGAGTCTTCTCTCAAGGGCCTCAAAATGGATAGCTGGAGCTTCTGAGGCAATCCACATCCGTGCACACGAGGGTTGATCCCTGGCCGAGGACGAAAGACAAATTTCCGGGGTTATCGGCGCCTGGACCAACCTGCATGGCATGCATCAGGGGTGCGTCAGCGGAGACGCTGGGCTGTCCTGAAGCGCGTGCATTGTATCGTTTTGTCACGCTGAAATTTGCGCGGCTCGATTGGCCTAGAGCGTTCTTTTGTAAACAGGGGCCAATCGACTAAGGAAACCCTTTAAATCCACATTCACCTGCGTAGACCGATATTGATATCTGATGCTGCTGCCAATAGACAACACTTGCCATACACGGGAACTCCAGAATCATTGCTTTGTTGTTCCTGTGGTGCCAGTTCAACCTTACCAAGGAGGCCAAAATTAGTTTTATTGGAACGGACGGGTTCGGGCTGGTCCATCCCGTAACCTTCGCCGCATCCCAATTCAGAAATTTTCCCTGGCGATCCCAACTCCATGATTGCCGTTTCTAAATGAGGCGACAATGATGGGGGTGGAGGGGGGTGGAACTCTGTTGACCAATACTGACGGTCAATTTAGCGCTGTTGGTGATGGAGATGCAGCTTCCAGGTCAAGAGAACCACTTGTGGGCGTTTACAGGGCCATTTGAGGAATCACGCGGAGGATTCGAAAACAAGCTGTACAGAACCAGACCATGCCAAGGCTGGCTAACAGTTGTTCTACCTCGCTCGGATGATTGTGACATCTGCCATAGCTCCAGATACGTTGTATTGAGTGGCAAATCTTTGCCCGAAATATACCCCTGCCATGTTCGTTGCTTGGTTAACGATCCCATTCCGCTCTTGGTATTGACTGGTTCGACCTGAGCAGCACGGAAGAAACCCGTTCCGAGATCAAAGGTTTGCTGTAATTTGACTTTGCTAGCCGATCGCGCTAACTTGAGCACAGTCAAATTTACCACATGGAGAAATTCCGTTTCACGCCCAGCTGATTAAAGCAAAAAGCCAGGACAACCAATCGGACTGACCTCAGTAACTGGATGATGTGCCGGGATCTACCCGTCAAGCGCGTGCGCGAAACGTGCGTCATGCACTCAGAAACAGTGTGCATACTCCTTGAACGAGAAACCACCTTCTTGGCAATAGTTTACAAATTGCGGAAATTTTTCATATGGAGCTTCGTCCGTGGAGGGGCACAGCCTTGTCGAGTGTACTTCCTGTCTTTAGAATCGAGAGACCGTTGGCTATTGAGGTGCTCGAAACCAAAAGCGCACTCTCCAATGATATTAGTTTGTGGAACTGACGACCAATGAAGTCGTGGCTCTGATCCTACCCTGCCAATCACTTCCGGTCAAGTCCCCCCAGGTGACCGCGCTAACCCGAGCACAGTCAAATATATCCAAAGGGGTAATTCAAACGAGACGTCCCGGGGCCAGGATGCCCAGGATGTCCTTGGTCACGGAACAGGGTAGGATGTAGACAGGGATTCCTTTAGCTAGTATAAGGATTTGCCTCAAGCTTGCTTTGCCCTGGTAATTTTGCTTCAAGTATTTGATTTTGCATGGGCAATGTCGATCAAGGCGCACCGATAGCTATGGAAAAGCGCAAAACATAGCCCCATTGGTTACGAATAAGATATGGTAGGCGGACGATGTTCTCATCTAGTCACGTGCCTCAAATCCGGTATGCAAGCAGTCGCAAATGGCGAAGAAAAAGCGCGCTCGAGGAACTAGGGCAACCTTAGCCATCGGTCACGGGGTGACAAAGTACCTTATTTATACTAGTTCTTCCGTGTTGTTCGTAGGTTTGTGCTTGTTGGAGCATGGTATGGACTACTCCTTCATCCGTGAAGGTTGTGGCTGCTATGTATAGCATATATATTGCAGGCAACCAACGGGCATGTACTTGCTTGAGAGATTTCTCCTTTGTGGAACGGAAATCGACTTTAAGATGAGAAAGTGCCTTTACTGTATAACCAACTTCTCGGACATCTCCGGTGTCGTGACGAGGGAACTAAAGCGTTTGTTGATCAAGATGACGATTCCTTCTCTAACAAGAACAGAACGTGCGCTTCACAACCTATCGTGCTATCGCATCCTGACCAACCTTAGAGAAAGGCTCGGTGTGTTCAGCCAATATTGTGTTGCCTGTAGGCGCCGTTGGTGAATCCGTTGGTGACGCTTTAGCTTTCTGGACCTATTCAACATGCGCACTCCACCCGGTTGGCCTCCTCGCGAGAGACTGATACGGGTAACGGAGCCGATCTCGAGGACATAAGCTCTCAGATTTGCTGTGATCGGAATAGCACCATCGGGTCGCCATGTAAAGCCGAGCGGGATGTACAAATTGGGACGCAGCGGATGAAATGGCACTATCCGAGGGCCATATCCCTGCCTAGCTTCCTGTGCGTGGCCCCTTAGGAGCAAACTAGGCCCGCAGATCAATACCCAAGGGGAGGTACGAGACGTAGGTCACAGGAAAGATGTATGATCGGGTGAACCACCTATTCATATCTGCGCTTAATGCGGCCAATGTGATCAGTGGCTCGAAACGACTAGGCCAGAGAGCGCCCAAGTACGGTGGCAATCCGCCCTGACAAAAACGTGTCTTACCCTTCCTTTCATATGAGACCAGGCCAACATGCTAGGCCCAACCGAGTGTACTTAGCTTGTTAGAAGAGCGGCACAGCCTATTTGATTTGCTGGAGCCGTATTGTCAAATATCGTTTCGATCACAAAAGCTGATTCCCATAAACGTGATTATCTACCTTCAGTAAGAGATGAGCACACACGTTGCGGTTAGGGCACATTGGCATCGATCACAATTCCACACGATCGCCAAGCCAGGATCAATCTAGCATGTCGTGGCTTTTAGCCGATCAACGTTCCCAGTCACCTGCTAGATGGCAAAGTGATCCCGCCTCCTGAAAGAGCATGGTTTTCAGAAGCGAGATGCACCTAATTGCCATTCCGGCACGGTGTGGAAAGCCAATGTATACGTTATTGCCTCCAGTACGACGGCATGGTGGAGACCACCAGTCCATAACACCAATAGAGACCAAGTCTGGAGTTTTTTTCAGCCAATGGCATGGCGATTACGTCTTTAAGATGATGGGACGAAGCTACGACTACTTGAACCTCTCGCCGCGGGGGAAGGGGGGGCAAAGGTCACACCACTACTGGCGTCACGGACAGCCGGCATTCTCTAGTATTACGGAGTCTTAGACATCCGGATGGTTAATATGCATTTCGTTTGGCTGAAATCATTCGATTATCTAGACAAAATCAAGTGACGTTCACGTTGCCTGGCGCCTGCGGCCACCCGTTCTGCGTCCTGCATTAGCCTCTTCCTTGTTACCGCACAAAATATCTAGCTTTGCTTGGAGCGCCGCCACCTGTTCTTCCAGAGAGTCTATTTTCTGGTAGTGTTCTAAAATGGCCTCCATCCGCTGTTGCATGTCATCGTTCCAGACGTCCTGCTGCTTGATCTGCTTGTCCATCGCCCTGGACACCTGTAGTCAGAACAACCTGCAAGTCATCTATCTCGAAAGTAGTTTAGGGAAATGACCCACTGCACTTGGCTGTCTATTCTACTTGACCGTGAGTGAAAGGCAAAGTGAGACCTGGATCGAAACTACTTACTCTCTCATGAATGTACCTGCCAGGGCCATGGACACTTCGGGGGACTGTTGCTCCAGGTCGTCTAAGTCGGGCAAAGCCAAGCTTGGAGGCCCCGTGGCCGGGTCCTCGCTTTCACTACGCTGACAATCAACCTCGTTCCTTGTCTCATTATTGGCTTGATAGTGCTGCGGTTGGTCATCGTTTTCAAACGGACAATTATCATCGGGAAGACTGTAAATGGAAGAAGACTGCCGCGGTTGTGGCCTGAACTTCTTACGCCACGCAGCCGTGAAGGCAGCTGGGGCTATGCTGGGCTCATAATCAGGCGGTCGCGCCATGGAAGTGAAGGTACACAGTGGTGTTCGTTCTGGAATACTCGCCCAGCAGGGTAAATGTCCAATACTGCCATATTCGAAATCAGATTCCCCTCCGTCCGCTCAGAAAATAATTCTCCAACCCTATCCCAAGAAGCGCTAGTGAATATTCAGGTTAGCTGCTGATCGTGGCTTGACCACAAATACAGTCACCGTTCATTATTAGTGTTTAGAACACGGTACTTCCGTCCACGGGCATAAAGATAGGTGGGGTAAGTACTAAGTTCCAAACAATTACGAACAGTGACTGTATTATTTACAAGCCACGATCAGCAGCTAACCTGAATATTCACTAGCGCTTCTTGGGATAGGGTTGGAGAATTATTTTCTGAGTGGACGGAGGGGAATCTGATTTCGAATATGGCAGTATATACCCAGGCATAGTGGCAATAATATGTCCTGTACCCCAGAGATCCGAACCCCCAGGGGATATCATGCCAATCTGTCTAGACCGGGGCCCCAGGGCGTTGTCGGGGTCGCATTTAGATTACGAAGCAGGCAACTATACCTCGATGATAGGTCCTCAAGAAGAGCAGGAATATGGATCATTCTTTGACATCTGGTCTCGGTCAGACAGGATTGTCATCGTGATGGTAGCTCTGCCTATATCAGATAGACATTCAAGTTCGTTCAAAATGACCCGTTCCATGAGACGAGACACAATTTTCGGTTGGTACTTTGAAAGAACTCTTGAACACATACCCCTGAGCGTTGTAGGAGTGTTGGTGGCTTGTCGACCGGAACTTTCGAATTAAACAGTCAAATGATCGGCACCATGGAAGTAATCAAGTAGAATGGGATCGTGTAATTGACCATGTGTAATTGTGACAAAGATAAACAGCATCCCTTTTATGCCGACATCGACTATCCTGACGGCTCTATCTCCTCGCGAGGGGTTCAAGCTGTTCAAAACCAACATAAATCCCTGCATTTCCCTGTTTTCCTGCCCTTCCCTATCATGGTCTTGTTTGTTCCACCGTGAATCTCAGGTTACCAGTATCCTCCCACCCCAGACTGCTTGTTGCTCCTCTCATTCTTGTGATGTCTAAAGCCAATTACATCCCGTGGTCACCATCAGAAGAGCAAGATCTTCGAGACTGGCTATCTCAACACCAGCACCTCTCGTGGAAGAAGAAATCAAAAGAGTATCTTCGCGAGACTGGTATTAAACGCGGGCCCGAGTCGCTACGTGGGAAATATAATCAGCTCTTAAAAGGTATCTACCGGCGGCGTTCGATCTCTGCCAGACGGGCAAGACTCCGCTACAGGAAGTCTGGAGGATGCCAACGACCAATGCATACGTCTCATATTCCCAGCTCACCACTCGCTCGAAACCTGCGAGCTCCCGATCTTTGGGCTCGTCAACCGGTCCAGGAGTTTCATCCTGAAGAGTCACTCACTGGAGAACAACGGCGATCGTGTGAGTACTGGTCTAAGGAAGCAAGATAGAATTGATCCGAACTGATTTGATTTACACCAGATGACGCAATACTAGGGATGTTTTCCCTCCAACGCGGACGACGACATCCAGTGCCAGATAAGCTTTGGAAGATATTTGACCAGGTCCTTGGGAAGTGGTGACAGACATCATAACTGTTCTCTATACCAAAGTGTCACGGCGAATATTATTTAGGGTTTGAGTGGAGACATTCTCATCAACGTCTGTTTCTTACCGCCTGCTGTATTCTTTAAGTGGTAGTGGGTTTCGTACCGTACGGCGCCTCGATGGAGCCCAGTAGTGAATGTCCTTTCTGATAGCTATTTCCTGGCGGTACGACTGGTCCAGGTAGTGTCCACCAAGTGAAGAAGCTTCCTCAGTGTGCAGGACGCCGATAGAATGAAATCAACCGTATCTTAGACATGGTTACCCGTTCGACGGTTTCCTACCGCTCTGATTGGAGTTGGGAATACTGTAAACACCCAACGCTAAGACAGGAAGGTCGGGAACAGCAACACCCTTTCACGAAGATCGCCACGAATGGAAGTAACCAATTCACGTTGGACCGGTGATCCATACCGGTTCCGCTACGAGTGGCGCCTGCATACGCCCAGGCTAGACTTTTACGCTGGTCTGTGTTGTTAATACTCCGCAGCCAATGAGACTCGATTAAATACCAACAAACTAAGATCGCATGACCTCTTGCGTACCTTTCGGACTCTTCGATAAACGTCAATCTGTACCACTGATATGATCTAATGCGCACCGAATGAAACCCCGCTCTGTGGCGTTCCCCGAACTGAGCCAATCCATCCCCGGCTTAAGGTTGCCGCTGTTGGTTCTGAGCTCACAGGCACACCAATGACCTTCCTGGTTGGTAGATGGTAGACTCTAGACCCAGGATGTTTCTCTCAGGCGCAGAATATTGGATTTTGCTGTAATAGACACCATGTAAAGCGCTTGGTGAGATATTATAGCAATATTGGGCTCTCTCTGCAGATAGCGCTCTGTACGGATAAAATGAACTGGTGTAGCGGCATACGCTACTGATAGACCAGCGATTAGGTGTGGACCGATCGAGGATCGTCCGATGCTGCGCTAATTTAATCGAGCAAGCCGATAGTGGGCAATGGTACAGTCAAATCGCTCCTGCGCTGGAGCCGCCAGGATGGTGGATCCCAATAATCAAAACGCTACTAGAGTGACGAGAGAACGGAGCTTCAATTATAAACATAGACAACGTGAGAGATGAACTACGAGATCGGAATGGTGTTACATGCATAATTAACGGAGGTGCGGCTAGGACAATCTGTACACAGGCATACCTCGGTGCGTTCACGTCTGGAACAACCTAAGCTGCTCCGTCTTTCTTTCTAATTCACGAAATGGTGCGATTGGTGCTTACCACCCTTCCTGGGGATTTGATATCGCCTGGGTACCGGGATCACTCACATTGCAAACGACCAGGCAGATTGAGAAGATTGTAACATAAACTTGAAGGTGGATCCGGGGAGGAGTGGTGGAGAGAGCGCTAGAGAGAGGCATCTGACGTGATGGGCTGGAGGTCCCAGGCGCCAGACACTCCTCTGTTATCTCATCCAGGATAGGAAAAGGAATTGCAGACTGCAAGGGAAAAGTCCTTGACATACACGGATGGGCCAACCCGACCCGCTCACCCAGCACCAACACAGTTCATTTTCGGCTCACTGGTGAGACGAACGGATGTCACCCGCAGCCCTATTCCCATGTGTGAGCAATTTCCCTTGCAAGTTTTATCGGCCATGGAACAATAGCAGTCCGTGCAGGTCAACGTAGATTTAAAGTTGGATAGCTACACGACTCAGCGTGCGTGCATAGGTGCATAGAGAGCGCATCAAGCGGACGAACCCACGTTAGAGGAGCCAGGCTGAGGAGAATGCAGAGTAGGTGATATTAGGCTTAGTTGTTTATTTGAAGAATAATGTCAGCGATGGTCGCTGAGGGACTTCCCCTTGACCTGGAGAGTGCTGAATTCTAGTTACACAACCCGCCGGTCTTAATACCGTAACATACGAGCCCCTTGGCTGTTGAGGAGTTTCCAAACTGCTGAAATGCGGCAACAGAAATGGGTCAGCTCCGTATACAAAGTAGATGCTTACTTCTACTTGTTCGTATAATCGCAGGGGAATATTTGATAGAACATACTGCAGGCAGATGTCTTAACGAACGCAAGTTGCCATTGAGGACTTAGGATGACATGCATGGCGGATTGGCCCAATGATCCAGCTCCACTACAACAGATTAGATATTTGGAACGCCTTCCAGGTCGAGTGCAGGGAACATAGTGCCTGGCATCTCTGCAAGGGCCTCCGAGTCATTATTCACATCGAACCCTTCTATGTTAAGCCAGTCGCCCGTCACATCTATTCCCGGCAGCTGACTGAAATTCTGCGCATTTCCGTTTTCGTCCATCTGACTTTCGTTTTCGTCCATTCTAGCTTTGAGATGGGTCATGAAAGGTTGGGAAGCAGTATGGATGCCTTGCAGGATCTGTTGTAGTTCACTTCGCGAGAGCAGGTTACGGGCATTCGAGTTGGCCAACTCAAGAAGTTTCTCCAGCCTAGTATTTTCTCCATTCAAGCGCTGTACCTCGTCTGACTTCTTCTGTATCTCCACACGGTACTGGTGAATCTTGTTCATGGTCTCGGTTCGTTCTCTGGCGAACCGCTGTGCATTAGCTGAGGCTTCGCGCCGCAGCTCATTATACCGAGCCGTCAGCTTTTGGTTGACCGCATCAGCATTCTCCATATCCTTTCTGCATTCCGCGTGGACGGTCTCAAAGTCTTCATCTGTGTCGCCTTGATTCACTGGTCTAGAGGTGTGGGAAGTTCGTTCCTATCAAAAAGTATGCGAGTGAGAATGTACGCCCCTTAACGCGACACTGACGAGCGGATCGGTACTTGTCTGACATTCATTGGCCGTCGCGACGTTGGTTCAAGACCACCACCATCGCTTCCAGGTAAAGCTCCTATGGGCTGCGCAAGAGATCTCCCTGCCCCTGCTGCTGACCGGCGAACCGCCCGTTGGGGCGGCACCATTGGATTCCTCGAAGTGGTCGCGGCTTTTGGCATGGTGAAGAAGAGTTGATGAAAGGCCAAAGGCTGACTGAATCTTAGGGAAAAAAACCTCCCTTGCCAGGTTTGCCAGGAAGTTGTTCGAGGTGCGAAAGCGGGTAATTTATTGCTTGTCTTGTAGCACCCCACAGGCCAACTAAAAAGCGTTCAACAGTCTTAGTGAGCGATGATCTCAACCGTGATTTGTACGTCCTTACAAGAAAGACCAGACCAGTGACGGGTATACCAGCAATTATACACCAACGAAACTGCTCTAGTAACTGAAATATTGTTTCCGTATTAGCTGAAACTTACCGGATCCATCTTCCCTGTGGCTGCGATGGCTAATCCTTCCCAATGCCTGGCATGTCTCCCAACGCTAGAACTGTCTGTGCCAAGCATAGTACTAATTCTTTACAATTCATGCGAGAAAT